TCGTATGATGTTGTTTCTAGCGCCCACTTTTTGTTTGATGTTCAGGCAGTGCTTCTTGTAGGTCAGAGCACACATTTAAAACACACATTTAAAACACACACACACACACAGGAGGTAGCTGCCTCTGCCACACTCCACCCGAAAGGACTCCCTTCCCTTCTTTCCTCCCTCCCTCCCTTTCTTTCCTTTTCTTCCTTCCTTCCTTCCCCTTCCTTTCCTCCCCTCCTCCTTCCTTCCTGTCCCTCCCTCCTTCCTTCTCCTTCCTTTCCTTCTTTCCCTCCTTCCCTTCCTTCCTGTTCCTCAAGGCAGTTAGCAATCACACAACCTAATAAGCGTTTAAAATACGACAAATACAAAAATTAAGATGTAATTAAATATTTGTTTGAGGATATAAAGTTAGTTAAAGTACAATAAATAAAATTACATCTGAAGCTCACCATCCCAGGTATCACGTAATTCAAGTGGGTAGTCCCGATTGCAGCTCCACAAAACACAAAAACAATGGGTTTTCCCGGAAGGAAGTAACGGACCGAACGCTTTTCAGATCTCTCTCAGCCAGGACGACTTGACGCTTCTCATGAAGATTCTGCTGGAAAATCTCGGGGAAGCCTCCACGGATCCGAGGGCCACCCCTTCAGCCTCCTCGGAAGCCCAGAAGTTGAAAAAGAGCAAAGGCGGAATGGAGGCCGACCACGAAAAAGGTCAGTTTTCTCTTTCCAGAGCGGGTAGCAATGATAAACAACCATATTGTTGTCGAAGGCTTTCGTGGCCGGAATCATTATCTTGCGGTGAGTTTTCCAAGCTATCTGGAAGCATTCTCTCCTGACGTTTTGCCCACATTTGTGACAGACATCCTCAGAGGTTGGAAGTCTGTTGGAAACTAGGCAAGTGGGGTTTATATACCCGTGAAATGATGTCCAGGGTGGGAGAAAGAACTCTTGTGTGTTTAATGCAAATGTTGAAAATTAGCATTGAATGGCCTTGCAACTTCAGAGTCTGGCTGCTTCCTGCCTGGGGGAATCCTTTGTTGGGAGGTGTTCGCTGATCCTGATTGTTTCCTGTCTGGAATTCTCCTGTTTTCTGAGTGTTGCTCTTTATTTACTGTCCTGATTTTTTAATACTGGTAGTATGTAATGGCCTGTCAGTTTCAAGGTCTGGCTTCTTACTGCCTGGGAGAATCCTTTGTTGGGAGATGATTCTCCTGTTTTCAGGAATTCTCCTGTTTTCTGAGTGTTGCACTTTATTTACTGTCCTGATTTTTTAATACTGGTAGCATGTAATGGCCTATCAGTTTCAAGGTCTGGCTTCTTACTGCCTGGGAGAATTCTTTGTTGGGAGGCGATTCTCCTGTTTTCAGGAATTCTCCTGTTTTCTGAGTGTTGCTCTTTATTTACTGTCCTGATTTTTTTAATACTGGTAGCATGTAATGGCCTATCAGTTTCAAAGTCTGGCTTCTTACTGCCTGGGAGAATCCTTTGTTCGGAGGTGATTCTCCTGTTCTCAGGAATTCTCCTGTTTTCTGAGTGTTGCTCTTTATTTACTGTCCTGATTTTTTTAATACTGGTAGCATGTAATAGCCTATCAGTTTCTTGCTTCCTCAACTTCTGTGGGAGCACAACTGCCACTTGAGTTCAGGCCCTGGCTTTTATAGGGTAAGCAGGAAGCAGCAACGACTCACTCTGTCCTTCTTTGGAAGCTTTTAAACAGAGGCTGGATGGCCATCTGTCAGGGATGATTTGAATGCAATATTCCTGCTTCTTGGCAGAATGGGGTTGGACTGGATGGCCTAAGAGGTCCAACTCTTTGATTCTATGATGATCTTTTCCTGCCTTGCTTTGTGGCCGATGACACTGACAAATACTGCATTTGGGGGTCCCTATGTAGACTTTTCCACAGCTGCATGGTATACGGTAGACTCCATAGATGTGGACAAAACTGTTGGGGTTCAGCCTGTGTGTGAACCTGAACCTGATTCTCTGATTGTATTTCCTGATGCTACTGAACAGGCTACTGAACATGTATTTTTCCCTGATGGTATTGAAAATGTTGATTCTGAGGTCAGTGGCTTGGAAAGTGAAACTACACATCCTGATGAGAATGTTTCAGAACCAAGCGGTGATAGCTCTCCAGAGGAGCTAACACTTGGCTTCCTTAATGAGGATAGAAAAGGACAGATTTGGAAAAACAGGAGTGAATTGCAGCGTCTGCGAAGGTCAAGCAGATTAAGGGAAAAGGAGGCACAGGCTTCAAAGCCTGGAGGCGTGTCACGAAACAGTTTCTTCAGTTTTAAGTGCCTCTCCCCGAGCTGTCTCGTTAGATCAGGCATCGTTTAGACTGAGGCATTACCTTGGCAGATTGCCCGTTTCCCGTGGCCTACATCCCAAGAGGCTTCTAGTGCTCCAAGTACAGTTAGTGAAATGCTAACAGGTTCCAGGTTTTTACAGTGTTGCTTTTGGAATTTTGATCTAGTTCATAGATATTCCTGGCTGCTGAATTTTACTGTGGCTTTTTGACTTTGCATTTTCCTCTATTTTGTAACCATTTTTTATCAATAAAAAGGAATTGTTTTTTCTCACAGTCAAGTGTGGTGGATTGTCATCTTATGGTCTCGTTTCCTGATCTGGGCTGCAACAAAAACATCAGGAGAGAATGCTTCTGGAACGTGTCCCGGAAAACTCACAGTAACCCAACAACCCGTCATAATGCATTGAATGGGAACAGACTCGTAATGTAAACGTTTGTGAGTGTTGATTTGTCTGATACAGATTTTGCTGTGGTTTCATTGTTCTTTCCTACACTGCAATCCTTCAGATAATCTCACAACTTCAGGAGAGAAAAACATTTCCGAAGCCAAGCCCAAGGAAAGCGTCACCCTTCTGTTTGAGTTCAACTTCGAATCCCTTTCCATTGTTCTCTTCAATGCTGCTGTCGACCAGGTTTGTGTTGAACCAGATAAATATATGCTTGAAAAAGTACACTCATATTTGAAGACAAATTTAAGTCCGAATGCAAGATATTCAATGCTCGATGCATTTTTGCATCTCTCAGCTTTGCATGTAATGTCTTTGTCGTATGTCACAGAAATCTCAGTATTCGCTTCATGACAACAGTTTGCGCCTCGGAGAACTCTGTCTGCACCTGATGACCGCAACGGGGCAAATGTTCTCCAGCGGCTCTATGGGTATCAACACGAAGCTGAAAACTTGTACGTTGGATGACCTGAGAGAAGGGGTTCAGAGGGCGACCTCGAGGTGAGACTGCTACGGAATTATGGCACGTCCAGTTCGCTGATGATGGAAGTTGTGTGTTAAATACTAAAATACTGAGAAGTGGCAATTATTTTTATTTATAGTAGAGTCACGGGTGTCAGGTCACCCTCAAATTACCACATTTCATCACATAATAGTCACACCCCTTTTTTGTGTGGCATAAGAGTCGCAGAGACATTTGGGACTGATTATTTCATTGCATAACAATTACACCCCTTTTTGTGTGGCAAGATTGGTGTTTTTGTGTTCCTAACAAAAGAATGGTAGAACCATTTGGGACTGATTATTTCATTGCATAACAATTACACCCCTTTTTGTGTGGCAAGATTGGTGTTTTTGTGTTCCTAACAAAAGAATGGTAGAACCATTTGGGACTGATTATTTCATTGCATAACAATTACACCCCTTTTTGTGTGGCAAGATTGGTGTTTTTGTGTTCCTAACAAAAGAGTGGTAGAACCATTTGGGATTGATTATTTCATTGCATAATAATTGCACCCCTTTTTTGTGTGGCAAGATTGATATTTTTCTGTTCCTCACATAAGAGTCGCAGAGACATTTGGGACTGAGTATTTCATTGCATAATAGTTGCACCCCTTTTTGAGTGGTAAGATTGGTATTTTTGTGTTCCTCACATAAGAGTCAAAGCAATGGCAAACCACTCCAGTATCCTTGCCAAGAAAACTAAATGGACCAGTACAACCAGAGATATGTCGGTATGCCATTGGAAGATGGGACTCCCAGGTCGGAAGATGGCCAAAATGCTACTGGGGAGGAGCAGAGGATAAGTTCAACTAGCCCCAGAGGTGATGACGCAGCTAGCTCAAAGCCGAAAGGAAGGCTAGCGGCCGACGGTACTGGAGGTGAACGACGAATCCGATGCTCTAAAGATCAACACACCATAGGAACCTGGAATGTAAGATCTATGAGCCAGGGCAAATTGGATGTTGTTATTGGCGAGATGTCAAGACTAAAGATAGACATTCTGGGGGTCAGCGAACTGAAATGGACTGGAATGGGCCACTTCACATCAGATGACCACCAGATCTACTACTGCGGACAAGAGGGACATCGAAGAAATGGAGTAGCCTTCATAATTAATAAGAAATTCGCTAAAGCGGTGCTTGGATACAACCCAAAAAATGACAGAATGATCTCAATTTCGAGTGCAAGGAAAGCCTTTCAACATTACAGTGATCCAAATATACGCCCCAACCACAGCTGCTGAAGAAGCAGAAGTAGATCAGTTCTATGAGGATCTGCAGGACCTACTTGATAATACACCAAAAAGAGACATTATTTTCATTACAGGAGACTGGAATGCCAAGGTGGGAAGTCAAATGACAACTGGGATCACAGGCAAGCATGGTCTGGGAGAACAAAATGAAGCGGGACGCAGGCTGATAGAATTTTGCCAGGAAAACTCGCTGTGTATAACGAATACTCTCTTCCAACAACCTAAAGGACGGCTTTATACATGGACCTCACCAGATGGTCAACACCGAAATCAGATTGACTACATCCTTTGCAGCCAAAGGTGGCGGACATCCATCCAGTCGGTGAAAACAAGACCTGGGGCTGACTGTAGCTCAGATCACGAACTTCTTATTGCTCAATTTAGAATAAAACTAAAGAGATCACGGAAAATACACAGACCAGTTAGATATGATCTCACTAACATTCCTAGCGAATATACAGTGGAAGTGAAGAACAGATTTGAAGGACTAGATTTAGTAAACAGAGTCCCAGAAGAACTATGGACAGAAGTCCGCGACATTGTTCAGGAGCGGCAACAAAGTACGTCCCAAAGAAAAAGAAAACCAAGAAGGCAAAATGGTTGTCTGCTGAGACACTGGAAGTAGCCCAAGAAAGGAGGAAAGCAAAAGGAAACAGTGATAAGGGGAGATATGCCCAGTTAAATGCGCAATTCCAGAGGTTAGCCAGAAGAGACAAGGAACTATTTTTAAATAAGCAATGCATGGAAGTGGAAGAAGACAACAGAATAGGAAGGACACGAGACCTCTTCCAGAAAATTAGAAACATTGGAGGTAAATTTCAGGCAAAAATTGGTATGATAAGAAACAAAGATGGCAGGGACCTAACAGAAGCTGAAGAGATCAAGAGAAGGTGGCGAGACTATACAGAAGATCTGTATAGGAAGGATAATAATATTGAGGATAGTTTTGACGGTGTGGTGAATTAATTAGAACCAGACATCCTGAGGAGTGAGGTTGAATGGGCCTTAAGAAGCATTGCTAACAACAAGGCAGCAGGAGACGACGGGATCCCAGCTGAACTGTTTAAAGATCTTAAAAGATGATGCTGTCAAGGTGATGCATGCCATATGCCAGCAAATATGGAAAACACAAGAATGGCCATCAGACTGGAAAAAATCAACTTATATCCCCATACCAAAAAAGGGAAATGCGAAAGACTGCTCCAACTTCCGTACAGTGGCCCTTATTTCTCATGTCAGTAAGGTAATGCTCAAGATCCTTCAAGGAAGACTCCAGCAATACATGGAGCGAGAGTTGCCAGATGTTCAAGCTGGGTTTAGAAAAGGCAGAGGAACGAGAGACCAAATTGCCAATATCCGCTGGATAATGGAGAAAGGCAGGGAGTTTCAGAAAAACATCTATTTCTGCTTCATTGACTATTCTAAAGCCTTTGACTGTGTGGATCATAATAAATTGTGGCAAGTTCTTAGTGGGATGGGCATCCCAAGCCACCTTTTCTCTCTCCTGAGGAATCTGTACAAGGACCAAGTAGCAACAGTCAGAACTGACCACGGAACAACAGACTGGTTCAAGATTGGGAAAGGTATACGGCAAGGCTGTATACTCTCACCTGACCTATTCAACTTGTATGTAAAACACATCATGAGATGTGCTGGGCTTGATGAATCCAAGGCTGGAGTTGAAATTACTGGAAGAAACATTAACAAGCTTAGATATGCAGTCCTATGGCTCTTTTCAAATATAGTAAGACTCTGACTGAGGAGCCTTCTAATCAAGGTGAAAGAAGAAAGCGCAAAAGCCGGGTTGCAGCTAAACGTCAAAAAAACCAAGATTATGGCAACAAGAATGATTGACAACTGGAAATAGAGGGAGAAACCGTGGAGGCCGTGACAGACTTTGTATTTCTAGGTGCAAAGATTACTGCAGATGCAGACTGTGGCCAGGAAATCAGAAGACGCTTACTTCTTGGGAGGAGAGCAATGTCCAGTCTCGATAAAATAGTGAAGAGTAGAGACATCAGACTGGCAACAAAGATCCGCCTAGTCAAAGCCATGGTATTCCCTGTAGTCACCTACGGATGTGAGAGCTGGACCTTAGGGAAGGCTGAGCGAAGGAAGATCAATGCTTTTGAGCTGTGGTGTTGGAAGAAAGTGCTGAGAGTGCCTTGGACTGCGAGAAGATCCAACCAGTCCATCCTCCAGGAAATAAAGCCCGACTGCTCACTGGAGGGAAGGAGAGTAGAGACAAAGTTGAAGTACTTTGGCCACATCATGAGGAGACAGGAAAGCCTAGAGAAGACAATTATGCTGGGGAAAGTGGAAGGCAAAAGGAAGAGGGGCCGACCAAGGGCAAGATGGATGGATGGCATCCTTGAAGTGACTGGACTGACCTTGAAGGAGCTGGGGGTGGTGACGGCCGACAGGGAGCTCTGGCGTGGGCTGGTCCATGAGGTCACGAAGAGTCGGAGACGACTGAACGAATGAACAACAACAACACATAAGAGTCGCAGAGACATTTGGGACTGATTATTTCATTGCATAACAATTACACCCCTTTTTGTGTGGCAAGATTGGTGTTTTTGTGTTCCTAACAAAAGAGTGGTAGAACCATTTGGGACTGATTATTTCATTGCATAATAATTGCACCCCTTTTTTGAGTGGCAAGATTGGTATTTTTGTGTTCCTTGCATAAGAGTCACAGAGGACTTGGGATTAATGATTTCATCACAAAAAAGTTGCACCCCTTTTTTGAGCAGTAAGATTGGTATTTTTGTGTTCCTTGCATAATAGTCACACCCCAATTTTTGGGAGTCAAAATTAGTATTTTTGTGTTCCTCCCATAATAGTCATAGAGCCATTTGGGACTGATTATTTCATCGCATAATAATTGCACCCCTTTTTTGAGTGGCAAGATTGGGATTTTTGTGTTCTTTGCATAAGAGTCACAGAGCACTTGGGATTAATGATTTCATCACATAATAGTTGCACTTCTTTTTTGAGTAGTAAGATTGGTATTTTTGTGTTCCTTGCGTAAGAGTCGTAGTGCCTTTTGGGACTGATTGTTACATCACATAATAGTCACACCCCAATTTTTTGGGAGTCAAGATTAGTATTTTTGTGTTCCTCCCATAATAGTCGTAGAGCCATTAGGGATTCATTATTTCATCACATAATAATTGCACCCCTTTTTTGTGAGGCAAGATTTGTATTTTCATGTTTCTCACATAAGAGTCGCAGAGCCATTTGGGACTGATTATTTCATTGCATAATAACTGCACCCCTTTTTTGAGTGGCAAGATTGGCATTTTTGTGTTCTTTGCATAAGAGTCAGAGAGCACTTGGGATTAATGATTTCATCACATAATAGTTGCACCCCTTTTTTGAGTGGTAAGATTGGTATTTTTGTGTTCCTTGCATAAGAGTTGCAGAGCCTTTTGGGACTGATTGTTTCATCGCATAATAGTCACACCCCAATTTTTTGGGAGACAAGATTAGTATTTTTGTGTTCTTCCCATAATAGTCGCAGAGCCATTTGGGACCAATTTCCCTTCCTTCGTTTCTCCCTTCCTCCCTCCCTTCCAATTTAGAGTTAGATTTTAAGTATTTTGAACCTGATCCTTCAACTTGCTTTGTGACAGCAAAGTATTAACACCTTTTCTCCCCAGAATGATTGACAAAAAAGACAGTGGAGATGACAGCGTCATGATGGATATCAGCTATACGCAGGACAAAAGCGGGACGGAAATTGTCTCTGTCCTGGACAAGCTCTACTTGTGCGCCAGCGTGGAATTTCTTTTGACAGTGGCGGACTTCTTCGTGAAAGCCATGCCGGCTGCATCCTCCCCTTCTGAGAAATCGGCCCAGTTCCATCTGAAGCAAGGGAAGCCGAAGCCTGAGAAAGGTGAGCAGAGCAAAGACTTTTCTCTAGGCTGTTGCTAAAGTTCTGGTGGTGAAACTTTCAGAACTCTAACACAACTTTCCAAATTTCATTATAAATGGCAGTTCCTAATAGGTTCTGTCATAAAAATCACCAGTAATGAAATAATAATGAAATTTTGAAAGTTTTGTTAGAGTTCTGAAATTTTCACCACCAGAACTTTAGTTTTGTAATTACTTTAGAACCATTATTTCAGAACTCTAATAAAACTCTCAAAATTTCATTATAAATGGTATTTCCTAATTGGTTCTGTCATAAAAATCACCAGTAATGAAATAATAATTAAATTTTTGAAAGTTTTGTTAGAGTTCTGAAATTTTCACCACCAGAACTTTAGTTTTGTAAGTACTTTAGGACCATTTAGAACCATGCATTGGATAGATATGCAGATCATAGAATCATAGAATCAAAGAGTTGGAAGAGACCTCCTGGGCCATCCAGTCCAACCCCATTCTGCCAAGAAGCAGGAATATTGCATTCAAATCACCCCTGACAGATGGCCAGCCAGCCTCTGTTTAAAAGCTTCCAAAGAAGGAGCCTCCACCACACTCCGGGGCAGAGAGTTCCACTGCTGAACGGCTCTCACAGTCAGGAAGTTCTTCCTCATGTTCAGATGGAATCTCCTCTCTTGTAGTTTGAAGCCATTGTTCCGCGTCCTAGTCTCCAGGAAGCAGAAAACAAGCTTGCTCCCTCCTCCCTGTGGCTTCCTCTCACATATTTATACATGGCTATCATATCTCCCCTCAGCCTTCTCTTCTTCATGCTAAACATGCCCAGCTCCTTAAGCCGCTCCTCATAGGGCTTGTTCTCCAGACCCTTGATCATTTTAGTCGCCCTCCTCTGGACACATTCCAGCTTGTCAATATCTCTCTTGAATTGTGGTGCCCAGAATTGGACACAGTATTTCAGGTGTGGTCTAACCAAAGCAGAATAGAGGAAAGTTTTGTCAGAGTTCTGAAATTTTCACCACCAGAACTTTAGTTTTGTAAGTCCTTTAGAACCATTTAGAACCATGGATTGCACATGCCTATTAAATAGTCTTCAGCACTTTCAAAATTTCATTATAAATGGCAGTTCCTAATAGGTTCTGTCATAAAAATCACCAGTAATGAAATAATAATGAAATTTTGAAAGTTTTGTTAGAGTGTTAGAGTTCTGAAATTTTCACCACCAGAACTTTAGTTTTGTAAATACTTTGGAACCATGGATTGCACGTGCCTAATAAATAGTCTTCAGCACTTTCCAAATTTCATTATAAATGGCAGTTCCTAATAGATTCTGTCATAAACATCACCAATAATGAAATAATAATGAAATTTTGAAAGTTGTGTTAGAGTGTTAGAGTTCTGAAATTTTCACCACCAGAACTTTCGCAACACTGTAGAAGCAAAGCACCAGCGCCCCCTAGTTTTCACATCCAGAACTTTAGTTTTGTAAGTACTTGAGAACCATGGATCGCACATGCCTAAAATACACATGTACATATGCACAAAATAAAAATGCAATGTTCGTTTGTGAGATTAACACAACTCAAAAACCACTTGTCGAATTGACACCAAATTTCGACACATTATGCGTATCAGGCCAACAAGTGACCATCACTCATAAAACACTGAAAAACACAGCGGAAGAGACTTAAAAAGCCAAAAAATAAATGCGCATAACCACATATACACACACATACACAAATATATATACGCATAACCACATATATACACACATACACATATACACAAATATATATACACACATATATGCACACACAAGATACATATACACAGACTGGTCCACAGCAACGTGTGGCAGGGGACGGCTACTATCTATATAAATACAAAGGTAATGTTCGTTTGTGAGATTAACACAACTCAAAAACCACTTGTCGAATTGACACCAAATTTGGACACAAGATACCTCTCAGGCTAATGAGTGACCATCACTCATAAAACACTGGAAAACATAGCGGAAGAGACTTAAAAGCCAAAAAAAATTCATTACAACGCATGTGCAAAACGACATATATACACAAATATATACACACATATACACACACACAAAACATATATACACAGACTGGTCCACAGCAACGCGTGGCAGGGGAAGGCTAGTATCTATGTATATAAATAAAAATGTAATGTTCATTTGTGGTATTCACAGAACTCAAAAATCCCTTGATGAATTGGCACCAAATTTGGACACGATACACCTAACAACCCAATTTGATTTTGTCTTTTGGGAGTTGTAGTTGCTGGGATTTATAGTTTACCTACAATCAAATAGCATGATAGAATTGAACCAACCGGGGCATACAGCACTCCCATGACCAACAGAAAACACTAGAAGGGTTTGGTAGACATTGAGCTTGAGTTAGGGAGTTGTAGTTCACCCACATCCAGAGAGCACTGTGGACTCAAACAATGATCGATCTGGACCAAACTTGGCAAGAATACTCAATATGTCCAAATATGAATACAGATGGAGTTTGGGGGAAATAGACCGTGACATTTGGGAGTTGTAGTTGCTGGGATTTACAGTTCACCTACAATCAAAGAGCATTCTGAACTCGACCAATTATGGAATTGTACCAAACATGGCATACAGAACTCCCATGACCAACAGAAAACACTAGACCTTCAAATCTAACTTCAAATTGGAAGGAAGGAAGGAAGGAATCAGTCTCAAATGTCTCTCTGACTCTTATGTGAGGAACACAAAAATACCAATCCTGCCACCCAAAAAATGTGGGTGTGACTATTATGTGATGAAATACAGTTAACCTTTCAGTTAACTTTCTTCATGACTGGCTGCTAGGAATTGTGGGAGTCAAAGTCCAAAACAAAGGACCAAAGTTTGCCTATGTTTGCGTTATACCTTCAAATCTAATTTTGAATTGAAAGGAAGGAAGGAAGGAATCAGGTTCAAATGTCTCTGTGACTCTTATGTGAGGAACACAGAATTACCAACCCTGCCACCCAAAAAATGTGGGTGTGACTATTATGTGATGAAATACAGYTAACCYRTCAGTTAACTTGCTTCATGACTGGCTKCTAGGAATTGTGGGAGTTGAAGTCCAAAACAAAGGGCCAAAGTTTGTCTGTGCTTGCGTTAGACCTTCAAATCAAACTTTAAATTGGAAGGAAGGAATCAGGTTCAAATGTCTCTGTGACTCTTATGTGAGGAACACAGAAWTACCAAYCCWGCCACCCAAAAAATGTGGGTGYGACTATTATGTGATGAAATACAGTTAACCCGTCAGTTAACTTGCTTCATGACTGGCTGTTAGGAATTGTGGGAGTTGAAGTCCAAAACAAAGGGCCAAACTTTGCCTATGTTTGCGTTATACCTTCAAATCTAACTTTAAATTGGAAGGAAGGAATCAGGCTCAAATGTCTATGTGACTCTTATGTGAGGAACACAAACATACCAATCCTGCCACCCAAAAAATGTGGGTGTGACTATTATGTGATGAAATACAGCTAACCTATCAGTTAACTTGCTTCATGACTGGCTGCTAGGAATTGTGGGAGTTGAAGTCCAAAACAAAGGGCCAAAGTTTGTCTGTGCTTGCGTTAGACCTTCAAATCAAACTTTAAATTGGAAGGAAGGAATCAGGTTCAAATGTCTCTGTGACTCTTATGTGAGGAACACAGAAATACCAATCCAGCCACCCAAAAAATGTGGGTGCGACTATTATGTGATGAAATACAGTTAACCCGTCAGTTAACTTGCTTCATGACTGGCTGTTAGGAATTGTGGGAGTTGAAGTCCAAAACAAAGGGCCAAAGTTTGCCTATGCCTGCATTAGACCTTCAAATCTAACTTCAAATTGGAAGGAAGGAAGGAATCAGGCTTAAATGTCTCTGTGACTCTTATGTGAGGAACACAAAAATACCAACCCTGCCGCCCAAAAAATGTGGGTGTGACTATTATGTGATGAAATACAGTTAACCTGTCAATTAACTTTCTTAATGACTGGCTGTTAGGAATTGTGGGAGTTGAAGTCCAAAACAAAGGGCCAAAGTTTGCTTATGCTTGCGTTACACCTTCAAATTTAACTTTAAATTGGAAGGAAGGAAGGAATCAGGCTCAAATGTCTCTGTGACTCTTATGTGAGGAACACAAACATACCAATCCTGCCACCCAAAAAATGTGGATGTGACTATTATGTGATGAAATACAGTTAACCTGTCAGTTAACTTGCTTCATGAGTGGCTGTTAGGAATTGTGGGAGTTGAAGTCTAAAACACCTGGGGCGGGGGGGACGGACAAAGTTTGCCCATGCCTGTTTTAACCGGTGTACAGTACATTGAACTTGAATTGAACGTGTGCCTTTTGCAGACGAGTCCCAGCGTTCTAACGTGTCTATGGTGGCACGCATCACGGACCCCGAGGTCGTCTTTGTGGCCAACCTGACCAAGGCGGACGCACCTGCGCTGTCGGCCTCTTTCCAGTGTGACTTCTCCCTGTCGAGCGGCCCCCTTGCGCAGCGCATGACAGCCCAAGTACGGGAGCTCCGGGTCCTGGCCTGCCCCTTCCTTCACGGGAAAGGAGAGAAGAGCCTCACCACGGTAAGCTCTCGTAAGGTGTTCTCCCTTGTTCTTTCTCTTTGGGATGTTTGTGGACCTTTCTAATGACATTCATTCTGTTTGTTCCTCCCGAAGGTGGTTCAGCCTTGTTCTCTGACAATGGAGGCCATGATGCACAGTTCGGGGATGCAGGCGGTGGATGTGGTGGTCGAAGAATTCATTGTCAAGGTGAGTTGCTTGGCTTTCTTTTCAGAAAATACTGAACAGGATGTTGCCATTCGAGCTGAATTTGGGACAATTATTTTGTTTTTTGTGGCTTCTTGAGCGTGGGCGGAAGTGAACAACCCATTTGGGGTTATTTATTTCCTCTTTGTGGAGTCTGTGAAAGGCACACATATGGGTTTTATCCTGCGCATGCGCAGTTGTTCGGAACCTTCTAGAATCTTAAAGAAACATTTTGGCAGAGGCCCCGCCCACTCTCCCCAATACTATAAATGCCCCTGGCGGGGACTATGCCTTAGTTCAGTGTTTCTTAACCTGGGGGTCGGGACCCCTGGAGGGGGCGCGAGGGGGTGTCAGAGGAGTCACCAAAGACCATCAGAAAACACAGTATTTTCTGTTGGTCATGGAAGTTCTGTGTGGGAAGTTTGGCCCAATTCAATCCTTGGTAGGGTTCGAATGCTCTTTGATTGTAGGTGAACGATAAATCCCAGCAACCACAACTCCCAAATGTCAATTACAATGCCCACCAAACCCTTCCAGTATTTTCTACTTGGTCATGGGAGTTCTGTGTGCCAAGTTTGGTTTAATTCCATCATTGGTGGAGTTCTGAATGCTCTTTGAGTGTAGGTGAACTATAAATCCCAGCAACTACAACTCCCAAATGTCAAGGTCTATTCCCCAAACTCACCAGTGTTCATTTGGGCATATTGAGTAATTCGTGCCAGTTTAGTCCAGATCCATCATTGTTTGAGTCCACAGTGCTCTCTGGATGTAGGTGAACTACAACTCCAGAACTCAAGGTCAGTGCCCACCAAACCCTTCCAGTATTTTCTGTTGGTCATGGGAATTCTGTGTGCCAAGTTGATTCAGTTCCATCATTGGTGGAGTTCAGAATGCTCTTTGATTGTAGGTGAACTATAAATCCCAGCAATTACAACTCCCCCAGGACAAAATCAATACCCTCCCCAAATCTGTTACTATTCAGAACAGCAGCAAAATGAGTTATGAAGTAGCAATGAAACTAATTTTATGTTTGGGGGTCACCATAACATGAGGAAGCGTATTAAGGGGTCGTGGCATTAGGAAGGTTGAGAACCACTGCCTTAGTTCCTTTTTCCGCACTCAGCAGCTTAGGAACCTCTCTAGTCTCTTGACGCTTCAGCCCTTTTTTGCTTAAACTGCTGGACTGTCTTGTTACGACCTTGGCTCTGCTATCAATGACGACATCTCTCTCCTCCCTTTGATCAGCTTACGGACTTCCTGACTCAGGCCAGTTCTTTCAATCATGAGCTCCATCTTCTAAGGCGCACTCCCCGCCAGGGGCATTTATAGTATTGGGGAGAGTGGGTGGGGCCTCCGCCAAAATGTTTCTTTAAGATTCTAGAAGGTTCCAAACAACTGCACATGCGCAGGATAAAACCTATATGTGCGAATTTCACAGACTACCACTCGAGGAAACACGGTTACAGGTAAGCAACTTGCATTTATTTATTTTGTGTCAAAAGCATGCATAAATAAATAAGTATAGAACTGATAAAATAGCGGCTAGATAATTTTAGACCAAAACTGGGCAACAGCGACTGCATTGTCGACAGCAGGGGTCCTCAAACTTTTTAAACAGAGGGCCAGGTCACAGTCCCTCAAACTTTTGGAGGGCCGGATTATAATTTGGAAAAAAAATGAATGAATTCCTATGCACACTGCACATATCTTATTTGTAGTGCAAAAAACACTTAAAATAATACAATAATTAAAATGAAGAACAATTTTACCAAATATAAACTTATTAGTATTTCAATGGGAAGTTTGGACCTGCTTTTGGCTGATGAGATAGGATTACTTTTGCTGCTGTTGTTGTTGTTGCTGTTGTTGTGTTTTCAAGTCGTTTCAGACTTAGGTTGACCATGAGCGAGAGCCAGGTAAATGAGCTTGGAGGTAAATGAGCTTGGAGCTGTAGACCAGGGGCCCTCAAACTGAGGGCCTCTGGTCTACAGCTTGAAATGGTTCTTCCTATGTGCATGAGGTAGGGCATGATGGGCAAGCATACAGATGCGGAGTTATTTGTTCTGCTCCACAGTTGCACAAGCTGGAGGATTGAATGTTTGCCTTAGTTGTAGTTCTACACCTGAAAAACCATCCTCAGAAGAGTTTCTCAGAGAAAGACTGCTGTGGGCCTCTTCCAGGCATGTGACCTTAGGAATCTGATTGTGTCTGATGTCAATGGGGGTGATGGTTTTTCTGGGCCTATGCCTGAAGTCCATGGGGATGAGGGTTTTTCTGGGCCAGAGTCAAGCCCAGGCCTTACTGAGAGGCCCGGTCTCATGAACGGAGTCCCAAGGTCACATTCCTGGGAGAGGCCCATAGCAGTCTTTCTCTGAGAAACTCTTCTGAGGATGGTTTTTCAGGTGTAGAATTTAATGAGTTTGAAGGTAGAGAATTATTATTTATTTAGAGGTTTTCTATACCGGCCTTCTCAACCTCGACGAGGGACTCAGGTCGGTTTACAGTGCATATCAAATACAATCATATAAAAACAGCAAATACAAATCATTACATATTAAAATGGTACAACTCAGTACAATAAAAACATCATCATTACATTATTACAGTTTCCTACGCCAAATCGTCAATCCAGTCATGGTCATAATCATATTCATAGTCACAGTTCATCATAATTCATCACAGGGAAGGTTCTAGGTTCAGTCCTCGAATGCCGCATTCCAGAGCCATGTTTTTGGGAGGGAGGGGGCAGATCTAACCTCTAGTGGGAGGGAGTTCCAAAGCCAGGGAGAAGGCCCTGTCTCTCGTCCCCACCAGCCGTGATTGTGAGGGTGGTGGGACCGAGAGCAGGGCCCCCCCGGAAGATCTTAGTAGCCTTGATGGTTCATAGGGGAGAATCCGTTCGGACAGGTAAACTGGGCCAGAGCCGTTTAGGGCTTTATAGGTCAACACCAGCACTTTGAATTGTGCCCGGAAGCTGATCGGCAGCCAGTGGAGCTGGCGTAACAGAGGGGTCGTATGGTCTCTGTACCCTGCTCCTGTTAGCAATCTGGCTGCCGCACGTTGGACTGATTGAAGCTTCTGGGCAGTCTTCAAAGGCAACCCCACGTAGAGAGCGTTGCAGTAGTCTAAACGGGATGTAACCAGAGCATGGACTACCGTGGCCAAGTCAGACTTCCCAAGGTACGGGCGCAGCTGGCGCACAAGTTTTAATTGTGCAAAAGCTCCCCTGACCACCGCCGAGACCTGGGGTTCCAGGCTCAGCGATGAGTCCAGGATCACTCCCAGGCTGCGAACCTGCACCTTCAGGGGGAGTGGGACCCCGTCAAGCACAGGCTGTAACCCTATACAAGACTTTTGTAAACTAAGACAACATTCTCAAGATCAGCAGAGGTCAATCTGTCTGCTAGAAAAGAGAGATTAGAAATCCTTACCTGGCTGTAAGAGCAAACAGAGTGCTTTCCTTTCGGTTCATGGGACAAGAAAAGCTTTATATGGTACAAGGACAGGATTTTAGCTCAGTCTTGTCAAGGCTGGAGTTTCATGATGATCTTGTTTCCAAGTGGATTTCTAGTTTTATGTTTTAAGTTTTGCCAGGTTCTTGTGCTGGGTATTGGATCTCTGTTGGTCATGGGAGTCGTGTGTGTCATGTTTGGCCCAATTCCATCATTGGTGGAGTTCAGAATGCTCTTTGATTGTAGGTGAACTATAAATCCCAAGAACTACAACTCCCAAATGACAAAATCAAAAAAATTTGAGTGAAGGACATAGATTGGGTTGTTAGGTGTCTTGTGTCCAAATTTGGTGTCAATTCGTCCAGTGGTTTTTGACTTATGTCAATCCCACAAACGAACATTACATTTTTATTTATATAGTTTAAAATTGTGTTACATAGTGTGATTTATTTACTCCTTTGTGTAGTATTATTCATAATATTACCATTCTTATGTCTATATATGTGTTGCATAGCATATGCCTGCTTTGTCCGAAACTCCTTCAGCTTTGGCTCCTTTTTCCAGATTTCCCCCAAAATCCTCAACACGGTAATGACCATCATGGCTGCCATGAAGGCCAAGCCGAGGGACGACGAGTCGGGAGGAGCCACCTGCAGCCCGGTCGATGACCTCTGGAGCGTGAAGCCCGTGGACCGGTGCCAGTACTGGTTCCTGGGGGTGGACATGGCCACCGAAGCCACCGAAGCCTTCCTGGCAAGCGAAGCCAGCACCAAGCAGGAGAGCTTCCATGCCCAAGTGCGCTCCATCCAGGTCACCTTGGAGTGCGGCCTGGGCCACCGCACCGTCCCCTTGCTGCTGGTGGAATCCACCTTTGCGGGAACGGTGACAAACTGGTCTTCCCTCCTGGCTGCCCAAGGCGACATGACGCTGGAGGTCAGTGAAGTGAAGGCAGAACGAGCATCTGATTCATGGGCAAATTTCTGCCCTCCAGGTGTTTTGGACTTCAACTCCCACAATTCCTAACAGCCAAAACTCCTGGAGGGCCGAAATTTGCCCATGCCTTGAGCTAATATCTATTTATTTGCCATTATTATTATTATTATTATTATTATTTACTATTAATTACTATTAATTACTATTATTCTTTATTGTTATTTACTATTTTGAATTTTTATTATTATTACTATTTACTAGGGCTGTCCAAACACGGAAAAATTTGTTTCTAAACTCGATTCGTTTTTAGGGTTTTTTTGCGTTTCGTTATTTAAAAGAATTCCGAAATTTTCCTTAAAAAAAGTTCGATATTTACAAAATTTCGGAAATCATAAAACAATTACGAAACAATTACGAATCGATTACGAATCGATTCGTTAATGGCGGCCGCGATCGCGCAATACGCTAAAAAAACTTCTGAAGCTTCCCTCTCCCTCTGTTGTTGACTGTTGGTGTGATAATTATATTTTTTTCACTGAGAAAACAAACAGCAACCCTAAAACTTGCACCAGACATGCGGAAATAATAACGAATCAATAACGAATCAATAACGAATCAATTCCGAAACAATTACGAAACGAATTGGAAAAATTCGTTTCGTTTTTTAGTTGCTCCTGAATGGTTCAATATCGCTTCGTTATAAAAAAAAAATAACAATTTTTTAACGAATTACGAAATTACGAAACGAAACCGCCCAGCCCTACTATTTACTATACATTAACATTTAGTTTTGCTTTCTGTCCAAGCTTTCATTATCTTCTCATTAACTCCTGCAAGTGACAAATCATTTTCAGACAGTTGTTCTGAGAAAGGCAGTGAAGGGCCTCTCCCAGGAATGTGGCCTTGGGAATCTCCCTGAGACAGTTCTGACCTGTCTTCTGAGCTTAACTCAGGCCAAAGCAAACCCTAATCCTCAATGCCATCAGGCCCAGGCCCACCATCAGGAACATCATCCCCATTCCCATCATTAGTATTATTTACTATTTTTATTTATTATTTGCTATTTGTATATATTATATAATATATAAATACTTTTATTTGTTTACTGTTTTATTATTACTGCTTACCGTTGATTATTGTTTACTATTTATTATAAATATATTTATTATTTATACTTCACTTTATCTCTCCCAAAGGAGACTATTTATCATTACTAGTTATTGTTGCTATTAATAATAATAATGTATCATTATTTACTATTATTATTTATTTACTATTTCATTATTTATTATTACTATTTAAGATTCATTAGTGTTTGCTATTATTTGTTATTATTTACCATTATTTACTATTGTTAGTTATTTACTATTTCATTATTTATTATTTCTATTTACTTTTTTTTGTCGTGTCAGGAGCGACTTAAACTGCAAGTCGCTTCTGGTTACTTCTATTTATTTCTATTTACTATAATTAGTGTTTGCTATTACTATTAGTATCTGTTATTATTTACAATTATTTACTATTATTATTTATTTACTATTTCATTATTTATTATTTCTATTTACTTTTTTTGTCGTGTCAGGAGAGACTTAAACTCCAAGTCGCTTCTGGTTACTTCTATTTATTTCTATTTCTATTTACTATAATTAGTGTTTACTATTATTATTATCTGTTATTATTTATTTATTTATTTACTTTATTTGTATACCGCTGTTTTCAACTCGTAGGCGACTATTTACAATTATTTACAATTACTGTTTATTTACTATTTTATTATTTATTATTACTAGTTACTACTATTATTTACTGCTTTATTATTTATTATTACTATTTACTATTCATTAGTGTGTACTATTATTATTATTTGTTAATGTTTACCATTATTTATTTACTATTTTATTACTTACTAGCTGTCCCCTGCCACACGTTGCTGTGGCCCACATGGGGGTTCTGTGTGGGAGGTTTGGCCCAATTCTATCATTGGTTGGGCTCAGAATGCTCTGTGATTGTAGGTAAACTATAAATCCCAGCAACTACAACTCCCAAATGTCAAGATTCTATTTTCCCCAAACTCCACCAGTGTTCACATTTGAGCATATTGAGTATTTGTGTAGAGTTTGGTCCAGATCCATCATTGTTTGAGTCCACAGTGATCTCTGGATGTAGGTGAACTACAGCTCCAAAACCAAAGGACACTGCCCACCAAACCCTTCCAGTATTTTCTGTTGGTCATGGGAGTTCGGTCTGCTGAGTTTGGTTCAATTCCATTGTTGGTAGGGTTCAGAATGCTCTGTGATTGTAGGTGAACTATAAATCCCAGCAACTACAACTCCCAAATGTCAAGATTCTATTTTCTCCAAACTCCACCAGTGTTCACTTTTGGGCATATTGAGCATTCGTGTAGAGTTTGGTCCAGATCTATCATTGTTTGAGTGCACAGTGATCTCTGGATGTAGGTGAACTACAGCTCCAAAACCAAAGGACACTGCCCACCAAACCCTTCCAGTATTTTCTGTTGGTCATGGGAGTTCTGTCTGCCGAGTTTGGTTCAATTCCATTGTTGGTAGGGTTCAGAGTGCTCTGTGATTGTAGGTGAACTATAAATCCCAGCAACTACAACTCCCAATTGACAAAATCAATTTTTTTGGAGTGAAGGACATACATTGGGTTGTTAGGTGTCCTGTGTCCAAATTTGGTGTCAATTCGCCCACTGGTTTTTGAGTTCTGTTAATCCCACAAACAAACATTACATTATTATTTACATAGATTATTACTATTTACTATTCATTAATGTTTACTATTATTATTATTTGTTATTATTGCTATCTTACTATTCTAGGTCCATTATTACAATGAAACCTATGCCGTTTGGGAGCCCCTTATTGAACGAACGGAGAAGGAGAAATCCCAGTGGAAACTAAAGCTAGAAGTAAGCAAACCTTCTAAAAAATCCAATATTCACTCCAAATAACCGCATCTAATTTCCTATTCAATTTCCAGCTGGTGTCCTACTGTGTAGACTAACAAGTTTGTACAGCAAGAGCACAAACAATATTATAATTAAAACCTTATGTCAAACATCATTATTAAACTGTCGTGTTTCAGTTCGCTGTGTGCTTTGACAGGAGTGCAATTTTCTCTAATTATCGAAATACTAGGTTAAGCCCTGTTATAATCCAGGCGCCATTTCTGAATGAATTAGGAATGTCTCAAGTGCATTTTTATTCTGATTGAGTTTGTGTTTGCAAAGTCTCTTTTTCTAGCGATATGAAGTTAATGGTATTCTTTCTATCTGCTTGAAATAGGCTTTAGCAGAGAGACATTGTTTTAATGCTGTGGTTCTCAACCTCTTTTTTTTTTTTTTTAACCAGGGACCACTCTCCAACATTAGTACCAAAAGGGTTATGAATCAGTTTTTGGTCAACATTGAATTTGGTTTGCTTATTTGGGGTGCTGATAAAGAAAACTGCATTGGATAGGCCACATCAGCTCTAGTTTCTTATACAGAACATATGCCACCAGTAGTCACCATCTGCTCACCCTATCGTGCCCCAGAGCAGTAACACCTCTGACCTTAAACACCACACCTGTCAAGGTCAGACGCCAGCCAATTAAAGAAGTATAGTTTATTGTTCAAACAAACACAAAAGAGCCCAAAACAAAACCACAGGGCAAGAAACACTTCATCTTTAGTGTGAAACAGTTCAAAAAGGCAAAAGAACCCACAAAACCCCAGTCAGAATATAACCTGGATTATCCAGCGATATAATCCGGATTAAACTCAAAATGCTTAAATTCAGCTCAAACTCGCTCCGTCAAACAACAGAATCAAAACAAACTGTAGAATGATGTTCACAGCCACTCTAATGAGCAGCAGCCTTTCAAGGGTTGCAAAATGTAACCCAAGCCTCAAACACTGTAGGAAACGCCACGCTGAATGCAGGAATGCAGGGAGGATGATAACACCAACTCCAGAAACACAGCCGCAGATGTGGAAGAGTGAGTAACGCCGATAGTTAAAGTCCAGTCCAGTCCGAAGGGAAACGAACAGCTGTAAGGTCAGGTCCCGATCCAATGGAAGTCACAAGGAGCCAAAGCAACAGGGGCAATACGGCAGCTAATGCAAATATCAAAACAGTGCAGACCAGCAGAAATCCACACAGTTCCAGCCCCCTTTGCTGCTTAAACCCAGAGCATAACTTACATCCCAAAGTCTAACTTACAACCTGTCTTCTGTAAGAGCCGCCGCAAACTAGCCTCCTGCGGGAGCAAACTGTGCGAGCACGTCCTTGATGTCATGAGACTGTGCCTCTCTCTCCGCCCCTTTCTCCGCCTCTTTCTCCATGCCAGAGTGGTTTTTCCTTTGCTAGGGCAGCATTGCCAGCGTACTCTCTCAGTTGGCAGAATTCAACAACGAGAGTACACTGGCAATGCTGCCCTAGCAAAGGAAAAACCGCTCTGGCACGGAGAAAGAGGCGGAGAAAGGGGCGGGGAGAGAGGGGGAGACTCATGACGTCAGGGACGTGCTCGCACAGTTTGCTCCCGCAGGAGGCTAGTTTGCGACGGGTCTAACACAACGATGCAGAAAGAGCCCAACAAGACACCTTGCCAATTGCAAACTTACAATTGCAAACACTCCCATTTTATCTACAACTCCTTATCAGAACTCGATTCAGCCAACACCCTTGTCCCAGCTGCATCCTGTTGAAACTCCTCATCCGAACTGGAGTCGCCCCTAGTTCGACCCAACCCATCCTCAGGAGTGCCTCTTCCACCACTCCTCCAAGTAGTCCATCTCTGGTCTAATCCTGACGTTCCCTAAGACCCATCCGTGCCTTCACTACTCCAACCTTCAAACGTGCCACTGCTTGTGGGTTCAGCACAAATATCCCGAATCTCTTGAACCCTTGTCCAATCCAACCCGTCAGACTCAGAGTCTGATATCCCATCATCCATAACATTGGTATCAAAACCTTCAAAAGTATCCTCATGTGTTGGCTCGCTAAGTATCTCCCGGATTCTTTTCCTCTTGCTCTTCATCATAGTCTTGCTCGTGAGTAGTTTTCCTGCCTCTTCTAATACAACTAGTGTTCCTATCACTGCCAGCAGACTCTATCACAACAACACCACCTTGGTGAGATTTATTGAAGAATATATGTAGGCAAAGCAGTAAAAAAACAGCAAAAACAGTAAAGATCCAATATATGAAATAGTTCATAAGCTTCAAAGGCAAACAAGATCCATGAGTAAATAAAATCCATTAATCTAGGCACTTGAATCCATGAAACAAAACAGCTGGAAAATCTCATAGACAAATGTTAAGCTTGGCAAAAACTTGGTACATGAAACTCAGACCACTTGGAACCAAGACCGTGATAAAATAATAACGTTGACCCGACTGAGGCAACTCTCTCCCATGAATCATTATAAAGTTTTTTTCAGATCCCAAAACTGAAAGGAAAGCATTTTTCTTGACCTTCCCACCAGATAAAGGTTGCAAAGTTGCAGAATGGGGGACAATGCCTGGCTCGAGAGCAGTACGTGTGAAAATGATCTTGGAGTCCTCGTGGACAACAAGTTAAACATGAGCCAGGAATGTGATGTGGCGGCAAAAAAACCAGTGGGATGTTGTCCTGCATCAAGAGGAGCCTAGTGTTTAGATCTAGGGAAGTCATGCTCCCCATGCTCTATTCTGCTTTGGTTAGACCACACCTGGAATATTGTATCCAATTCTGGGCACCACAATTGAAGAGAGATATTGACAAGCTGGAATGTGTCCAGAGGAGGGCGACTAAAATGATCAAGGGTCTGGAGAACAAGCCCTATGAGGAGCGGCTTAAGGAGCTGGGCATGTCTAGCCTGAAGAAGAAAAGGCTGAGGGGAGATATGATAGCCATGGATAAATATGTGAGAGGAAGCCACAGGGAGGAGGAGGGAGCAAGCTTGTTTTCTGCTTCCCTGGAGACTAGGACGCAATGGAGGAATGGCTTCAAACTACAAGAGAGGAGATTCCATCTGAACACGAGGAAGAACTTCCTGACTGTGAGAGCCATTCAGCAGTGGAACTCTGCCCTGGAGTGTGGTGGAGGCTCCTTCTTTGAAAGCTTTGAAACAGAGGCTGGATGGCCATCTGTCAGGGGTGATTTGAATGCAATATTCCTGCTTCTTGGCAGAATGGGGTGGGACTGGATGGCCCATGAGGTCTCTTCTAACTCTTTGATTCTATGATTCTATAATCTCTCTTTTGCTGTAGATCATCTCAGTCTCTGAAGACTTTACCTCTGTTTACTAAAACTTTCTTACTAAAGCTTTCTGTCCAAGCTTTCATTATCTTCTCGTTAACTCCTGCAACTGACAAATCATTTTCAGACAGTTGTTCTGAGAAAGGCGGTGAAGGGCCTCTCCCAAGAATGTGGCCTTGGGATCTTCCTGAGACAGTTCTGACCTGTCTTCTGAGCTTAACTCAGGCCAAAACAAACCCTAATCCCCAATGCCATCAGACCCAGGCCATTAGTCCACACCTCCTGCATTCCAGAGTGACGTATGACGTACGACGCACTACGCTGCATCCATTGCTCTCTGCACTAAAATTTATGAACTCTCTAGGAATGCCGATTCTCTTCATGGTTCAGTTAACCCTTTCCACACAGGAAATACACTCGGCACATAGCATTGCATTTTTAAACATACATACACACTTTGAAATCTACATTATACATTTCAAAACGCATCAACAGAACAGACTGACATACAACACAAAAAAATTCATATTTCATAATCTAGAGCTGATGTGGTCTGTCCAGTGCAATTTTCTGAATCGGCATCCCAAATAACCTCGGGAACAGGCCTAAAACAAAAACATCAAGAAAAAAAATATTTTTTTGGTTTGGCTGTGTTCTTATCTGTGGATTTTGTTAACACTTATGCTAAAAAAAAAAAGAAGAAGGAAAGGGAATGAGGTGGAAAAAAATATAAAAAGAGGAGTGCGAGACCCAAGAAACTGTCCCTAAAGGGTTTCTCTCGCCTCCTCGTCATGGATGCATGGCCACGACGAAGGGGGCGTCGTCTGTGGGGCATTGCCATGGTGTAACAGTGAGGCTGTGGACCATATTTTAGTGCTTGAGAATCACCTCGGTCTGCGGACCACATGTTGGGAATGCTAAATTTCTACATGCTAAATTTCAGATGAAGACAAACCCAGAGCAAGACCAAGGAGGGTTGCTTCCTGGAGACGACTTTGTCGTTTTGCCCGAACCGCAGAGCGCCATTCACATCTCTTCAAAGGACACCATGAACATCACCATCTCCAAGGCCTCCCTCGCCGTCTTCGACAATCTCGCCAAGGTATTGGGTTTTGTTCGGAGGATCTCTTTGCACGGTTCATAGGGGGAGATGCGAGTAGCGAGGGAACACTGTATACTTAGACATTTGGATGCATAAATCTATAAGTAAATAGCTTTTTAAAAAATTGAGTCGGAGCGGATCTGCTTTGCAGTCTTGTGATATTGCTCTCTGTAATGATTCTTACTTTGTAGGCCGAAGTAGGAGCCTGAGATATCTGTAGGCAGGCCTCCATTTTGGGAGTGTAAGCATAGGAAGCAGACATCTTGGGAGTGTAAGAGGAGAAGAAGGGAGGAGCTGGAGCTCTCTCTGGATTGGTTAGGACAGTTGGGAGGAGTTAAGCACTGAGAGGGAAAAGTGTCAACTTGACAGAAAACAGATTGATTTTTGGCTTTGAAGAAAGAAGATTGGTTTTGGAACAGAAGGAAAAAGAGATAGATTTTTGTTGAGCTTGGTTGTTTCTGTCAGAGAGCATTTGTGACAGGTGATTCTGCGTTATTTGACCAGGAGGGTCAAAGTAGATGCCTGGGTGCTTGTGTGGGTTTTTACACAAGAGGTTTGCTCTCTGGGGTCAGAGTAGTTTAGCTTTTAGAGGACTCTGCTTAGAATGTAGCTAATTGCTCTAGTGTTGCGATCCAGAGCAGGAAACGAGGCCCTAAGATAACTATCTACCACATTTGACTGTGAAAAAACAATCCTTTTTTATTGAAGAAAAATGATTACAAAATAAAGGAAAAATGCAAAGTCAAAAGCCACAGCAAAATCAGCAAACATGAATGTCCATGAACAAGATCAAAACCCAAAGCCACACTGTAAAATACTGGAATCTGTTAGCAATCCACTAACCGTACTTGGTGTCCTAGAAATCTTTCAAGACGATGGCCAGGGAAATGGGGAGAACTGCCAAGGTCTTAATCAATCTAAAACGATGCCTGAACTGGAAAAGTCAGCCCGGCAGAAGGCACTTAAATCCGAGGAATTGGTTTCTTGAAATGCCTCCCTGCTTTGAAGCCATTGTTTGTATTTCTTGTAATCTCGAAGACCTTCGCAAGCTGAGTGATTTACTCCTGTCTTGCCAGATCTGCCCCCTTCTGTTCTCATTAAGGTTCCCAGGTGCAGAAGGGAGTGAAAGGTCATGGCTTCCCTCTGAAACATTCTCATGAACATTGGTATTTTCATTTTCCAAATCTACAGAAGTTTCTTCCTCACTAATTTCAGGAGCATTGTCACTAATTTCAGGATCATTAACATCAAGAAGTACATTTTCATTAGCATCAGGAAGTACATTTTCATTAGCATCAGTAAATATATTTTCATTAGCATCAGGAGGTACAAACAGAGAATCAGGTTCAAACTCAGGCTAGACCCCAACATCTAGGGACAACCTGATTAGGTTAGTCTGAGGAACTCACTGTTACTAGGTTTATTGTAGAGTGAGGAGTTTTACTCATATCTAAGCCAAGTAACCTGTTTGAAGTAACTATTAAGATTATCGTACCTCAGTAACCAATTAAGCTTGTGTGCCTCGTTGAAGAAGATATTTGTTTGTTCTTATCAATAAACATTTTCTCTAGTTCAACTTTTGAATAAGCCTCAGTAGTGATTCATTCCTGTGAGAATATTTCCAGCTGTTTTAACATCCTTACTCCACAGTCATCTCAGGGAGCTAAAGGAGAGCTGTTGGGCAGGAAGAAGATTACCTCAGGGAACCATTCTTTAATATTCCCAAATTAGTTTGGGTGGTGGCAGCAACTCTACCAGAGTATACACGTTACCTCAACATACATCTAAACGCTCCGTGCCAAGAAGCATATCCCATCAGATTGGTAGTGGTGGGATAGATTTATTAGGAGGTATTTATTATTTATTTATTTTATTTATTTGCTTTATTTCTATACCGCATATTTCAGCCCAGACAGGCGACTCTATGCGGTTTACATGATACAAATTATTAACAGTGTCAGTGCAATTAAAACGCAACACGTGCGACAAACAGGATCAACATCAATCCACAACAGTTAACAAAACAGAACAGGACAGTCAACACATACAACATAACGCCTCAGTGAAATCAGATCCGTTCTCATAATCCTTGTGCCATTCCTATGTTCCATTTACCGTCTTCCTTGATTGATTGCACTGTTCAACCAAACGCCTGTTCATAAAGCCAGGTCTTAACCTTTTTCCGAAACGCCAGCAACGAAGGTGCCTGTCTGATGTCTGCCGGCAAGGCATTCCATAGCCGAGGGGCCACCACTGAGAAGGCCCTGTCTCTCGTCCCCGCCAAGCGCGCCTGTGACGCAGGCGGGACCGAGAGCAGGGCCTCCCCAGACGATCTTAATGTCCTAGTCGGTTCATAGGAGGAGATGCATTCAGAGAGGTAAGCTGGGCCGGAACCATTAGTGCTTTATAGGCTAAAGCCAGCACTTTGAATTGTGCTCAATAGCAAACTGGCAGCCAGTGGAGCTGGCACAACAGAGGAGTTGTATGCTCCCTGAGCACTGCTCCTGTTAGCAACCTGGCTGCCGCCCGCTGGACCATTTGAAGCTTCCAAACAGTCTCCAAAGGCAACCCCACGTAGAGCGCGTTGCAGTAATCAATCCGGGATGTAACCAGAGCGTGGACTACCGTGGCCAAGTCAGACTTCCCAAGATACGGGCGCAACTGGCGCACAAGTTTTAATTGTGCAAATGCTCCCCTGGACACTGCCGAGACTTGGGGTTCCAAGCTTAGCGAAGAGTCCAGGATCACACCCAAGCTGCGAACCTGCGTCTTCAGGGGGAGTGTAACCCCGTCTAACACAGGCTGTAACCCTATACCCTGTTCGGCCTTTCAACTGACCAGGAGTGCCTCTGTCTTATCTGGATTCAATTTCAATTTGTTCACCCTCATCCAGTCCGACACAGCGGCCAAGCAACGGTTCAGGACCTGAACAGCCTCCTTAGTAGTAGGTGGAAAGGAGTGACAGAGTTGGACGTCATCTGCGTACAGATAACACCGCACCCCGAAACTCCGGATGATCTCTCCCAACGGTTTCATGTAGATGTTAAATAACATGGGGGACAATATTGAACCCTGCGGTACCCCACAAGACAATGGTTGTGAGGTAGAGCAGTTGTCCCCCAGCAACACCTTCTGAGTACGATCCTCTAGGAAGGACCTGAGCCACTGCAGAGCAGTGCCACCAAGGCCCATTCCCGCGAGGCGTCTCAGAAGGATACCGTGGTCGACGGTATCGAAGGCCGCTGAGAGGTCCAGCAGAACTAACAGGGACACACTCCCCCTGTCTAGCTCCCCCTGTCTAGCTCCCGGGTAGGGAACCTTTGGCCCTCCAGCTGTGGTGAACTTCAACTCCCACAATTCCTTGAGGCTCGGCATTGGGCCAAGGTAAGCCTTTGGGGCGAATGCCGAGCCTCAAGGAATTGTGGGAGTTGAAGTCCACCACAGCTGGAGGGCCAAAGGTTCCCTACCCCTGATCCAGTCCAATCCCATTCCGCCAAGAAGCAGGGAAATTGCATTCAAAGCACTCCTGACAGATGGCCATCCAGCCTCTGCTTCAAAGCCTCCAAAGAAGGAGCCTCCAACACCTTTAAAGCCCTAAACCAGGGGTAGGGAACCTTTGGCCCTCCAGCTGTGGTGGACTTCAACTCCCACAATTCCTTGAGGCTCGGCATTGGGCCAAGGTAAGCCTTTGGGGCGAATGCCGAGCCTCAAGGAATTGTGGGAGTTGAAGTCCACCACAGCTGGAGGGCCAAAGGTTCCCTACCCCTGCACTAAGGCGACCAAGGCTGTCTCGGTACCATACCCCTGATTCTGTTATAGGTAGGCTTGGGCGATCAAGGAAAAATTTGTTTCTAAACTCGCTTCGTTTCCAGGGGGCGCTAGCGTTTCTAAATTCTGAGGACTTCCGAAATTTGAGATTTCAAAGTTTCGTTATTTCCGAAATTTCGTTATTAATTACGAATCGATTCGTTAATGGCGGACGCGATTGCGCAATCTGCTAAAAACACCTACAACTGGTGTTACAACTAACAAAATCATTTTAATCAATTAATCAAATAATCAAATAGAATAAGAAATTAAATAACAAAGTAATAAAATAAAGTAACAAAATAAGTAGTAAGATAACAAATTAAAATGTAATAAAACACATAACTTTGTAATAAAATATAAAAATAATATATAAAATAATAATATTTAAAAATAATATATTAAATAAATAATATATATAATTAATAATAATATATATATAAAATAATAATATAATATATAAAAATTTAGAAAGTAAATATAAGAAAAAAATAAATAAAAAGTAACAAAAATTGCACGTTGAAACAAACTATGAAGTTATTAAATTATGGCCAAATTATCTGGCAAGTGTACATATTAATTATAATTTCTCTAGAAGTAGTGCAAGGGGGTGTGTGGGTGAAATCAAATACATTAAGTAGTAAGTATATAATTTAAAATCAACTGAAATTAATTTATAAATGAAAAAACATTACATTAAAAATAAACAAATCAACAAAAATAAGAAATTAAAAAATTAAAAATTAAAGAAATAAACAAATCAACATAAATTAATTTATAAATTTTAAAATATTACACCCAAACAATAATAGTAGTATCATAAAATGTAATAAAATACATACATTACATAAATAGAAAATTAAATAAAATAAATAATACATGCTAGGAGAAAGAGGAGGGAGGGGGGAATGTGGGATTTGCCAACTGGAAGGTAGGTAGGTAGGTAGGAAGGAAGGAAGGAAGGAAGGAAGGAAGGAAGGAAGGTAGCCCAGTGCAGCCCAGAGTGAGGCAAGAAGAAGCATGAGGAAAGAGGAGGGAAGCAGCAGAGCAAAGGGACCGGAAGTGGGGTAAATGCGAGATTGTAAAACTTGTAAAACATACGGAAATAATTACGAAATAATTACGAAAATTGGAAAATTGTTTCGATTCTTAATGACTCCTCACACTATTCCTGCATGGCTCGATATTTATTTATTTTATTTATTTCATCTACTTATACCCCGCCCTTCTCACCCCGAGGGGGACTCAGGGCAGCTTACAGGAAAGGCACAATTAGATGCCCAAAACACACAACAAACAATACAAAATATAACAATTCAACAATTAAAATAAAACATCAATACCTAATAAAATCATAAAAACTATCTCATGTCAGAGTCCATATATCAGAGTCCATATATCCATTCCATTCCATTGTCCTTGTCTATCGACAGGTCCTTTAGTTAGTTGTCAGCATGGCCAAAAGCTTGGTCCCACACCCAGGTCTTTAGTTTTTTCCTAAACGCTAGAAGGGAAGTCGCCGATCTGATCTCCCCGGGGAGTGAGTTCCACAGGTGGGGGGCCACCACTGAGAAGGCCCTGCTCCTCGTCCCCGCCAGCCTCACTTGTGCCACTGGCGGGGTCGAGAGCAGGGCCTCCCCAGAAGATCTTAAACTTCGAGGTGGGATGAATCATAGGACAAATACACTGGGCCGGAACCGTATAGGGTTTTGTAGGTCAAAACCAGCACTTTGAATTGTGCTCGGAACTGGATCGGCAGCCAGTGGAGCTGACTCAACAGTGGTGGTATGTTCCCTGTATGACGCTCCGGTGAGTAATCTGGCTGCCGCCCGCTGGACTAATTGAAGTTTCCAAACAGTCTTCAAAGGCAACCCCACGTAGTGCACGTTGCAGTAATCTATTCGGGTTGTAACAAGAGCGTGGACCACTGTGGCCAGATCAGGCTTCCCAAGGTACAGGCGCAGCTGGCACACAAATTTTAATTGTGCAAAAGCTCTCCCGGCCACCGCTGAGACCTGGGGTTCCAGGCTCAGCGATGAGTCCAGGATCACTCCCAAGCTGCGAACCTGCGTCTTCAGGGTCATAAGCTAATTTAAATACGAATTAATAATGAATTACGAAATTAACGAACTGGATCGCCCAAGCCTAGGTGGGATATATTAGAAATTATAATCCCCAGGATCCTGACTTTGTTTAATTGGTGGCAGCGGCATGATTTGTATTCTGGAGTTATAATAATACACCCTTATTCATTAAACTCTCCTTTCTCCCAGGGCTTCTCGGAAGGTGCGGGCTCCACCTACAACTACACCCTCAAGGACCGGGCCCCCTTCACGCTGAAGAACGCCCTGGGCCTCCCGCTCAAGGTCCACACCTGCCGCAGCCTCCAGGTCATCGGCTCGGCCACGGGAGAAGACATCCACGACGTCCGGGTGGGGGAGACCTTGGAGCTGGACTACGCGGCTCTGGAGCCCCAGCACAGGGGCAAGCTCTCGGCCTTCTACCGCCAGGAGAGCTCCCTCTTCACCTTGAGCTTTGGTAAGACCTTGCGGAAAGGGCCAAAGGGCCAGGCATTGCGGAAATGGAAACAAGAATGTATGTATGTGTATTTTATAAGACTCTCAAGAAAATAATATAAATCAAGGTAATATGTTCTCTAATGGAGTAAATTGTCTAGACTTTATAGCATTTATAGCATTTAACAGTAATGTTATCAGCACATTATAAGTAAATGTAGGTTATCTTATCAACATAGAGTAATGAATAGTAGACTAGAGATAATAAAGTCCATCCTTTCCTGGAGTCAGATTTCAGTGCAGGAATTCAACAGTCTCTGTCTTTATCCTCAAAAGAATTCTTCTTTTAGCAACACAGTCTTTAAGGAGTACTTCTTATGCAGCAGAGTCTTCCTTAGGTAACACAATTTCACAATTTCTACAAGGTCTCCCGGTATGTTCTCCTTGTTTCGAAAAATTATCTTCTTCAGGATGTTATCACATATATATAATGCACTAAATAAAGGAGTAAAAATAACATACACAATAGATACATGAAACTCCCCAATTCACATTTCTAGTGAAACATTCTATAATAACAATAAAGAAACATGCTACTCTACTTACACTCTCTTTACACTCTCTTCAATAGTACAGGCTCTGTTCTGGAGGAGTTCTATAACGAGCAATGAGTCTGGGTCCCTGGACCACAAGGCGGTCTCGACGCACTTAAGTCAATACCCATCGTCACCTAAATTGCATCTTCATTGCACTCAGGGGGTGCCTGGTAGGTTATTTTGGGATTGGGGGAGTCACACGATTGTTTCCCATTCCCATTCAAATATACGACCATATTTACTCAAATCTGATGTTTGTGTGCAGTGAAGAAACAGAAAGTATAGGAACCACTTTCTCCACCACCCAAGATGGACAGTTTTGGATTCGGAGTATTTCGTACTTCTGGATAAGGGATGCGCAAAAAATATTGAGGTTTGCAGTCGTAACCCTTTCCTGGAAGTACAAAATAGAAAGAAAAATACAAATGATATTTTGGAAGTAGGCAAAACATCTAAAGACTAAGTTGGCAACAAGGACTACTGTGGTCATAGTCTTCTATAGGTGGAAAAGAAAGAAATGCAAGACAAATAAGTAGAAGTTGCAAGTCTGTATGTAGCATTGAAGATCGATAAAAAGTAAAAATTTCCCCTGACATAAAGTCTAGTCGTGTCCAACTCTGGAGGTTGGTGCTCATCTCCATTTCTAAGTGATGTTGTACCCTACGTTGAGCTGCAAGGAAAAGCAAGACATAAAATATTATTATTTACTTTCTCCCCATGGGGACTCAAAGTGGCTATATTATTATTTATTTATTTCATCTACTTATACCCCGCCCTTCTCACCCCGAGGGGGACTCAGGGCGGCTTACAGGAAAGGCACAATTAGATGCCCAAAACACACAACAAACAATACAAAATATAACAATTCAACAATTAAAATAAAACATCAATACCTAATAAAATCATAAAAACTATCTCATGTCAGAGTCCATATATCAGAGTCCATATATCCATTCCATTCCATTGTCCTTGTCTATCGACAGGTCCTTTAGTTAGTTGTCAGCATGGCCAAAAGCTTGGTCCCACATCCAGGTCTTTAGTTTTTTCCTAAACGCTAGAAGGGAAGTCGTCGATCTGATCTCCCCGGGGAGTGAGTTCCACAGGTGAGGGGCCACCACTGAGAAGGCCCTGCTCCTCGTCCCCGCCAGCCTCACTTGTGCCACTGGCGGGGTCGAGAGCAGGGCCTCCCCAGAAGATCTTAAACTTCGAGGTGGGATGTAGAGGGAGATCCGTTCGGACAAATACACTGGGCCGGAACCGTATAGGGTTTTGTAGGTCAAAACCAGCACTTTGAATTGTGCTCGGAATTGGATCGGCAGCCAGTGGAGCTGACGCAACAGGGGGGTGGTGTGCTCCCTGTACGCCGCTCCGGTGAGCAATCTGGCTGCTTCTCGCTGGACTAGTTGAAGTTTCCGAGCAGTCTTCAAAGGCAACCCCACGTAGAGTGCGTTGCAGTAATCCAACCGGGATGTGACAAGAGCGTGGACCACCGTGGCCAGATCCGACTTCCCAAGGTACGGGCGCAGCTGGTGCACAAGTTTTAATTGTGCGAAAGCTCTCCCGGCCACCGCTGAGACCTGGGGTTCCAGGCTCAGTGATGAGTCCAGCATCACACCCAAGCTGCGAACCTGCGTCTTCAGGGGGAGTGTAACCCCGTCTAACACAGGCTGTAACCCTATACCCTGTTCGGCCTTACGACTGACCAGTAGGACCTCTGTCTTGTCTGGATTCAATTTCAATTTGTTAGCTCTCATCCAGTCCGATACAGCTAAACACCGGTTCAAGGTCTGGACAGCCTCCTTGGTGACAGGTGAGAAGGAGTGACAGATTTGGACGTCATCTGCATAGAGATAGCATCTTAGTCCGAAACTCCGAATGATCTCTCCCAGCGGCTTCATGTAGATGTTAAATAACATCGGGGACAAGATTGAACCCTGTGGGACTCCACACAACAACGGTTGTGGGGCCGAACAGGTGTCACCCAATAACACCTTCTGGGTCCGTCCCTCAAGGAAGGATCGAAGCCACCGCAAAGCAGTGCCTCCGAGCCCCATATCCATGAGGCGGCCCAGAAGGATACCGTGATCGACGGTATCGAAGGCCGCTGAGAGGTCCAGCAGAACTAACAGGGACACACTCCCCCTGTCTAGCTCCCTGCGTAGATCATCTACCAAGGCGACCAAGGCTGTCTCAGTTCCATTTCCCGGCCTAAAGCCAGACTGTGCCGGGTCTAGATAATCAGTGTCTACCAGAAACCCCTGGAGTTGTGTTGCCACCACACGTTCCATGACTTTGCCCAAATAGGGGAGATTGGAAACTGGCCGATAGTTGTCGAATTGAGTGGGATCCAGTGATGGTTTCTTCAACAGCGGTTTTATAATAGCTTGTTTTAAGCTCGCTGGAAATTTCCCTTCCTGTAAGGAGGCATTAACCCATCACCTTCACCCACTCTGCCAAACCCCCTCTGGCTTCCTTGATCAGCCAGGAAGGGCAGGGGTCTAGGATGCATGTGGTGGGTCGCACCTCTCCAAGGATCCTGTCCACATCCTCAAGCTGAACCAATTGAAACGAATCCAACAAAACTGGACAAGCAGATGCTCTCGTTACATCCCCAGAGACTGCCGTTAACATGACGTCAAAACCCGACCGAATCCGCTCAATTTTATCCGCGAAGGATCGAGCAAATGCTTCACAGCGAGCCACCGAGTTGTCCGAGGCCTCGCTTTTTGGCGGATTTAACAGGCCCCTGACAACTCGGAAAAGCTCCGCTGGAGTAGTTCTAAAATGCACAATAATGCAAAGATTTTGTCTTCTATAAATAAATTCACTTCCGACTACTCAGTCAAGACAGACAGTTCGCACCAAAGAACCTGGGTCCCTGGGCCCGTGGAGCAAACAAGCCGGCACCCAGGGCCGGGTCTCCGGTTCTTCTTGGCCGTCTAATAATATTATTATTATTAGTATTATTATTTGATACACAATAAGATTAGTACATCAAATAAGACAGTGGTTCTAAACCTTTCTAATGCGGTGACCCCCAAATCAAATTCCTCGTGTTGTGGTGACCCCCAACCATATTTTTGTTGCTACTTCATAAATAATTTTGCTACTCTTATGAATTCTAATGCAAATATCGAATATGCAGGATGTATTTTCATTGTTACAAATTGAACATAATTAAAGCGTAGTGACTAATCACAAAAACAATACGTTTTGGGGGAGTATGGACAGCGGATGATGGGATTGCAGTACCTTCCACAGACCACTGAGATCCCCCACAAATTACAGACCTGGACCAAACTTGGCACATAGAACTCCCATGACCAACAGAAAATACTGGAGGAATTGACAGTGATTTATGGAAAATGTAGTTCACCTACATTCAGAAAGCACTGTGAACCCAAATGACTATGGATCTGGACCAAACTTGGCATGAATTCTCAATATGCCCAAACTTGAACAATGGTGAAGTTTGGGGGAAATGGATCTTGGCATTTGGGAGTTGCAGTTGCTGGGATTTATAGTTCCTCTGCCGTCAGAGAGCACTCTGAACTTCAACAAAAATGGAATTGAAGAAGCTCGGTATACAGAACTCCCATAACCAACAGAAATTACTGGAGAGTTTTTGGGGTTATTTTCCTGACATTTGGGAGTTGCTGGGATATATAGTTCCCTCCCATCCAAAAGCATTCTGAACTCATGCAACCATGGAATGGACTCACACTTGGCACAGAGAACTCCCATGGTCAACAGAAAATACTGAAGGGGCTTGGGGAGCATAGACCTTGGCATTTTGGAGCTGCTGGGATATATAGTTCTCTCCCATCCAAAAGCATTCTGAACTCATGCAACCATGGAATGGACTCAAACTTGGCACAGAGGAGTCTGCCAGGAGTGCCATTTGGCTGGCTCAAGGGGTCGGCAGCCATTTTGGAGGGGGCAGGGCCAGCCAAGGCAGCTTTGCGACCCCCCCGAAAATGACCGAATGACCCCCCCCAGGGGTCGTGACCCCCAGGTTGAGAACCACTGAAATAAGATCACTCTGCTGGCTTTTGTGTTGTGATCCCACGTTGGACACTTCCCAAGTATCTAGGACTGTGTGTTGTATCAGAAAATAATGTGTGCAGATCCGAGTAGGGTGACCTTTTTAGTGGTAATTTTGTCAGCACTGATTGTGTTTAAGTGCAGGCCAAGGTCTTTAGGCACTGCACCCAGTGTGCCCATCACCACTGGGACCCCCTTTACTGGCTTGTGCCAGAGTCTTTGCAGTTCGATCTTTAAATCCTCATATTGTACATAATAATAATAATAACAACAACAATAATGTAATTATTATATAATTATATTATTGTAAATATTATTATTATTATTCCACTGTTGTTGTTGTTGTATAAATGGAAACTTTTTCTCCCAGAAACCTTTGTTTGTGGTTTGGGCCAAATGCTTTTTTATTGTATTATTTGCACAAAATTATGACGTTTCCGAGACGGGCTAGTAGATGAAAACTGGTTTCACTTCCCATAAATGGACCACTGTATCTCCCTCCCATTACTTTCAAAGAGACAAGAATCCCTTCATTCCTGTTCCTTTTTTTGTTGTGAATCAGGACCGCACGGATATACCGAAGTGGCCAATGTGCCAATTGCAAAGCCTGGAAGAAGGCTGTACAACGTTCGAGCCCCTGAACGTGACCATTCGGACTCCGTCGTGGTGCAGATCGATGCGGAAGAAGGGAACAAAGTGATCACGATACGCTCTCCGCTGCAGGTAAATGGCCTCAGCTTTTCATACGTTCATGCTTTAATATAGATGTGTCTTTTACTACGTCGTGCCCTGCCTCAAGCTGTAAGGAGAAACAAGTAATAAATAAATTATTATTATTATTATTATTATTATTACTACTACTACTACTACTACTCCACATCAAACAGGGTTCTTCTGTTTTAATACCAAATAGTTGTTTGTCATAAAAACATAAACAAAGAGTCACTCCAAGTCCCTTTGGGAGATGGGGCGGGATACAAATAAAGTTTTATTGTTGTTTCTGTTGTTGTTGTTGTAAGTTGTTGTTGGGGTTCAGTCTGTGTGTGAACCTGTACCTGACTCTCTTATTGTATTTCCTGATGTTAATGAAGGTGTCAATGATTCTGAGCGTGATGTTAATGAAGGTGTCAATGATTCTGAGCTCAATGTAGAAGATGAAGGTTTGTGTCGTGAAAATCCTGCTGCTTTGGAAAGCGAAATTCCAAATTCCCATGAGAATGATTCAGAGCCAAGCATTGAACTTTCACTCCCTTTGAGCTCTCCAGATAATAGGACACCTGGTTCCTCTAACGAGAATAGACGGGGGCAGATTTGGCAAAACAGAGGCGAAGCGCAGAGTTTACGGAGGTCAGCTAGATTAAGAGAAATGCAAACACGGCCTTCAGGCACGTCACGAAATAGATTTCTATGCTTTAAAGACGCTTGGCCTGGATGCCCATTCAGTCCAGGCATCGTTTCAGATTCATGTGCAGACTCTTGCAGTTCTCCTGCTTCCAGTGGCTTTGTTCCAAGGAGTTTTTCTAGTGCTTCAAGTACGGTTAGTGGATTGCTAACAGGTTCCAGGATTTAGCAGTGTTACTGTGGGTTTTTGATATTGTTCATGGACATTTCTGGTTGCTGAGTTTTACTGTGACTTTTTACCTTGCATTTTTCCTCTATTTTTGTACTCATCTTTCATCAATAAAAAGGATTGTTTTTTCCTGAAGTCAAGTGTGGTGGATTGTTGTCTTAGGGTCCAGTTTCCTGCTCTGGGTTGCAACAGTTGTTCCAAGTCCCTTTGGGAGATGGGGAGGGATACAAATAAAGTGTTGTTGTTGTTGTAAGTCTCTCCGAGTCCCTTTGGGAGATGGGGCGGGATACAAATAAAGTGTTGGTGTTGTTGTTGTTGTTCTAAGTCATTCCGGGTCCCTTAGGGAGATGGGGCGGGATACAAATAAAGTGTTGTTGTTGTTGTTTCTGTTGTTGTTCTAAGTCATTCCAAGTCCCTTTGGGAGATGGGGAGGGATACAAATAAAGTGTTGTTGTTGTTGTAAGTCTCTCCGAGTCCCTTTGGGAGAGGCGGCGGGATACAAATAAAGTGTTGGTGTTGTTGTTGTTGTTCTAAGTCATTCCGGGTCCCTTAGGGAGATGGGGCGGGATACAAATAAAGTGTTGTTGTTGTTGTTTCTGTTGTTGTTCTAAGTCATTCCAAGTCCCTTTGGGAGATGGGGAGGGATACAAATAAAGTGTTGGTGTTGCTGTTGTTGTTGTAAGTTGCTCTGAGTCCGTTTGGGAGATGGGGCAGGATACAAATAAAGTGTTGTTGTTGTTGTTGTTGTAAGTCGCTCCAAGTCCCTTTGGGAGATGGGACAGGATACAAAAAAAGTGGTGTTGTTATAAGTCGCTCCAAGTCCCTTTGGGAGATGGAGCAGGATACAAATAAAGTGTTGTTGTTGTTGTTGTAAGTCGCTCCGAGTCCCTTTGGGAGATGGGGCGGGATACAAATAAAGTGGTGTTGTTGTTGTTGTGGTTGCTCTGAGTCCCTTTGGGAGATGGGACAGGATACAAATAACGTGTTGTTGTTGTTGTTGTAAGTTGCTCTGAGTCCCTCCTTTGGGAGATGGGACGGGATACAAATAACGTGTTGTTGTTGTTGTTGTAAGTTGCTCCGAGTCCCTTTGGGAGATGGGTCGGGATACAAATAATGTGTTGTTGTTGTTGTTGTTGTAGTAAGTTGCTCTGAGTCCCTTTGGGAGATGGGGTGGGATACAAATAAAACGTTGTTGTTGTTGTAGTTGTAAGTTGCTCCGATTCCCTTTGGGAGATGGGGCGGGATACAAATAAAGTGTTGTTGTTGTTTTTGTTGTTGTTGTAAGTTGCTCCGATTCCCTTTGGGAGATGGGGCGGGATACAAATAAAGTATTGTTGTTGTTGTTTTTGTTGTTGTTGTAAGTTGCTCCGATTCCCTTTGGGAGATGGGGCGGGATACAAATAAAGTGTTGTTGTTGTTGTTGTTGTTGTAAGTTGCTCCGAGTCCCTTTGGGAGATGGGACAGGATGCAAATATGGTGTTGTTGTTGTTGTTGTTGTTGTAAGTTGCTCCAAGTCCTTTTGGGAGATGGGACGGGATACAAATAAAGCTTCAGTCATTGTGTTCACCTCGTAAAGTGTGTTGCTGTTTTTTGAATTTCAGATCAAGAACCACTTTTCCGTTCCATTCATCGTTTACAAATTTGTGAGGGACGGGAGACTGCTGGAGCCGATTGGCGTCTCTAAGCCGGAAGAGGAATTCCACGTCCCGTTGGATTCATACAGGTAAAGCCCTTTCCTTCCTTTATATTCTTGAGTGCTTCTGCCTTTACAAAGTGTCCTACCGATTAAAAAGCAGATAAATACCTTCCTGTTCGCACAGCTTTTGATGAAGACGCTTAGCTGTAATGACAGGAAGGCTAACTTTTACTGAGTTGTGCTAATGTTGGGTTATTGTAGTTTTTTCGGGCTATATGGCCATGTTCTGGAGGCATTCTCTCCTGACGTATCGCCTGCATCTATGGCAAGCATCCTCAGAGGTAGTGAGTCTGTTGGAACTAGGAAAATGGGTTTATATATCTGTGGAATGACCAGGGTGGGACAAAGGACTCTTGTCTGCTGGAGCTAGGTGTGAATGTTTCAACTGACCACCTTGATTAGCATTTTATGACCTGGCAGTGCCTGGGGCAATCTTTTGTTGAGAGATGATTAGATCTTGTTCTTTCATAGAATCCTAGAAGTTGGAAGAGACCTCATGGGCCATCCAGTCCAACCCCCTGCCAAGAAGCAGGAATATTGCATTCAAATCACCCCTGACAGATGGCCATCCAGCCTCTGTTTAAAAGCTTCCAAGAAGGAGCCTCCACCACACTCCGGGACAGAGAGTTCCACTGCTGAACGGCTCTCACAGTCAGGAAGTTCTTCCTCATGTTCAGATGGAATCTCCTCTCTTGTAGTTTGAAGCCATTGTTCCATTGCGTCCTAGTCTCCAGGGAAGCAGAAACAAGCTTGCTCCCTCCTCCCTGTGGCTTCCTCTCACATATTTATACATGGCTATCATATCTCCTCTCAGCCTTCTCTTCTTCAGGCTAAACATGCCCAGCTCCTTAAGCCGCTCCTCATAGGGCTTGTTCTCCAGACCCTTGATCATTTTAGTAACCCTCCTCTGGACACATTCCAGCTTGTCAATATCTCTCTTGAATTGTTGAAAGGAGGAAACCATGAAAATGAACAAAATCTGGCTACCAGTATTAAAAAGTCTAAAATTGAAACAGCAAAACAGCAGAGAGTAAACAATGAGGCCCAGGCCTGCAAGCAATGGAAGTGGCAAGGGGCTTTGCGCGAGGCCCAATCCCCTCGGCGGGTCGGATAAATGCCCTCAGTGGGCCTCATGTGGCCCGCGGGCCGTAGTTTGAGGACCCCTGTATTAGACAAATGTTTTAAAATATGCTTATTTATTCCTTATTCTAAATTTGTTTTTATAGGTTATTGTTTTACATATGCATATTGTTTTGTATTGTTTTTTTATAATGTTGTAAGCCTCTTTGGGTCTCGTTCAGGGAGAAAAGCGGGATGTAAATAAAGAATTATTTTCATTATTATTATTATTATTATTATTATTATTATTACCACCTCTGCTCTAGATTCCCCCCTTTGATCTTCTCCTTTGCTCTCTAGCATATGAAGAGGAGGAAGACTAGAGGATCATAGACACTTTCTGCACTTTGGCTTGTTGACTAGTTGGCCCTGTTACATAATAATAACACTATTTATATTCCGCACTATCTCCCCAAGGGGACTCAGGACAGATCACAGTACACATACTGTTGGGGTTCAGCCTCTGTGTGACCGTGTACCTGATTCTTTGATTGTATTTCCTGATGCCAATGTAGATGTCAGTGTTGATTCTGAGGCCAATGTAGATGTTAATACCGATGTAGGTGTTAATACCGATGATGGATTGAATAGTGAAAACTAGGCTTGGGTAACCACGGAAAAAATTTGGTTCTAAACTCGTTTCGTTTTTAGGGGGCCCTTGCGTTTCGTTTTTTTAAAGAATTCCGAAATTTTCCTTTAAAAGAGTTCGAAATATACGGAATTTCGTAAAATTACGAATCGATTCGTTAATGGCGGACGCGATTGCGCGATACGCTAAAAAACCCTCCAAATGGGACAGGGGGAACTTCTGAAGCTTCCCTCTCCCTCTGTTGTTGACTGTTGGTGTGATCATTTATTTTTTATCACTGATAAAACAAACAACAACCCTAAAACTTGCACCAGACATACGGAAATAATTTCGAAACAATTTCGAAACGATTTTGAACCAATTACGAAACAATTACGAAACAATACTAAATAAATTGGAAAAATTGTTTCGATTTTTAATTACTCCTCACAGTAGTCCTGCGTGGCTCAATATTGGATTGTAAGCTAATTTAAATACGAATTAATAACGAATTACGAAATTAACAAACGAAACTGACCAAGCCTAGTGAAAACCCTCACCCTTGGAAAGTGAAAGTTCCCATGAAAACATTCATTCCGAACCAAGCGGAGAAGTTTCACTCCCTTTTTCTCCCAGCCTTAGTTCCCCAGAGAATCTGAAACCTGGTCAGCCTAATGAGGGAAGGAGGGGTCAGATTTGGCAGAGCAGGGGAGAAGCACAAAGTTTACGGAGGTCAGAAAGATTGAGAGAAATGCAAACAAAAACTTCAGGCGTGTCTCATAATAGATTTCTCTCCTTTAAGATTGCCGGGTCTGAAGCTGCCTTCAGACCAGGCATCATTCCAGTTCCAAGTGCATGCCTGTGGCGGCCTCCTGATTCAAGTGGCTGGGTTTCTCGTAGTTTCTCAAATTGTTCCAAGTGCCGTTAGCTGGGAGCTAGCAGATTTCATGATTCATCAAGAGTAAATCATCGTCTGCTGTGTTTTTTATGGACTCGTTCATGGACATTGCTTGTTGCTGTTTTGCTATGATTTTTACTTACCTCTGATTCTTCCTCTGCTTTGCATTCAACGTTTTTCAATAAAAGGATTGTATTCCTGCAGTTAAGTGTGGTGGATTGTTGTCAAGAGGGTCCAGTTTCCTGCTCTGGGTCGCAACACATACATGGCAAACCTTCAGTGTCGTTTTGGGGAGACAGGACAGAGACTGACAGAACAGATAGGAAGTATGTTGTGTCAACGTCCAGCTTTTTGGCGCCTTGGAGGTTGTGCTCGAATCCAGCCATAGGGGGTGCTGTTGCTCCATCCTCTATGACAAAGAGCCACCAGGACTTCTGCCTTCCTTTTGATCACCAGGCAACTCTGTCTGTCTGAATTTGGAAATTATTATTATTATTCTCCTACTTTGGGTTTTAGGTGCCAGCTCTTTGTGCAGCCAACGGGGGTCTTAAAGGGCCGGTATGAACCCTCCCGGACCTTCATCTCTTGGCGGGAGGAGCTGCACCGGAGCAGCGAGGTCTGCTGCATGCTGCAGTGCCCGGCCACCGAGGCCAGCTTCCTGCCCCTGGTCGTGAACTCCACCGCCGTCCCCGACGCCCTGAGCTTCATTGCCACCAATGGAGAGGACTGGGATCCGGCCTACATCCTCCACCTCCACCCCACCCTCACCCTACGGAACCTGCTACCCTATTCCTTGCGCTATCTCCTGGAGGTACGTCTCTCATTCACTTGCACATTCATCTTGTTCATTCCGCATTCACTCACAACCGGTTTCGACTCTCAGGAGTCTTCATCAGGTAGTTACTCATTTGTTAAGTGAGTAAGGAGCGTCAGTGTGTATTTAGAAGCTTGATGTTTCCAGTTGACAAATTGTATATGTGTGTTAATAACATGTATTGATTATAGACCGAACTACCTGATGAAAACTCCTGAGAGTCAATACTGGTTGTGAGTGAATATTGGAGTCCACTCTTGTGTAATAAAGAAAACATTTACTGTGCAAGGATTTGGTGTCTCTTCGTCTGTAGTAAAGACACAAGAGCTATCTCCACACCCGTTGTCATGAACCAGAAGCCTTAAAGGAGCCAAACACAAGTAAAAGGTCCAAACAAGGTTTATTAAAGTAACAAAAATAGCTTAGAAACACTTAACTCAGTGTATCTAGCAAGAAAACAAGTCTGTAGCAAACTGCTATGCAAAAAACGCAACTTGGAGAATAATCCAGATTATACAGGAATATAATCTGGGATAACAAAAACTTTAAGCAAACTGCTTCAAAATCACAGAGTTCAATAAACACAATGTAGCAAGGTGGGAGCAAGCAAAAACGTAGTCAGGAAACAGTCCAAAGTCGAGGCACGTCCAAAAGCAGAAGTTAAGTCCAAAATGCGATGTCGTCCCCCCAAAAACAATCCGAAATCAGCAAGGAAGTAGAAGTCAGCACTTACAGGATTCCAGTCAGTAGAAGCATGAAAGCACAGCGATCTGCAGTCCGAAGACCCAAGGCAAGAGTAATGGCAGCAACAAAGTCCCAAGCCCAGTACAACACTTTGCCTACTGCAAAGTTCCAATAGTTTGATACCTTACTTTTATCCTATAACTCATCAGAGGGGATGAGCTGGACTCCACCCTGTCTTCATCACTCTCAGGTGCCTTTGCTTCCACAGCTGCTCGCCACCACCCGTCCCTCCAACTTTTCCAGCGTCTATCAAGACTTAGATCACCCCATGTATTTCCAGGTTGCCAGTCTCCCGAAAACCCTTCAAACTCCTCACTTGATGTGGGTTGGTACATATGTCCCTGATCTCTTGTACATGGGTCCAATCTAACCCATCCTCCTCCCTGTCATCACTCCCAGTCCCATCACTCCCCGTGAACCCCATGAAGTCTTCTTCCTCAGTTGGAGCATTAAGTATTTCACGGATCCGCTTCCTTTCCCTTTCTTCATCTGACTCCTTGCTCCCGAGTAACCCCTTTCAAGCCTCTACTCCCATCTCCCTCCTCCTCCATCTCAGAATCTGTAAAACCTTCGAATGACTCAGTATCTGTAGGTGTCATGAATATTTCCTTAATTCGCTTTCTTTGCTGCTCTTGTTCCAGCACCTGAGCAACCCTCTTTCCCCTTCTACTACTAGTAGTAGCTTGATCAGCACACTGTACTACAACACCCGTGAAGAGGATTTTTTTTCATCTTTTGAGAAAATAACAAATTATTCCTGTTTAATGTGAATGTAATATTCCTATGTTTTGCTGACATTTGCATTTGTATGTATACATTGAACTTCTATGAGTTTAGATACTTTTGCATCACTGCAATTAGTGAATATTGGCCTTTCTAGTTGAAAGCGTTCTTTCCAATTTGATTGTGTGGTTCTTACTTTGAAAACAGTTCTTCTACTCCAGAAACTTGGTTGTTTTTGTGGCACAAACAAGGTTGAATTCGTTGAGACTCGACGAGAAATTCATTAAAAAACTGGAGCCAAATGTGCTTAGCAAAAACAAAAGTTTGTGAAGTTTAGTAAACTTTTATCCAGCTTTTTAATGATAACTCAATTATGAAATGACATTCATGAAATGACACAAAAATTGTGTGTTTCATAGTGCAATGCTGAACTGCTGTTTTTTTGTTTTTGTTTTTGTTTTGCTTTTCTTAAGAGAACGGCAGAAACCCACGAGCTTCCAGAAGGGAGTACCGCCGACGTCCTCCAAGCCACGATAAGTGGCGAAATCATGGAGTTGGTCCTTTCAAAGTACCAGGGGAAAGACTGGAGCGGTCACTTCCGCGTCTCCGACAATTTGCCCGAGTTCTTCCCGGTGCGCTTCACCTCCGACTCCACTGACACCATGACGGTGGACATCTACATCCACGTGCGACGGGTCGGGAGCCGCATGGTCCTCTCGGTGTACAGTCCCTACTGGATCATCAACAAGACCTCCCGTGTCCTCCAGTACCGAGCGGAGGACGTCCACGTCAAGCACCCAGCCGATTATCGGGACATTGTCTTGTTCTCCTTCAAGAAGAAGAACATTTTCAGCAAGAACAAAGTAAGGCTGAACTTTACTTACTTACTTAGGTGATCCCTCGTTGGCTGAGTAGGATAGTCTTCCAGGATGAGTGTACTGGTGGGTCCGTAGGTGACTGTGGAGCCCTATTCTTGATCCCCATCTTCTCCCACAGTGAGGGCATTGGTTTCCAGGGGGAAGGTGGTCTCGGTCGGGGTTGGCTTGAATCATAGAATCATAGAATCAAAGAGTTGGAAGAGACCTCCTGGGCCATCCAGTCCAACCCCATTCTGCCAAGAAGCAGGAATATTGCATTCAAATCACCCCTGACAGATGGCCATCCAGCCTCTGTTTAAAAGCTTCCAAAGAAGGAGCCTCCACCACACTCCGGGGCAGAGTGTTCCACTGCTGAACGGCTCTCACAGTCAGGAAGTTCTTCCTCATGTTCAGATGGAATCTCCTCTCTTGTAGTTTGAAGCCATTGTTCCGCGTCCTAGTCTCCATGGAAGCAGAAAACAAGCTTGCTCCCTCCTCCCTGTGGCTTCCTCTCACATATTTATACATGGCTATCATATCTCCTCTCAGCCTTCTCTTCTTCAGGCTAAACATGCCCAGCTCCTTAAGCCGCTCCTCATAGGGCTTGTTCTCCAGACCCTTTATCATTTTAGTCACCCTCCTCTGGACACATTCCAGCTTGTCAATATGTCTCTTGAATTGTGGTGCCCAGAATTGGACACAATATTCCAGGTGTGGTCTAACCGAAGCAGAATAGAGGGGTAGCATGACTTCCCTAGATCTAGACACTATGCTCCTATTGATGCAGGCCAAAATCCCATTGGCTTTTTTTGCCGCCACATCACATTGTTGGCTCATGTTTAACTTGTTGTCCACGAGGACTCCAAGATCTTTTTCACACGTACTGCTCTCGAGCCAGGCATTGTCCCCCATTCTGTATCTTTGCATTTTGTTTTTCCTGCCTAAGTGGAGTCTCTTGCATTTGTCACTGTTGAACTTCATTTTGTTAGTTTTGGCCCATCTCTCTAATCTGTCAAGATCGTTTTGAATCCTGCTCCTGTCCTCTGGAGTATTGGCTATCCCTCTCAATTTGGTGTCGTCTGCAAACTTGATGATCCTGCCTTCTAGCCCTTCATCTAAGTCATTAATAAAGATGTTGAACAGGACCGGGCCCAGGACGGAACCCTGCGGCACTCCGCTCGTCGCTTGATGCGCCTTCCTCTTTGCACGTTTCTCTCTTTTGCCTTCCATTTGTGCCTCTTCAAATTCTGCAGCACTGCTGGTCACAGCTGAGCTCCAGCTGGAGCGCTCAAGGACCAGGGCTTCCCAGTTCTCTGGATAAGGCTGAAACCAGGCTTTCAATTGGAGCGAACCAGATACCTTTGGGGATTATTTCTCTCCTTATCATCATCATCATCATTTAATAACTTATTAATCACCCTCCATCCGAGAATGCTCTAGGCGATTTACAGCTAAATTATAAAAGATAAAATACATACATACAGAAATTAAAAATCAACAGAGATCGAATGCTCTAGTGAAAAGCCAGGTCTTGAGTGCGAGAGTAAAAGGCCCTCAGTCCCACATGGCTCTCATGTAGGGCGGCAAGGAATCCCACAATAAGGCAGGGGCAGAAATAGAGAAAGCCCACCTGCGCCTGGTCCTTTCCAAGGGCACTTCTCTAGGACCCGGTATATGGAGTAAGTCACGTTGGGCTGGTCGTTGCGACCTCCGATGATGGGAGAAGGAGAGGCGGTCCTTAAGGTACGATGGACCCTGGCCGTAAAGAGTTTTAAATCTTAGACAGGCCACGGGACTCAGTTGGAAGCCAATGTCAATGTTGCAGCACTGGTGTTCTATGGCATTTCATGGGCGTTCTTGTGAGTAGCCTGGCTGCCGCATTCTGAACAATACGGAGCTTTCGGGTCGTAGACATCGGAAGGCCCACATACAGGGCGTTGCAATAGTCCAGCCTAGACGTGACCGTGGCATGGATGACAGTTGCCAGAGCCTCGTCAGATAGGGAGGGTGCCAGTTGCCTCGCTTGTCGTAGATGGAAAAAGGCCTGTTTGCTGGCAGCAGCGACCTGAGCTTCCATTGTCAGCTGCGAATCCAGGACGACACCTAAGCTCTTAACAGTGGTCGATGGAGATAGGGCGGCACCATCGAAGGTGGGCAACGGAGGAGTCAGACCTGCCAGAGAATCTCAGTCTTCGCCGGGTTCACCTTCAGTCTGCTAGCACGTAGCCAGTTCGACAGAGCTTCCAGACATCGGGTGAAATTGTCTGGAATTGACGTTGCTCCAGGCTCCAAACGCAGAAGGAGTTGGGTGTCGTCCACATATTGATAGCAGTCTAGGTCGAAACTCCAAGCCAAACTAGCAAGGGGTTTAACATAGATGTTGAAGAGAAGAGGGGAGAGAATTGCACCTTGGGGTACCCCACATAGGAGGAGGGATCTATCAGAGACTTGATCCATGTACTCCACACGTTGAGTTCCGGAGAAATGAGTTGAACCAATTAATGGCCTGACTGCGAACTCCGGACATGGCAAGACGGTGAATCATTATATCGTAGCCGACGGTGTCAAACGCTGCGGTAAGGTCGAGAAGTACCAGTAGCGCGGATCCACCGTTGTCAGACTGGCGACGGAGTTCATCCGTAATGGCAACCAGGACTGTCTCCATCCCATGACCCGGGCAAAAACCTAACTGGAAAGGGTCCAGGCCAGCTGTGTCATCCAAGAATTGCTGCAATTGTCCCAGTACAGCCCGCTCTATCATCTTACCTAAGAATGGCAGATTAGAAACAGGACGGTAATTGGCAAGGGTCATAGGATCCAAGCTAGGTTTCTTTAACAAGGGACGAACCCTTATCATTTCATATTCTTGCTCTCTACTGTTTAAAATTGTATTATATCTCCAGGTTCTTTCTTTTCTCTCTATTTCTAATTTTACTTTTACTCTTAATGGTGCATGAGCTGACAAATATATTGGAAGTGTTTTTGCCTCTAGGCACTGCCAGGCCATCAAATGCTAATCAAGGTGGTCAGCTGAAACATTCACACCTAACTCCAGCAGACAAGAGTCCTTTGTCCCACCCTGGTCACCACATCTATATAATCCCATTTTCCTAGTTCCAACAGACCTCACTACCTCGGAAGATGCTTGCCGTAGATGCAGGCAAAACGTCAGGAGAGAATGCCTCTAGATCATGGCCATATAGCCCGAAAAAACCTACAAAAACCCACAATTTAAACAGCTGAAAAGGTTACCGGACTCATGACCATTTAATCCTGGTCAACTGAGCTGTAGCACAGATGTGTTCAGACATTTGGGATGGATGATGATGCTTCAAAACAGAAACGATTGTTTGTAAAGATGATATTTTTCTGGACATGCACTAATCCCTTCCTTCCTCCCTTTCTCCCTGAAGATCCAGTTAAGCATCTCGACCAGCACCTGGTCTAACAGTTTCTCTCTGGATACCGTCGGAAGTTACGGATGCGTGAAATGCCCAGCCAACTCCATGGATTTTCTGGTAATCCTCTCGCTCTTACAGCGCTAAGATAATGTTGGGGTTCACCCTGTGTGTGAATCTGAACCTGATTCTCTGATTGCTGAACCTGAACCTGATTCTCTGATTGTATTTCCTGATGCTACTGAACATGTATTTTCCCCTGATGGTATTGAAAATGTTGATTCTGAGGTCAGTGGCTTGGAAAGTGAAACTACACATCCTGATGAGAATGTTTCAGAACCAAGTGGTGATAGCTCTCCAGAGGAGCTAACACCTGGCTTCCTTAATGAGGATAGAAAAGGACAGATTTGGAAAAACAGGAGTGAATCGCAGAGTCTGCGAAGGTCAAGCAGATTAAGGGAAAAGGAAACACAGGCTTCAAAGCCTGGAGGCGTGTCACGAAACAGTTTCTTCAGTTTTAAGTGCCTCTCGCCGGGTTGTCTCGTTAGATCAGGCATCGTTTAGACTGAGGCATTACCTTGGCAGATTTCCCTGTTTCCCGTGGCCTACATCCCAAGAGGCTTCTAGTGCTCCAAGTACGGTTAGTGGATTGCTAACAGGTTCCAGGTTTTTACAGTGTTGCTTTTGGATATTGATCTAGTTCATGGATATTCTTGACTGCTGAATTTTACTGTGGCTTTTTGACTTTGCATTTTCTTCTATTTTGTAACCATTTTTCATCAATAAAAAGGGATTGTTTTTTCCCACAGTCAAATGTGGTGGATTGTTATCTTATGGTCTCGTTTCCTGCTCTGGGTTGCAACAGATAATGTTCATCGCACGCTTGAAGCAGGAAAGCCTGTGTGAATCTACATTTGAATCCTCTTCTGTTCCAGGTCGGTGTGAGCATCAAGATGAGCAGCTTCAACCTGACCCGGATTGTCACCTTGACCCCATTCTACACCATTGCCAACAAGTCCTCCTTGGAGCTGGAAGTGGGCGAAATGGGAGCAGATGGCTCGATGCCTACAAACAAGTGGAGCTACTTTTCATCTTCAGAGGTGCATTTACCATTTGAATCTATCTGCTATGTATTGGATGTGAAACCAATGTTAATTCCTTGCTCTGAATGTTAGAGCTTATAGGTTCAAAAGATTCAAGCTGAAACTGTGTGAGAACAATATCGGGTTGATCTGTAATAGATACTAGGGTTGGTTGATCCAAGTCGTAAGTTTCTTAACTCGCAATGAAATCGTAAATAAATTACCTTTTGAAGCGATATCGACGCGTTTTGGCAACCCGGAAGTGTTTTTGCCATATCGAAGCCGCGTCCGCCATTTTCCTTACGACTTCTGCCAGTGAATTGTAAATGCTGGGGGCATGGCCTTCAGGAACAGCTGTTCTTACTCACACCCACCTCCTTCCTCTTTGCATCGGCGGCTTTGCGAGGTGGGCTTTGCGAGGTGGGCGTAGCTACTGTTGGGGTTCAGCCTCCGTGTGAGCCTGACCCTCAGCCTCCGTGTGAACCTGACCCTCAGCCTCCGTGTGAACCTGACCCTGATTCTTTGATTGTATTTCCTGATGCAACTGAACATGTATTTTTCCCTGATGGTTTGGAAACTGTTGATTCTGAGGGCAGTGGCTGGGAAAGTGAAACTACACAGCCTGATGAGAATGTTTCAGAATAAAGCGGTGATAACTCTCCAGAGGAGCTAACACCACCTGCCTTTTTAAATGAGGATAGAAGAGTACAGATTTGGAAAAACAGGAGTGAATCACAGAGTCTGCGAAGGTCAAGTAGATTAAAGGAAAAGGAGGCTTCCAAGCCTGGAGGCGTGTCCCGAAACAGTTTCTTTAGTTTTAAGTGTTTCCCCCGGGCTGTCTCGTTAGATCAAGCATCGTTTAGACTGAGGCATTACCTTGGCAGAGTTCCCGTTTCCCATGGCCTGCATTCCCAGAGGCTTCTAGTTTCCAAGTACGGTTAGTGAAATGCTAACAGGTTCCAGGTTTTTATAGTGTTGCTTTTGGAATTTTGATCTAGTTCAGAGATATTCCTGACTGCTGAGTTTTACTGTGGCATTTTGACTTTGCATTTTCCACTATTTTGTAACCATTTTTCATCAATATAAAAGGATTGTTTTTTCTCACAGTCAAGTGTGGTGGATTGTCATCTTATGGTCTCGTTTCCTGATCTGGGTTGCAACAGCTACCTCCCTGGCGACAAGCGGCGATGAGGAAGAGCTGAGCGTAGCCACGCCCACCTCGCAAAGCCGCCGATGCAAAGAGGAAGGAGGTGGGCGTGGGTAAGAACAGCTCTTCCTGAAGGCCACACCCCCAATGGCCATCAAGATGAGCTGGGCGTAGCCCCCCCCCCCACCTTATTCCCCTGCCACCCATCGCCGTTCGCAGTCACCCACCCAGGGAAGGGAAACTGTGAGATTTTAAAACGAATACTATATACGAAACAAGTTTAGAACCATTTTTTTTCTTGATCAAACAAGCCTAATAGATACTACGTTGTCTGATAATGTAGGTCTGTGTTATTCAGGCGTATTGGTGACTGGTCATCCCCTGCCACGCGTTGCTGTGGCCCAGTCTGTGCATATGTATATTTTGTGTGTATATAGGCATATATGTGTGTGTATATATTTATTTATATGTACTAGCCATCCCCTGCCATGCGTTGCTGTGACCCAGTCTGTGTATATATGTGTTTTGTGTGTATATAGGCGTATACGTGTGTGTATATATTTGTTTATAGGTGTACTAGCCATCCCCGCCACACTTGCTGTGGCCCACTCTGGTGGTCATGGGGGTTCTGTGTGGGAGGTTTGGCCCAATTCTATCGTTGGTGGGGTTCAGAATGCTCTGTGATTGGAGGTGAACTATAAATCCCAGCAACTACAAATCCCGAATGTCAAGATTCTATTTCCCCCAAACTCCACCAGTGTTCACCTTTGGACATATTGGGCATTTGTGTAGAGTTTGGTCCAGATCCATCATTGTTTGAATCCACAGTGCTCTCTGGATGTAAGTGAACTACAACTCCAAAACCAAAGGACACTGCCCACCAAACCCTTCCAGTATTTTCTGTTTGTCATGGGAGAACTGTGTACCAAGTTTTGTTCAATTCCATCATTGGTGGGGTTCAGAATGCTCTTTGATTGTAGGTGAACTATAAATCACAGCAGCTACAACTCCCAAGTGACAAAATCATTTTTTTTAGTGTTTCAATTTGGTGTCAATTCGTCCAGTGGTTTTTGAGTTCTGTTAATCCCACAAACGAACATGACATTTTTATTTATATAGATATATATGTGTGTTTGTGTATATATGTGTTTTTGCACATGCGTTGTAATGTTTTTTTTTTTTGGCTTTTTAAGTCCCTTCCGCTGTGCGTTTCAGTGTTTTCATGAGTGATGGTCACTTGTTGGTCCGTTAGGGGTATAGTGTCCAAATTTGGTGTCAACTCGTCCAATGGTTTTGGAGTTCTGTTAATCCCACAATCGAACATTACATTTTTATTTATATAGATGTTAATACAGATTTCTGTCATTCTCCCCCCAGTGCCTGCCATTTTGGCCAGAAAACCTATCTGGCAAGCTCTGCCTTCGGGTTGTCGGCTGCGACCGTGTTTCCAGAACCTTCTTCTACAACCGACAGGATAATGGGACTTTGCTCAGCTTGGAAGAACTGGTGAGGTTGTTTTCTCGCTCACGTTGTGCAGACAGGGTGTTTTGGAGAGGTCTCTCCTCCGTAGGATTGCTACGTGATGCACCTATTATTAAGCATCTATTGTGTTTCTTGCTATTGTGAGTTTCACGGTAAAAATGATGGCAGGTATTTTGTTTCTCTGGGCATCAAGGTATCGGTTGGGCATGGGCCAACTTCGGCCCTCCCTCCAGGTGTTTTGGACTTAGGAATTGTGAGAGTTGACGTCCACCTGGAGGGCCAAAGTTTAGCAATGCCCRTGTTAGGCCTTCTAATCTAACTTTAAATTAAGAAGGTMTTTCATCGCATAATAGTCGCATTGCCATTTTTTGGGTGGCAAAATTGGTATTTTTGTGTTCCTTTTGTAAGAGTCGCATTGCTGTTTGGGGCTGATTCCTTCCTTCCTTCTTAATTTAAAGTTAGATTTGAAGGCCTAACACAGGCATGGGCAAACTTCAGCCCTCCAGGTGTTTTGGACACAACTCTCACAAGCAAGGTAACTGACGTGTTAACTGTATTTCATCGCATAATAGTCGCATCGCCATTTTTTGGGTGGCAATATTGGTATTTTTGTGTTCCTTTTGTAAGAGTCGCATTGCTGTTCGGGACTGAWTCAGTCCCGAACAGCAATGCGACTCTTACAAAAGGAACACAAAAATACCAATTTTGCCACCCAAAAAATGGCAATGCGACTATTATGCGATGAAATACAGTTAACACATCAGTTACCTTGCTTTGTGACTGTGTGTTAGGAATTGTGGGAGTTGAAGTCCAAAACATTGAGAGAGCTGAAGTTTGCCCTTGCCTGCGTTAGGCCTTCAAATCTAACTTTAAATTAGAAGGAAGGAATCAGTCCCAAGCAGCTATACGACTTATGAAAGGAACACAAAAACACCAATACTGCCACCCAAAAATGGGGGGGGGGGGTGCGACTATTATGGGATGAAAATCTAACTTTAAATTAAGAAGGAAGGAAGGAATCAGTCCCGAACAGCAATGTGACTCTTACAAAAGGAACACAAAAATACCAATATTGCCACCCAAAAAATGGCGATGCGACTATTATGCGATGAAATACAGTTAACACGTCAGTTACCTTGCTTGTGAGAGTTGTGTCCAAAACACCTGGAGGGCTGAAGTTTGCCCATGCCTGTGTTAGGCCTTCAAATCTAACTTTAAATTAAGAAGGAAGGAAGGAATCAGCCCCAAACAGCAATGCGACTCTTACAAAAGGAACACAAAAATACCAATTTTGCCATCCCTATGAGCTTTGGGCTTTGGGCTTTGGCTTTCGACAAGTGAATCAATATTTCTGTGATCGGATGGATGAGGATGAATGACGAACAACGAATTCAGTATGACGACTGACCATTGTTATTATGTGATTGCATTTTGCTGTTTTAACGTTTTAATTGAACATGTTATATGACGTTTTTAATGATTTTTTTGTGATATTATTGTTGGAAACCGGCCCGAGTCCCCCGATAGAGGGGAGAAGACCGGTATACAAAATTGCTAAATAATAAATAAATAAATAAATCCCAAAAAATGGCGATGCGACTATTACGCGATGAAATACAGTTAACACGTCAGTTACCTTGCTTTGTGACTGGGTGTTAGGAATTGTGAGAGTTGAAGTCCAAAACACCTGGAGGGCTGAAGTTTGCCCATGCCCGTGTTAGACCTTCGAATCTAACTTTAAATTAGAAGGAAGGAAGGAATCAGTCCCAAATAACTATGCGACTCTTACGAAAGGAACACAGAAACACCAATCTTGCTACCCCAAAAATGGGGGTGCGACTATTATGCGATGAAATACAGTTAACATGTCAGTTATCTTGCTTTGTAACTGGCTGTTAGGAATTGTGAGAGTTGAAGTCCAAAACACCTGGAGGGCCAAAGTTTGCCCATATCCATGTTAGGCCTTTAAATTAAATCTAACTTTAATCAGTTCCTCTTATGCGAGGAAGACAAACACACCTATCTTGCCACCCAAAAAATGGAGGTGCGACTATTATGCGATGAAATACAGTTAACACGTCAGTTACCTTGCTTTGTAACTGGCTGTTAGTAATTGTGAGAGTTGGAAGTCCAAAACACCTGTAGGGTCAAAGTTTGCCCATGCCCATGTTAGGCCTTTAAATTAAATCTAACTTTAAATTAGAAAAAAGGAGGTAATCAGTTCCTCTTATGCGAGGAACACAAACACGCCAATTTTGCCACCCAAAAAAAGGGGTGCGACTATTGTGCGATGAAATACAGTTAATATGTCAGTTACCTTGCTTTGTGAGAGTTGAAGTCCAAAACACCTGGAGGGCCAAAGTTTGCCCATATCCATGTTAGGCCTTTCAATTAAATCTAACTTTAATCAGTTCCTCTTATGTGAGGAACACAAACACACCAATTTTGCCACCCAAAAAATTGGGGTGCGACTATTATGCGATGCAATACAGTTAAACCAACAGTTAACTTGGTTCATTACCGGCTGTTTGGAATTGTGGGAGAGACATCTAGAAAGAGGGCCGATGTTTGCCTATGCCTGGTATAGATTTGACTGTCGCCTACTTTCTTTTCAACAGAATACAGGTATTCTAGTCGATGTGAATGTCTCTGAGCACTCCATCGTCATCACCTTCTCCGACTACCACGAGGGAGCTGCGCCGGCCTTGATCATCAACCACACGCCGTGGGTTGCACTGAAATACAAGCAGAGGTACGGGAAGGAGTCTTCTCCTGTCATAAATGACTTTTCAATAACTTTGAAGCATAGGTTCTTTATATTGCAATTTCCAGTGTGAGAGCGTATATCAGATTACAGAAAAACATTTAGACAAAGAATGACATTGGACATACAGACATACAGATTATGTTCTACTACATTGGATTTACAATTACATTGGTTAACAAACAAACAAAGGGGAATTACATTTTCACTCTACATTCACACCACATGTACACACATGTAGTCCCAAAGTTGTAAATTGATAATAGACGACTTCCATCCTGGTTCCATCTCAGTTTCCTGGCCAGATGTTGATCTTCTTGATTGGTGTTGATCTTATGTTGACTTCCTTCTTAACATAATGTTGCAACCCAGAGCAGGAAACTGGACCCTCAGACAACCATCCACCACACTTGACTTCAGGAAAACAATCCTTTTTTATTGATGAAAGATGAATACAAAATAGAGGAAAAATGCAAAGGTAAAAAGTCACAGTAAAAATCAGCAACAAGAAATGTCCATAAACAAGATCATAAAACCCACAGCAAAACTGCTGAATCCTGGAACCTGTTAGCAATCCACTAACGTACTTGGAACAACTAGAAAACCTCCGAGGAACAAGGCCACTTGAATCAGGAGACCTGCAAAAGCTGGCACATGAATCTGGAACGATGCCAGGCATATTTAAGGCCAAGAAATCTATTGCGAGACATGCCTGAAGTTTTTGTTTGCATTTCTCTCAATCTGGCTGACCTACGTAAACTTTGTGCTTCCCCCCGGCTCTGCCAAATCTACGCCCGCCTATCCTCATTAGGCAGACCAGGTGTCAGATTCTCTGGAGAACTAAGGCTGGGAGGAAAAGTGAGTGAAATTTCTCCGCTCGGCTCGGAATACATGTTCTCATGGGAATTTTGACTTTCACTTTTGAAGGCTGTAGGATTTTCACTACTCAAACCATCATCATCTAAATTGGCCTCAGAATTCACATTGACATCTACATTGGCATCAGGGAATACAATCAGAGAATCAGGTTCAGGTTCACAAACAGGCTGAACCCCAACACATAAGGAATGTTGCAGACATTTCCTTTATCACTGTCCCATTCTTATCTCATTAGCAAGTCTAGCAAGCAGGTAGTTAGTCATAGAATCATAGAATCAAAGAGTTGGAAGAGACCTCCTGGGCCATCCAGTCCAACCCCATTCTGCCAAGAAGCAGGAATATTGCATTCAAATCACCCCTGACAGATGGCCATCCAGCCTCTGCTTAAAAGCTTCCAAAGAAGAAGCCTCCACCACACTCCCTCCGGGCAGAGAGTTCCACTGCTGAACGGCTCTCACAGTCAGGAAGTTCTTCCTCATGTTCAGATGGAATCTCCTCTCTTGTAGTTTGGAGCCATTGTTCCATTGCGTCCTAGTCTCCAAGGAAGCAGAAAACAAGCTTGCTCCCTCCTCCCTGTGGCTTCCTCTCACATATTTATACATGGCTATCATATCTCCTCTCAGCCTTCTCTTCTTCAGGCTAAACATGCCCAGCTCCTTAAGCCGCTCCTCATAGGGCTTGTTCTCCAGACCCTTGATCATTTAGTCACCCTCCTCTGGACACATTCCAGCTTGTCAATATCTCTCTTCAATTGTGGTGCCCAGAATTGGACACAATATTCCAGGTGTGGTCTAACCAAGGCAGAATAGAGCATGGGGAGCATGACTTCCCTAGATCTAGACACTAGGCTCCTCTTGATGCAGGCCAAAATCCCATTGGCTTGCATTGCAATATTAAGGCCTGCAATTCATTGGCATTGCAGTCCTTAATACTATACTGGTGTTTCCACAATTATTAACTCCAACCACACATCCTTCCATTCTTCCATTCATTCCCTCACATCATATTAAATTCACATTTATCAAATATACACATTGAATTTCTTATTACACCCATATTTTGGAAGGGAATGGCTTGGCTTTCAGCCTTAGATGCATGTTGGGTTTCGCTTTGTTGCATCCTTGTCAGTGTTATCCATGTTTTTCCTTGTGCAGCGGCTCCCAAGAAGAAGTGGAGCTCAAGCCGAGGGAGGTGCGGCTGTTTGCCTGGGCAGACCCCACCGGAGTCAGAAAACTAAGCTGGGCCTATGCACAGAACTTTGGGGAAGACGACCTCCTGAAGGTATGTAAAGGGAAACGAGAGTCATGAATACTTTTTCAGTGGGACAGAGTATCTAAAAAATTCAGGGAAAAAAAAGTAGATACACAAATCCAGCACTGGTTTTATGATAGCTGTGTTGGTTACACAGACAAAAAGGGGAAACATCACGTTCATTGAAACATTCACTCATAATCCATACATTAAACGTTCATACTCACCCTGAGAGTAAGCCCTCTCGGTCCCAATGGTGGGACTGAGAGTAGGGCCTCTCCTGATGATCTTCAGGGCTCGTGTGGATTCAAAGGAAATGTGATCTGCTAAGTAGGCTGGGCCCGAACCATTGTAGCTGAGTAGGAGATTTTCTAGACTCCCATCACTTGTTTGAGTGTGTTAAGTGCCTGTGCTACCACATGTCTCTTTTTGTCTCTGCCACCTCCACGTAGGACAACTGCGGGCAGTTCCCCTACAACTCCAACACGCAGATCCATTGGGTCTCCTTCTTGGATGGGCGGCAGCGGGTGCTGCTCTTCACGGAGGACGTGGCGCTCGTGTCCAAGGCCCGGCAGGCGGAGGAGCTGGAGCAGCCCGAGCAGGAGGTCAGCTTGGCCCTCCACAGCCTGGGCCTCTCCCTGGTCAACAACCAGAACAAGCAGGAGATCTCCTACATCGGAATCACCAGGTCTGGTCCAATGAGCAACACATACAGCAGCGTATCGGTGTCACAAAAATGCAGTTTGTGTTCTGTGTTGCTGTGAGGTTTTTTTTCTGGGCTATCTGACCATCTCCCAGAAGCATTCTTTTATGATGTTTTGGCCACATCTGTGGCAGGCATCCTCGGAGGTTGGAAACTAGGTAAGTGGAGTATATATGGGCGGGTTCGTTCGGAAGTTGCGGAAGCTGGAACTAAAGTCAGAAGTTTCACACTTCCAAACTGAGTTCCGAAGCGCAAAGGTGAGTCGGAAGTCCCCTGTAGTTGTGAAGCGACTTGGGAGAAAGAAGATTGAAGAAAATGTTTGGGAGGGAGGGAGGGAGAGAAAAATTAATTAAGTGTGAGAAGAGAGAAAGCCTTTGATTGCTGGGTATTTTCCTGGGGTTCAAACAGCCTGCCTTTTGCCTTAGCTTGTTGCTTGCATTTTATAACATATCCCATTAGTCCTACTGAACCTCTTTACCCCTGTGGTGTGCCATGGAGTGATCTCCTATTTCCTTATATGATTCCTGTTGCAAGACAGATCTCTTAAAGCGCCAGACCAGTATTTAGTAACAATAAAGTTTATTAGTTCACAACCAAGAGAGTTCAAACACAAACCAAAAAGACTCAAAACACTTATTCTTCAGTGTGAAACACAGTATTACCCACAGTTAACCAAAAAACAGGACCTCGAAAATAACCTGGATTAAACAGGAATGTAAATGTAAAGCTATGCAATCAGCAGGAAAAAAAGCACTCCAATCCGCAGCAGGACGTTAGTGAACATGAAGGGTCGAATAGAAAGGCTGGAGTCGTCTACCAAAGTTCAAACATGGCATAGTTGTCGTTGTGAATCCAATCCGGGTCGAAGAGGGAGAAGGCAACAAACACGATAATCCAGTCCAGGTCTTACACAGAGCCAAAACGAAGAATGGCAGCACAGCAGCTAATGCATAAGATCAACACAAAGGCAGTCCAAAGAAAACCCCACAGTTCCAACCCCCGCAGCCATGGATAATCCGGATTAAATTTACGTCCACAAAAGTCTTCCCAAACACGTCTTCCCAAACAGCTCTCACACTAATACCCATCAACACTTTGTCGACTGCAAGGAACCCCATCTCCCAACCCCACTTTTATTCACAAATCATCCTCCGAACTGGAACCAGCCGATACCCTGCTACCAGCTGAAACTCCTTGCCCCAATTCCTCCTCAGAACTGGAATCAGACAACGCCCCACCAGACCTCCTTTCAGCTGAAGCCCTTTGCTGATCCCTCCAGTCTCTCCATCTTCTATCCAGACCCATAACTCCCCAGGACTCAGCCGGATCCCCACTGTGCCAACCAGAGAACCTTACAAACATGCCGCTACTTTGGGCTCTTCACAAATGTTCTGAACCTCCTGCACTTTAGTCCAGTCCATTTCTCCATCCTCTGAACTTGCCATACCACTCTCCCCAGTCTCAGACCCATTATTCCCTGCAAAGCCCTCAAATGATTCATCATCACTGGATTCCATAAGTATTTCCCTGATCCGCTTTCTCTGTTGCTCCTCATCGGAGTCTTGCTCACGAGTAGTCTTTCTTCCCCTCCTAATACTCCCAGTAATATCACTACTTGAAGACTCCATCACGACAATTCCTTAGAAAATTTACAGAGGTAGCACTTTTATTTAATGTTTTAAAATGATTTCCGAAATTCTTTTTAAAATTTATTAAAAATCGGTGGATCATCTGAACATCTTGAAATTTTGCATGCTAACAGTGGAGAGTGTCTTCTACTACTGTAGCAAGTTTCATCAGGATAGCTCAAAAATGAGGGAGAGAGAAGCCTCCAAAGTTTCCCCAGTGTCAGTAATGTTTTCCCCTATTGCACATGCGCATCTGCCATTAACGTATCGATTCGGAAGTTTCAGAAAGTTCCGAATATTTTTTGAAAACAGAAGTGACTCTAGAATCGAACCACCAGTGCCCCGTACTTTTCAACACAGTTTAGAACCAGTTTTTTAATCAAACAAGTCATGAAATGTTGTCCAGGGTAGGAGAAAGAACTCTTTTCTGTTTGAGGCAAGTGTGAACGTTGCCATTGGCCACCTTGATTAGCAATTAATGGCCTTGCAGCTTCAAAGTCAATTGGGGGTGGGGGGAGATTCTGCATAGAGGTCTGATGGCAATGAGGCAAGTGGACTGTATATATCAGGGGTCCTCAAACTAAGGCCCAAGGGCCAGATACGGCCCTCCAAAGTCATACACCTCCCAACAAAGGATTCCCCTGGGCAGGAATCAGCAGGCTGTTAGGAATTGTGGGAGTTGTAGTCCAAAACACCCAGAGGGCTGAAGTTTGCCCATGCCTGACTTATAGTTACTTTGGGTCACTGCAGAATGTTATCTTTCCAGTCTATTGCATCGGCATACCACTCCCAGCACAACCGTGTCTCTCTGCTGCTCCTCAGGTATCAACGTTTTCCCTCTGGCCTTTTTTCTTTCTCACAGTTCAGGCATCGTTTGGGAATGGAAACCAAAGCAGCGATGGAAGCCATTTAACCAAAAGCAGATCGGCCTCCTGGAGCAAGCCTATCAGAGGCACCTTTCTGGAGGAGGGACTGAGGGCTGGGTGAGGATCGAGGGTAGTTTCGAGGTACGTCAGAGACAACAATCTTTCAAAAGGTTTCATGTTTAGTTCTTGACCATAAATTACCCTTCAGTTCCAATACATCCAAACTTTTCAAGGGATTATGTTGTACCTTGTCCTAACATTCTTCGAAATGGATTTTAAGTTGGTGATGGTGATAATAATAATGTGTAACAATAATAATAGTAATAATTTGGTGCCAGTCCAGGGAGAAAAACAGAGTGCAATAATAATAATAATAATAATAATAATAATAATAATATTATATTATAACAATTGATATTATGATTACACTATGCAACAAAATTTGAAAAATGTTCTGTTTCTGTTTTGAAAACATTATTTCCTGTTTAATTGTGCATTCTTTACTTCGAAAGTAGTTGTTCTGCTCCAGAAACTTCAGTTTTGTGGCTGCCACAAAGTACTTTGAATTGGTTGGGTTTCTATGTCCCTCAAAAACTAGAGGAAAATGTGCTACAGCAGGATGTCCCTCCCACAAAGACTGTCAAGGTCAGATGCCAGCCAATTAAAGAAGTATAGTTTATTGTTCAAACAAACACAAAACAGCCCAAAACAATACCACAGGACAAAAAACACTTAGTCTTCAGTGTGAAACAGTTAAAAAAGGCAAAAGAACCCACAAAACCCCAATCAGAATATAACCTGGATTATCCAGAGATATAATCCAGATTAAACTCAAAATGCTTAAATTCAGCTCAAACTTGCTCCGTCAAACAACAGAAGCAAAACAAACTGTAGAATGATGTTCACAGCCACTCTAATGAGCAGCAGCCTTTCAAGGGTTGCAAAATGTAACCCGAGCCTCAAACACTGTAGGAAACGCCACGCTGAACTGGAATGCAGGGAGTATGATAACACCAACTCCAGAAACACAGCCGAAGACGTGGAAGAGTGAGTAACGCCGATAGTTGAAGTCCAGTCCTGTCCAGTCCGAAGGGAAACGAACAGCTGCAAGGTCAGGTCCCGATCCAATGGAAGTCACAAGGAGCCAAAGCAACAGGGGCAATACGGCATCTAATGCAAATATCAAAACAGTGCAGTCCAGCAGAAACCCACACAGTTCCAGCCCCCTTTGCTGCTTAAACCCAGAGCATAACTTACGTCCCAAAGTCTTCTACCAAACCCATCTTCTGTAACAACGATCCAGAAAGCACCCAACAAGACACCTTGCCGATTGCAAAGTTACAATTGCAAACACTCCCATTTTATCTACAACTCCTCATCAGAACTTGATTCAGCCAACACCCTTGTCCCAGCTGCATCCTGTTGAAACTCCTCATCTGAACTGGAGTCGCCTCTAGTTCGGCCCAAACCATCCCCAGCTGTGCTTCTTCCACCACTCCTCCAAGTAGTCCATCTCTGGTCTAATCCTGAAGTTCCCCAAGACCCATCCGTGCCTTTGCCACTCCAACCATCAAACGTGCCACTGCTTGTGGGTTCAGCACAAATATCCCGAATCTCTTGAACCCTTGTCCAATCCAACCCATCAGACCCAGAGTCTGATATCCCATCATCCATATCATTTGCATCAAAACCTTCAAAAGTATCCTCATCTGTTGGCTCACTAAGTATCTCCCGGATTCTTTTCCTCTGTTGCTCTTCATCATAGTCTTGCTTGCGAGTAGTTTTCCTGCCTCTCCTAATACAACTAGTGTTACTATCACTGCCAGCAGACTCTATCACAACAAAGACAAAGAGGTGTTTTTTTTTTTGCAGTTTAATAAATTTTTCCACGGTTTTAGGATAGAACCAATTAGGAAATGACGTTTATAACCCAAGAACAACAATTGTATTACAAAGTGTTGTTGTTGTTAGTACACTATGTCACATGATTTCTCCATTGTGGTCAACTGTGAATTGCACATAAGATATTAAATCCTGCACCTGCGCAGACAGCTTCGGAATCTTTTAGAAATTATTCAGACATTTTTAAGGCAGTAGCCCCGCCCACGCTCCCCATAAAGTATATATATATATAGCGAGTGGGAGGGGCTACTGGCTCAGTTCCTTTCATTCGCCACCCCTGTTGTTTTTATTACACTATGTCATTTTATTTATTTATTTATTTACTTACAGTATTTATATTCTGCCCTTCTCACCCCGCAGGGGACTCAGGGCAGATTACAATGTACATATGCACCGGGATTGTGGCGCAGCTGGCTGAGTGTCAGTTGCATAAAGATCACTCTGACCAAAAGGTCATGAGTTCGAAGCCAGCCCGGGTTGGAGTGGGCTTCCAACCAATTGCGTAGCCTGTTGTCAACCTTTGCAACCCGAAAGACAGCTGCATTTGTCAAGTAGGAAAATAAGGTACCACCTTAAGTGTGGGGAGGCTAAATTAACTGATTTATGAGGCCATAAAGAAGACTCCAGCAAAGCATTCCAGCGGGGAAGCATGCGGGGAATGCGGAAGTGCTTCATCAGCATCGCAGATGGACGATGAAAGCGACAGCTCCCCTGGCAACCAGAAAAAGTTAAATAGCCTCTTTGTATGTCTGTATACGTTGTATGTCAAATTGGCATTGAATGTTTGCCATATATGTGTACACTGTAATCTGCCCTGAGTCCCCTGCGGGGTGAGGAGAAGGGCGGAATATAAATACTGTAAATAAATATACATGGCATACATTCAATGCCATAGACACACAACATATATAGACAGACACACAGGGGCTATTTAACATTCCAGGTTTTTCATGAGGGTAGTCTGGCCACCAGGGGAGCTGTTGCTTCACAGCCATTTGTGACATTGATGAAGTACTTCCTCATTCTTTGCATGCTTGCTGGAGATTTTTTTTTATGGCATTGTAAATTAGCCTTCCCGCATAAGTGGTACCTAAATTTTTTACTTGACAGATGCAACTGTCTTTTGGGCTGGAAAAGTCGACAGCAAGTTACACAAATTGGTCGGAAGCTCACTCCGACCCGGGCTGGCTTCAAACTCATGACCTTTTTGCGACCGCTGATTTAAATTGATGGGTCTTCGGAAATTTTCCGACAATATAATCATACGATTCTTAACACTTCTGTTTCCGTGGACCATTCCAAGAGCTTATTATATATCTTGGTGATGAGTTTTTTCTCTGTCTGAAGTATCTTATCCCAAGGCTGTCTCTTTCAAATTAAAACCTACTGTGTTGAATTCTGGGGCACCGTAATTTAAGGGAGACGTTGACTCTATGCAGGAATATATCCAAAGGAGGGCAACTCAAAGGTTCAAGGGTCTAGAGGACAAGCCCTATGAGGAGTGGCTTAAAGAGCTGGGCATGTGAACCTGCAGAAGAGAAGGCTGAGAGGAGACATTATGAGGGCTTCAAACTACGGGAGAGGAAGGAGATTCCACCTTAATATTGTCAGAGTTTGGAGGTGCGCAGCAGAAGGATTGCTAGATCAGCAGACACTGTGTTGTAAAATAAGGACTCTGCAAGCTTTCAGTTACAAAAGAAACTAAGTTTTACTAAGCACATTCAAAAGACACATCTTACTACAGCGAGCTACAATCAAGAACTAGTCAAAACGAAAGTCTCTTCACATCTGCTTATCTCTTCTTGCTGAGACTAGTTACTCCCTTCTGTTCCCAGCAAGAGCAAACATTATCTCACTTCTCTCAAGGTTACTTAATCACAGCCTCATGAAATAAACATTCTGCACAGCATTTCTAGTACACAGTAGAATCCATCTTGGAAATGCATAGAGGCACATTTAAAACACACATATATCTAAATTAATCCTGACAAATATGAAGAAGAACTTCCTCACTGTGAGAGAGAGCTGTTCAGCAGTGGAACTCTCTGCTCCAGAGTGTGGTGGAGACTCCTTCTTTGAAGGCTTTGAAACAGAGGCTGGATGACCATCTGTCGGAGGTGCTTTGAGGGTGATTTTCCTGCTTCTTGGCAAAATGGGGTTGGACTGGATGGCCCACCAGCTCTAAGGACTGCACAATTAAACAGGAAATTACAGTTTCAAAACAGGAACATATTTTTTTAATGTTCTTACATAATGTCATAATAATTATAGGGTCCCAGACCTGAGAGAAAAGCACGGTACAACAATAGCAATATTGGTTATTATTATGATTATTATTTCTTATATTATATCATATTATTTCTTATTTCTCTTTCCAAGGTTTGAGGGGGTTTACAACATATATTTGCATACAACATATAACCAAAAACACATAAAAACATTTGTCACATATAGACTGCAAACTCATAAATGTCAGGTGACAGCATAAGCTATAATAGATTAAGACAGTGTTTTTCAACCTAGTGGTCGGGACCCCTGGGGGGGGCGGTCGCAAGGGGATGCCAGAGGGGTCACCAAAGATCATTAGAAAACAGAGTGTTTTATGTTGTCTTGTGTGTCAAGTTTGGTCCAATTCTATCATTGGTGGGGTTCAGAATGCTCTTTGATTGTAGGTGAACTATAAATCCCAGCAACCACAACTCCCAAATGTCAAGGTCTATTTTATCCAAACTCCACCAGTGTTCACATTTGAGCATATTGAGCATTCATGCCAAGTTTGGTCCAGATCCGTCATTGTCTGAATGCACAGTACTCTCTGGATGTAGGTGAACTACAACTCCCAAACTCAAGGTCAAAGCCCATCAAACCCTTCCAGTAATTTCTATTGGTCATAGAAGTTCTGTGTGCCAAGTTTGGTTCAATTCCATCATTGGTGGGGTTCAGAATGCTCTTTGATTGTAGGTGAACTATAAATCCCAAATGTAAGGTCTATTTTATCCAAACTCCACCAGTGTTCACATTTGGGCTTATTGAGCATTCATGCCAAGTTTGGTCCAGATCCGTCATTGTCTGAATCCACAGTACTCTCTGGATGTAGGTGAACTACAACTCCCAAACTCAAGGTCAAAGCCCACCGAACCCTTCCAGTTATTTCTTTTGGTCATGGGAGTTTTGTGAGCCAAGTGTGGTTCAAATCAATCATTGGTGGGGTTCAGAATGCTCTTTGATTGTAGGTGAACTATAAATCTTAGCAACTACAACTCCCAAATGACAAAATAAATCCGCTCCAAACTCTACCAGTATTCAAATTTGGGCGTATCGGGTATTTGTGCCAAATTTGGTCCAGTGAATGAAAATACATCCTGCATATCAGATATTTACATTATGATGCAAAGTTACACTTAGGAATTTTGATACCATTTACATTAGTTGCAAAATTACAGTTAGGAAGTAGCAATGACAATTTGATGATTGGGTCGCAGCATTAGGAAGATTGAGAACCACTGCATTAAGATCATCAGTAACTGTAACTTTGCTTACATTTTCAGGTCAATTTCAACAAGACGCCGATGGAGATGCGCCTCCCGCTCAAGTGCAGCATCAAGCGAGACTTTTTGTCCGGGATCCAGATTGAGTTCAAGCAGTCGCGCCACCAGAAGAGCTTGCGGGCCCAACTCTACTGGCTCCAGGTACAGTTCCTTCCAATGCTTTTGTCTTGTGAACGGAGTCATAGAATTATAGAATCCAAGAGTTGGAAGAGACCTCCTGGGCAATCATCCAGTCCAACCCCATTCTGCCAAGAAGCAGGAATATTGCATTCAAATCACCCATGACAGATGGCCATCCAGCCTCTGTTTGAAAGCTTCCAAAGAAGGAGCCTCCACCACACTCCGGGGCAGAGAGTTCCACTGCTGAACGGCTCTCACAGTCAGGAAGTTCTTCCTCATGTTCAGATGAAATCTCCTCTCTTGTAGTTTGAAGCCATTGTTCCTTGTCCCAATATCCGTGGAAGCTTGCTCCCTCCTCCTCCCTGTGGCTTCCCCTCACGTATTTATACATGGCTATCATATCTCCTCTCAGCCTTCTCTTCTTCAGGCTAAACATGCCCAGCTCCTTAAGCCGCTCCTCATAGGGCTTGTTCTCCAGACCCTTGATCATTTGAGTCGCCCTCTTCCTCTGGACACATTCCAGCTTGTCAATACCTCTATTGATTTGTGGTGCCCAGAATGGGACACAATATTCCAGTTGTGGTCTAACCAAAGCAGAATAGAGCATGGGGAGCATGACTTTCCTGGACCTAGACACTATGCTCCTCTTGATGCAGGCCAAAATCCCATTGGCTTTTTTTGCCGCCACATCACATTGTTGTCTCATGTTTAACTTGTTGTCCACGTGGACTCCAAGATCTTTTTCACCCGTACTGCTGTCGAGCCAGGCGTCCCCCATTCTGTCTCTTTGCATTTCGTTTTTCCTGCCAAAGTGGAGTCTCTTGCATTTGTCACTGTTGAACCTCATTTTGTTAGCTTTGGCCCATCATCTCTCTAATCTGTCAATATTGTTTTGAATCCTGCTCCTGTCCTCTGGAGTATTGGCTATCCCTCCCAATTTGGTGTTGTCTGCAAACTTGATGATCCTGCCTTCTAACCCTTCATCTAAGTCATGAATGAAGATCCTGATCAGGACCGGGCCCAGGACGGAACCATGCGGCACTCCACTTGTCACTTCTTTCCAGGATGAAGAGGAAGCATTAGTGAGCACCCTCTGGGTTTGTCCACTTAACCAATTACAGATCCACCTCACCGTAGTTTTGCCTAGCCCACATTGGACTAGTTTCCTTGCCAGAAGGTCATGGGGGACCTTGTCAAAGGCCTTACTGAAATTCAGACACGCTCCATCCACGGCATTCCCCGCATCTACCCAGCTTGTAACTCTATCGAAAAAAGAGATCAGATGAGTCTGGCATGACTTGTTTTTGATAAATCCATGTTGACTATGAGTGATGACCGCATTTGTTTCTAAGTGTTTGCAGACCACTTCCTTAACTTTTTTTTCCAGAATCTTGCCCGGTATCGACGTGAGGCTGACCGGACATTGGTCATTGTTTGGGTCATCCTTTTTTCCCTTCTTGAAGATTGGGACCACATTGGCTCTCCTCCAGTCTGCTGGAACTTCTCCCGTTCTCCAAGAACGCTCAAAGATGATTGCCAATGGTTCCGAAATGACTTCCGCTAGTTCCTTCAATACTCTTGGGTGGAGTTGATCTGGCCCTGGGGAGTTGAACTCATTTAGAGCGGCCAGGTATTCCTGGACGACTTGTATCCCAATTTGGGGTTGGGTGTCCTCTTATCCCTCATCCACTCCATCTTGCTGAGGTTGAAGATGACTTTCTGAGGTTGAAGATGAGAAGACCGAGGCAAAGACGCAAAGAAGGCATTAAGGCAAAGAAGGCATTAAGTAGTTTTGCCTTTTCCCTATCATTCCCTGTCAGCATTGCCCCATCTTCTCCTCGAAGAGGCCCTATCACCTCCTTGTTTTTCCTTTTTCTACTGACATAAGAAAAGAAGCCCTTTTTATTGTTTTTAATGTCCCTGGCAAGCCTGAGCTCGTTTTGTGCTTTAGCCTTGCGGACCTTTTCCCTACAGGTGTTGGCTATTTGTTTGAATTCTTCTTTGGTGATTTCTCCCTTTTTCCACTTCTTGTGCATGTCTCTTTTGTGTCTTAGCACAGGAAAGGAATATATATATATATATATATATATATATATATATATATATATATGTCTCGTTTGGTATTCCTGATACATTATTCTTCTTCTATTTCCTTCAAAGGTGGACAACCAGCTGCCCGGCTCCATGTTTCCTGTTGTGTTTCACCCCGTAGCCCCTCCCAAATCGGTTGCGATGGATTCAGGTAATAATAATAGTGTATATTTTGTGTTGTCAAAGGCTTTCATGGCCGGAATCACTGGGTTGCTGTGAGTTGCACAGAGAAGCCATTGAAATCCACACGCATGTGGACAGTTTCAACAGAAAGGAGGAAACCATGCAAGTGAACACAATCTGGCTACTAGTATTAAAAAAAACCCCCTCTAAAGTCAGCATAGTAAATAAAGAACACTCAGAAAACAGGGGAATTCCAGTCAGGAAACAATCAGGGCAGCTAACACCTCCGACCAAGGATTCCCCCAGGCAGGAAGCAGCCAAGCATTGAAGCTGCAAGGCCATTCAATGCTAATCAAGGTGGCAGATTGCAATATTCACACTTGCCTCCAACTGACAATAGTTCTTTCTCCCACCCTGAGCATTATTCCACAGATATACTGTGTGTGTATATACACCAGTTACAGGCAAACTTAGGCCCGGTAGCCGGATGTGGCCCTCTGAGCTCTTTACTCAGCCCTCCTATCTCTCACTATCCCATCCTTCCTTCCTTCTCTCTTTCCTTCCTTCTTCCTTCCTTCCTTCCTACCTTCCTTCCTTCCTTCCTTCCTTCCTTTTGTCTTGCCTTCTTTCCCTCTTTCCTTTCTCCTTATCTCTCTCCCTCATACTTCTTCCATCCTTCCCTTCAACCTTTTCGTCCTTCCTTCCTTCCCTCTTTCCTCCCTCTCTCCTTTTTTATCCTTCCTTCCTTCTGTCCCTTTTGTCTTTCCTTCTCTCTTTCCTCCTTTTTTCTCCTTCCTTTCTTCCCTCCTTCTCTCCTTCCTTCCTTCTCTCTTTCCTTTCTCCTCCCTCCCTCCCTCTCTTTCCTTCCTTCCTTTTTGTCCTTCCTTCCTTCCCTCTTTCCTCCCTCTCTCCTTTTTTATCCTTCCTTCCTTCCTTTTTTTCTTTCCTTCTCCCTTTCCTCCTTTTTTCTCCTTCCTTTCTTCCCTCCCTCTCTTTCCTTCCTTCCTTCCTTTTGTCTTGCCTTCCTTCTCTCTTACCTTCCTCCTTACCTCTCTCCCTTCTCTCCCTCGTCCTTTTTCCATCCTTCCCTTCCACCTTTTCGTCCTTCCTTCCCTCTTTCCTCCCTCTCTCCTTTTTTATCCTTCCTTCCTTCTGTCCCTTTTGTCTTTCCTTCTCTCTTTCCTGCTTTTTTCTCCTTCCTTTCTTCCCTCCTATCATTCTTCTCTTCCTCCCTCCCTACTTCCTTACTTCTCTTTTTCCTTCCTCCTTCCCTTCCTTCCATCCTTCCTTTCCACTTTTTTGTCCTTCCTTCCTTCTTTCCTTCCTCCTTTTTTCCTTCTTCTCTTTTCTTCCTTCTCCCTTTCCTTGTTTTTTCTCCTTCCTTCCTTCCTTCCTTCCTTCCTTCCTTCCTTCCCTTCCTTCCTTCCTTTTGTCTTGCCTTCCTTCTCTCTTTCCTTCCTCCTTACCTCTCTTCCTTCTCTCCCTCGTCCTTCTTCCATCCTTCCCTTCCACCTTTTCGTTTTTCCTTCCTTCCCTCTTTCCTCCTTCTCTCCTTTTTTATCCTTTCTTCCCTTCTCCCCTGCTTCCTTCCTTCCTTCCCTGTTGTCTTTCCTTCCTTCCCTCTTTCATTCCTCTCCCTTTTTTATCCTTCCTTCCTTCCCTTTTGTCTTTCCTCCCTCTCTCCTTTTTTATCCTTCCTTCCTTCCCTTTTGTCTTTCCTTCTCTTTTTCCTCCTTTTTTCTCCTTCCTTTCTTCCCTCTCTTCTTCCTTCCTTCCTTCCCTTTGTCTTGCCTTCCTTCTCTCTTTCCTTCCTCCTTACTTCTCTCTCTTCTCTCCCTCGTCCTTCTTTCATCCCTCCCTTCCACCTTTTCGTCCTTCCTTCCTTCCCTCTTTCCTCCCTCTCCCCTTTTTTTCTTCCTTCTCTCTTTCCTCTTTTCTCCTTCCTTTCTTCCCTCCTTCTCTCCTTCCTTCCTTCTCTCTTCCTTTCTCTCCTCCCTCTCTTTCCTTCCTTCCTTCCTTTTGTCTTGCCTTCCTTCTCTCTTACCTTCCTCCTTACCTCTCTCCCTTCTCTCCCTCGTCCTTCTTCCATCCTTCCCTTCCACCTTTTTGTCCTTCCTTCCCTCTTTCCTCCCCCTCTCCTTTTTTATCCTTTCTTCCCTCCTCCCTGCTTCCTTCCTTCCCTCCCTCCCTCCCTCCCTTCCTTCCCTTTTGGCTTTCCTTCCTTCTCTCTTTCCTTCCTCCTTCCCTTCCTTACTTCGCTCCCTATTTCTCCCTCCTTCCATTCCCTTCCACCTTTTCGTCCTCCCTTCCCTCTTTCCTCCCTCTCTCCTTTTTTATCCTTTTTTCCCTTCCTTCCCTCCTTCCTTCACTTTTGGCTTTCCTTTCTTCTCTCTTTCCTTCCTCCTTCCCTTCTCTTCCCTCCCTTTTCTCCTTTCTTTTCCACCTTTTCGTCCTTCCTTCCCTCTTTCCTCCCTCTCTCCCTTTTTCTCTTTACTTCCCCTTCCTTCCATCCATCCATCCATCCATCCATCCATCCCTTTTGTCTTTCCTCCTTCTCTCTTTCCTCTCTCCTTCCTTCCTTCCTTCCTTCTCTCTTTCTTTCCCACTCCTTCCCTTCCATCCATCTAGTCAGCCAGTCCTCCTAGCAGGGAGTGCTAGGATGCAGCCCCCAATTAGAAAGTTTGCCCAGGTCTGATATACAAACCCCACTCGCCTAGTTTCCAACAGACCTCACAACCTCTGAGGATGCCTGTTTTAAATTGTTTTTAAATTGTGTTAGATTTTAGCCTGTTCTTATAAGCCGCTCCAAGCCCCAGGGGAGTGGCGGCATATAAGTTTGAATAATAAATAAATAAATAGATGTGTGCAAAATGTCAGGAGAGAATGCTTCTGGAACATGGCCAGGCAGCCCGGAAAACTCACCGCAACCCAGTGTATATTTTCTAGCTGTGTATCCAGCAAATAAAGAGATCAACAACTAAAGACACATTCTTCTTTCCAACCTTAAAACCCCCCACCCCCCACCCCAATAGAACCAAAGCCTTTCGTTGACGTCAGTGTCATCATTCGCTTTAACGAATACAGCAAAGTGATGCAGTTCAAGTAAGTCTGAAATCCAAACTGTATTCATCTCTATGAAGCAAAGTAGTGGATTTATTGATAGTATTTAAATTCCAAATTAATGATGTTGTACCAGCTGTGAGGTGCCTTAGTTCAGAATATAATTCAGCCAAGAGTGTGTAAAGCAGGTAACATGTTTGTGAATGTGAAACATTGAAAGTTTATTCAGAAAAGTTAACCAAGTAAATGATACTGACTGTAAGCCTCAAGATTGCAACAAAACACAAATGTAACGACAAGCGTTGGAGCCAGAAATTATAAATAAACTGTGTCACTTTGTTATACACAAGAGTGTTTCATTACCTGCGATATAAAGTACGAAGGTTTAACACCACACAGAAAGTCCCAGCCCTTTTTTTTAAAGATTCAAAAAGCAGTTCAGCATCAAATGTTTCTCATTTCTTTTAGGTACTTCATGGTCCTCATCCAGGAGATGGCTTTGAAAATAGACCAGGGATTTCTAGGAGCCATTATGGGACTTTTCACTCCATCGACAGACCCAGAAGCTGACAAACAAAGGGTATATTGTTGTTGTTGTTGTCGTCGTCGTCCAGCTAAGACACAAGCCATGTGTTTGGATTCCTTTGACAGTTTGTAAATGTACCGATTTATTTATTGTGTCAGAAGCGAATAGAAGGTACAGTTGTAATGTATTTTAAAAACACAGAGTTTAAAAACTTGGCATTGTTCTAAATGTCCTTTGGGCAGAACCTGGCCACTTGGAGTATCTCTGTTGTTGCTGTGAGAAGGTCCTCCATTGTGCATGTCGCAGGGCTCTGCATTGTAGTAGGTGGTCTGTGGTTTGCTCTTCTCCGTACTCGCATGTTGTGGACTCTACTCTACTTCTTAAGATTGGCTCTGCATCTCGTGGTGCCAGTGCACAGCCTGTTCAGCACCTTCCAAGTTCTGGGCCAACTTCCAAATTTTGGCCCAAGAAATGGGCCAAAACTAACAAAATGAAGTTCAACGGGGACAAATGCAAGATACTCCACTTAGGCAGAAAAAACAAAATGCAAAGAGACAGAATGGGGGAGGAGGATGCCTGGCTCGAGAGCAGTACGTGTGGAAAAGATCTTGGAGTCCTTGTGGTCAACAAGTTAAACATGAGCCAACAATGTGATGTGGCGGCAAAAAAAGCCAATGGGATTTTGGCCTGCATCAATAGGAGCATAGTGTCTAGATCTAGGGAAGTCATGCTCCCCATGCTCTATTCTGCTTTGGTTAGACCACACCTGGAATATTGTGTCCAATTCTGGGCACCACAATTCAAGAGAGATATTGACAAGCTGGAATGTGTCCAGAGGAGGGAGACTAAAATGATCAAAGGTCTGGAGAACAAGCCCTATGAGGAACAGCTTGTTGCAGAATTTACGTTACCCGAGATCATTAGAGTGCTTTTGGAGAAGGAAGAAGATGGAGACAGCTTGTCCAATTTCCAAGTCTTTATTACTATCTCTACAGAGTATAGGGTGAACAGCTCAAATGACTGCCACACCCGAGGTTTGAATCGCTTCGGTCTTTTATAGCAGAATATCACCCTTTCCTCACAAGCACAGAAAGAGTGTGACATTTACACAATACAATCATTAACAGGTGTTTCCATGTATAGTTGTCAAGGACATCTTTATCAGGTCTTGGCAGCCACGTTGTGACCACAAACATCTGCTCGATTATGTCACTTATCCCAACCTTCACCTGTTACCCTAAGATGACTTATATGTTCAATTCCTTAAATCTCTAATTGAATTATAATTTTTATATGCTTATAACATAAGATTTGATCAAGATAATCTCCTCTAGTCAATTCAGCCTTAATTACTTTTTTATAATTTATTTCTTAATATGAAGACCATGAAGGAAATTACTTAGGATGAAACTCTTTTAAAATTGCCTGCTATTTACATTAAGTGGTCAGAGGATGGCGCTCTCTCACCATATGACCTTAAATGTTCCAAGTCTTGGATCGATACTATGGATTTCTTTGTCCTGCCAAACTTCTCTTGTTGACTTCATATCTATGTAAACATCGGCTAGAGCAAACTGACCCATGGTCCAGTGTCAATCAATGTCATCTGTAGGTTTCTCATGCTTGTAAATTTACTCATTAGAAGTGGTCTTTTCAGGATCAGGTAGGAACATGAATCTTCTATTTTATTCTAAATTATTATGATTTCCCTTTATTATTTTATTTTCTCCTAACGGCTGCCACAGGGACAGCCAAGAGGAAAAAGGCTGCTGCTTCTGCTGGCAACGGAGGGACTTGAGGAGCCCATCTACTGTCCTCTTTTTCCTCACTCCCATGGTGCCCAGTCTCGCTTGTGTGTGTGTGTGTGTGTGTGGCCGTGCACGCACGCCTGGCTCCTCATGCTTTAACGGCCAGCTGTTTCCCCGCGAGGAGGAGGGGGCATGGCCATGGGTCTCTTTGTAGACATGCAGTTTCTCCTTTGTGGACATGTAGTTCAGAAGTCCTTTCTGCTTTTTGTTTTCGTGGGGTTTTTTGAGTGGAGAACATACATTGGGTTGTTGGAGACATAGTGTCACTTGCCCCAGTGGTTTCTGAGTTCTGTGAATAGCACAAACGAACATGACATTTTTATTTATATAGATGTTGCACTCTCTCATCAATCTGGCTAAACCAACATCGGAAAATGGCAGTGATTCGGTGATTTTAAAACATATATGTTTTAACAGATGAAGCTGATTCAGAAGGATGTTGACGCTCTGAACACGCAGCTGATGGAGTCTTCCTTGACGGACATTTCCCCGCTGAGCTTCTTCGAGCACTTCCACATTTCACCACTGAAGGTACGGTTGAAAGGGATTTATTATGTGGTAGGAATGATAATCTGTACACATAATAAATGTATGTATGTGTGTGGCTGGGGTGTCCACTTACACAGAAAGGCTCCCAACTTTCACAAACTGCTCTAGCTTCCACTACTCAGGAGATACCAATGGCCTTCCCTCCAATGACATTGCCGGTTATAGTGAGCACCGTAAACATGTCCAAGAGCCATGCCAAGGTCCTCCACAAACACCCAAGTGAAAGCTTTCATACGGGATGCATTTCATCCTAGATTTTATGTGCTTCCTCCACCACAGACATCCCAGTGTTACTTACTCTCTCCATTGGTGTGGAATTTGCATGACCCCGCCCACTGCCTCTTCCATAACCCTTTCCTATTCTTTTCTATGAGGCATTAATCAGCAACAGAACATACTAGAGAGGTGTGGGGAGTATTCACCATGATTTATAGGAGTTGTAGGTCGTGGGATGTATAGTTCACCTGCAAACTAAGAGCATTCTGAGCTCCACCAACAATGGACCTGGAACTAACTCGGCACACAGAACTCCCATGGCCAACAAAACATACTAGAGGTCTTTGCAGGGATTTATGGGAGTTGTAGTTCACCTACATCCAGAGTGGATATGAATCCAAACAATGATGGATTTGGATCAAACTAGGCATGCATACCCGATATGCCTAAATTTGAATACTGGTGGGTTTTGAGGGAATTGGCCTGGACATTTTGGATTTGTAAGTACTGGGATTTATAGTTCACCTGCAATTAATGAGCACTCTGAACTCCACCAAAGATGGACTTGGACCAGATGTGGCACACAAGAGCCCCCATGACCAACAAAACATACTGGAGGTCTTTGGGGAAAATTCCCCTTGATTGGGAGGAGTTGTAGTTCATCTACATCCAGAGAGCACTGTGAACCCAAACATAGAATCATAGAAACACCAATGGATCTGGACCAAACTCGGCACACAGACCTGATATGCCGAAATTTGATTCCTGGAGGGGTTTGGGGGTGGGGGATGGGATGGGGACTGGCCTTCCTTTCTGGGAGTTGTAGTTCACCCACAACCAGAGAATCTGTGACCTCCACCCGTGATGGACCTGCACCAAATTCGGCACACAGAACCCCCATGACTCACTCAACCTACTGGAGGGGTTTGAGGAGACTGACTCACTGTAGTGGGAGTTGTAGTTCACCCTACAGCCAGAGAGCACACTCAACTCCACCGATGGTGCATCTAGAACAAACTTGCCCAACATAAACTTTAAGTACTGATGGAGCTTTTCAGGGTTAACCTGGCATGATGGGAGTTGTAGTTCACCCACAACCTTATGCATTTTTGGACAATTGTAGTTCACCCACAACCTTATGCATTTTTTCCTCCCTCGCTCGCTCGCTCCATGTCCCTGTCCTCGCTTTCCTTGTTGACAATGAACAGCTTGCCCAGGAGGGAGATCCCGGCCTAGTGTCTCGGTTGCTCTGGCAAATTTAAATTTCTCTCTCCATTAGATGCCTAACTAGGTGGAAGGGAATCTCCCTTGGGTTCCTTGGAAGTAATTGGTGGAAGCCACGCTACATTCAAGTTTAAGTGTTTTAACAACGGGGCTGCATCTTACCTGGTAGCATCCCCCATCCGTTGACATCCATACTGTATTTCTTCCATTGTGAGACACACTTTCCCTCCTATTTATTTATTTATCGTGTCAGTATCAACCAGACAATTGTATTACATTTTTAACAAATTTTTAACAAACAGGCAAACCACAGAATTTGCAAGCTTGGTAGTTGATCAAATGTCCTTTGACCAGTATCTGGCCCCTTGGAGTGCCTCTGGTGTTGCTTCAAGAAGGTCCTCCCTGGTGCATCATGTGGCAGGGCTCAGGTTGCATTGCAGCAGGTGGTCAGTGGTTTGCTCTTCACACTCGCATGTCGAGGATTCCACTTTGTGGCCCCATTTCTTGAGATTGGCACTGCATCTCGTGGATCTCTCAATCTCCTATTGAGCCCCCCGAAGCAGCGGGTTAAACCGCTGAACTGCAGAACTGGAAAGTTCGAATCTGGAGAGCGGGTGAGCTCCCACTGTTAGCCCCAGCTTCTGCCAACCTAGCAGTCTGAAAACATGTAAATGTAAGTAGATCAATAGGCGGGAAAGTAACAGCGCTCACACGACCTAGGAAACGTCTACAGACAGTGCTGGCTCTTTGGCATAGAAATGGAGATGAGCACCTCCCACCAGAGTCAACCACGACTAGACTTAATGTAAAGCGGGGGTGGGGTGGGTGGGGGGACCATTACTACTGGGGTTGTGGCGCAGTTGGCTGAGTGTCAGCTGCATTAAGATCACTCTGACCAAAAGGTCATGAGTTCCAAGCCAGCTCGGGTTGGAGTGGGTTTCCACCCAATTGTGTGTAGCCTGTTGTCGACCTTTGCAACCTGAAAGAGTTGCATCTGTCAAGTAGGTAAATTAGGTACCACCTTAAAAAGTGTGGGGAGGCTAAATTAACTGATTTATGAGGCCATAAAGAAGACTCCAGCAAAGCATTCCAGCGGGGAAGCATGCGGGGAATGTGGAAGTGCTTCATCAGCGGCGCAGATGGATGATGAAAGCGACAGCTCCCCTGAAAAAAGTTAAATAGCCTCTGTATATGTCTGTATATGTTTGTATGTCAAACATTGGCATTGAATGTTTGCCATATATGTGTACACTGTAATCCGCCCTGAGTCCCCTGCGGGGTGAGGAGAAGGGCGGAATCTAAAAACTGTAAATAATAATAATAATAATAATAATAATAATAATAATAATCCTATTTCCCTATTCCCCCTACAATTTACCCCTAACATCCCCACATACGTAGATTTCAGGTGCATTGTTTTGCTTACAGAACTGTTTTATACGTTTTGGGCAGGGGTCCTCAAACTACGGCCGGATACGGCCCTCCGAGGTCATTTACCCGGCCCTCGCTCAGGGTCAACCTAAGTCTGAAACGCCTTGAAAGCACACAACAACAACAACAACAACAATCCTATCTCATCAGCCAAAAGCAGGCTCACACTTCCCATTGAAATACTAATAAGTTTATATTTGTTAAAGTTGTTCTTCGTTTTAATTATTGTATTGCATTTAAGTGTTTTTTATACTACAAATAAAATATGTGCAGTGTGCATAGGAATTCATTCATTATTTTTTTTTCAAATTGAGGGACTGTGACCTGGCCCTCTGCTTAAAAAGTTTGAGGACCGTGTTTTTGGGTCTTGGCCACACATAAATGGCCAGAACCACTGTGTTGCTGTGAGTTTTCTGGCTGTAATTTCATGTTCCCAGTAGCATTCTCTCCTGACGTTTCACCCACATCTATGGCAGGCGTCCACAGAAGTTGTGAGGTCTGTTGGAAAATTGGCAAGTGGGATTTATATATCTGCGGAATGTCCAGGGTGGGAGAAAGAACTCTTGTCTGAGCTATAGTGTCTATCGCTTGATGGGATCTCCAGAAAGGAACTTGCCCTGTCCTGACCTTAGCCTACATAAGAAAGGACAGAGAAATTCAATTAATGAGCGCCTCGAGAATCTCAGCGGCCGCCTTTTCTTGGCCATCCGAATGACTCTGCAGGAGGGGACACATGGCATTTAATTAGTTGGCAGCGAAAGGCTTCCCCAAGAGCTGTCTTAATGCAAAACTCTGTCAATATGGATGCTTAGGCTGAGATTGTATGTTGACGCATAGCTCCACATCTTCCCATCATCTGCCAAGGCCCTGCTTTCCACCTGTTGTGCTCATAAGTCCTTGTATCCATATAATGGATACAACATGGTTGTCAGCTACAACTGGGCACTTTGAAAGGTTAACAACAACAACAATAGAACAAGCTATTAGAACCAATGCCATCAAAGCCAGAACTGAAAAGCCGATGACAAATCCCAAATGTAGACTCTGCAAGGAACAGATGAAACAATAGATCACACCCTCAGCTGCTGCAAAAATATTGCGCAGACAGACTACAAGCAGAGGCAGAACACAGTTGCTCAGATGATTCATTGGAACTTGTGCCACAAAGACCATCTGCCTGCGACAAAGAACTGGTGGGATCACAAGCCGGGAAAAGTTACAGAATATGAACACATCAAGCTACATTCAGACAGACAGAGTATTGGAGCACAAGGCTCCTATACGGGAGAAGTTCCAGCAGACTGGAGGAGGGCCAATGTGGTCCCAATCTTCAAGAAGGGAAAAAAGGAGGACCCAAACAATGACCCATGTCCGGTCTGCCTCACGTCGATACCGGGCAAGATTCTGGAAAAGATGGTCAAGGAAGTGGTCTGCAAACACTTAGAAACAAATGCGGTCATCGCTAAGAGTCAACATGGATTTATCAAAAACAAGTCATGCCAGACTCATCTGATCCCTTTTTTCCATTGAGTTACAAGCTGGGTAGATGTGGGGAATGCCGTGGATGGAGCATGTCTGGATTTCAGGAAGGCCTTCTTTGACAAGGTCCCTCATGACCTTCTGGCAAGGAAACTAGTCCAATGTGGGCGGGGCAAAACTACGGTGAGGTGGATCTGGAATTGGTTAAATGGACGAACCCAAAGGGTGATTCTCCTCAAGGCTTCCTCTTCATCTTGGAAAAAAGTGACGAGTGGAGTGCCATCAGGAGGGTTCCGTCCTGGGCCCAGTCCTGTTCAACATCTTTATTAATGACTTAGATGAAGGGTGAGAAGGCATGATCATCAAGTTTGCAGATGACACCATATTGGGAGGGAGAGCCAAGACTCCAGAGGACAGGAGCAGGACTCAAAGGGATCTTGACAGATTAGAGAGATGAATGGCCAAAACGAACAAAATGAAGTTCAACAGGGACAAATGCAAGATACTCTACTTAGGCAGAAAAAACGAAATGCATGAGACAGAATGGGGGACAATGCCTGGCTCGAGAGCAGTACGTGTGAAAAAGATCTTGGATTCCTTGTGGATAACAAGTTAAACATGAGCCAGGAATGTGATGTGGCGGCAAAGAAAGCCAATGGGATTTTGGCCTGCATCAATAGGAGCCTAGTGTCTAGATCTAGGGAAGTCGTTCTCCCCATGCTCTATTCCGCTTTGGTTAGACCACACCTGGAATATTGTGTCCAATTCTGGGCACCACAATTCAAGAGAGATATTGACAAGCTGGAATGTGTCCAGAGGAGGGTGACTAAAATGATCAAGGGTCTGGAGAACAAATCCTACAAGGAGCGGCTTAAGGAGCTCGGCATGTTCAGCCTGAAGAAGAGAAGGCTGAGAGGAGACATGATAGCCATGTATAAATATGTGAGAGGAAGTCATAGGGAGGAGGGAGCAAGCTTCCTTTCTGCTTCCCTGGAGACCAAGACACAATGGAACAATGGCTTCAAACTACAAGAGAGGAGATTCCATCTGAACATGAGGAAGAACTTCCTGACTGTGAGAGCTGTTCAGCAGTGGAACTCTCTGCCCCGGAGTGTGGTGGAGGCTCCTTCTTTGGAAGCTTTTAAACAGAGGCTGGATGGCCATCTGTCAGGGGTGATTTGAATGCAATATTCCTGTTTCTTGGCAGAATGGGGTTGGACTGGATGGCCCAGGAGGTCTCTTCCCACTCTTTGATTCTATGATTCTATGAAAAGAAAATATAGCGATGAGGCATGATTCAGGGAAAATAGCCTGAGAATAGCCTGTTTGTCTCGGTTTTTCATGGCACTTTCCTTTGTTCACCCGGCAGGGTGATTTGCTCAGCTAAACCTGTTGAATGTTCTCCTTGCTTCCAGTGTTTTTGGTTTGAAAAAGAGACTGGAGTTTCTTTGAGCCATTTGGTAAAAGAGGGACATTGTTCTGTACTTTTTCTGCTGAGCAGATTAGGTCTTTGGACCATAATAAAGACTAATATGATTATGAAAAGAGGGACAGAGCAGCACATCACAACATTTGGGTGCCCAAACACAGAATTGAACCCCAGATCCTGAGGAGTTTGCCTCCAACATTTTGAAGCACCGAAGAGAGATTTGGGCCTTTACTTGTTGAATGCAGAAATCTAAGCTAGTAATGGTTAGCTGAAAACAATGACCAGGCTTCTATGAGCATGAACTTGATCTTACCAGCTCGACCTGTATCCAGACCTGAATGTGCTGGAGAACTTCACCTTCAGGGTTCCACCATTGTGCCTTATTTCACCCCCGGTTTTAGTCCTTTTGTGATTAACATGGCTCAGTTGCCAGACATTTTTCCATCCTCTTTCCTGTCCCCGCAGCTGCACTTGAGTCTCTCCCTGGGTGCTGGAGGGGAGGCCTCAGACCAGGGCAAAGGGGAAATGATCGCCATTCACTCGGTGAACCTTCTCCTGAAGAGCATCGGCGCCACGCTGACTGACGTGGACGACCTCATATTCAAGTGAGTTGTAATTGACTTTCCTTTCCGATTTTGTATTGCGCATAAATGATAGATGCTTGCAGGCTGAGTATCCCTTCTCGGAAAGGCTTGGGGCTAGATGTGGTCTGGATGTGGGACTTTTGTTGTTCTCCGTGGCATTGACGTGATGCTCCTTTCAGGCTCGCCTTCTTCGAAATCAGGTACCAGTTTTACAAAAGAGACGAGTTGATGTGGAGAGTCATTGGACATTACAGAGACCAAGTAAGTTGTCGGGTTTTTACCCCTGTTCCTTTCCAAGGGAACTTACTGTATATACTCGAGTGTAAGCCTAGTTTATCAGCCCCTTTTTTGGGCAACCCTCGGCTTACATCCAAGTTAAAGATACTGTTATTACTATTATTTTTATTGCATTTATTATTTTACTCTATTATTGGTATTATTACATTTATATTATTTTACTCTATTATTATATTACATTTATTTTACTCTATTTATTATTGCTACATTTATTAGTTTACTTCATTATTACTTTATTACATTTATTATTTTACTCTCTATATATTTATTCTTATTATTAGATTTATATTATTTTATTCTATTTATTATTGTTACATTTATTAGTTTACTTTATTATTACTTTATTACATTTATTTTACTCTATATATTTATTGTTATTATTACACTTATATTATTTTACTCTATTATTATATTACATTTATTTTACCCTTTATTATTGTGACATTTATTAGTTTATTATTATTTTATTACATTTATTTTAATTTATATATTTTTATTATTATTATTACATTTATTATTTCACTGTTATTGATAAAATAATAATAAAGTAAAATAATTAAAGCAACAATAATAATAAATAGAGTAAAATAAATGTAATAAAATAATAATGTAAAATAATATAACTGTAATAATACCAATAATAAGTAAAATAATAAATGTAACAATATTAGTTTACTTTATTATTAGTTTACTTTATTATTACTTTATTACATTTATTTTACTTTATATATTTTTATCATTATTATTACATTTATTATTTTACTGTTATTGAAATAACTGTTATTGAAATGCCCAGGGGGGAATCCCTCATTTGGTATCAGCCACTGATTGAGGCTCTGGGCTTGAGCCTGCCACTTTTGGACTCTCGCTTGCTGAGGTGTTCCAGCGAGTGTCAGGTGGTGCAATACCGGCTAAACAGTGTAATTTCTCCAGTGGTGTAGACCGCAGTCACCCCGTGATAATGCGGCATGTCTCATTAAGAACTACTTTTTTTAGCGTGGTGAGATGTGTTCCACACTGGGCATGTGTACTCAGCAGCAAAGTAGCATAGTGCAAGGGCAGATGTCTTCACTGTGTCTGGTTGTGACCCCCAGGTTGTGCCAGTCAGCTTTCGTATGATATTGTTTCTAGCGCCCACTTTTTGCTTGATGTTCAGGCAATGCTTCTTGTAGGTCAGAGAACAGTCCAGAGTGACTCCTCCCAGGTATTTGGGTGCGCTGCAATGCTCCCGTGGGATTCCTTCCCAGGTCATCCTCAGAGCTCGGGATGCTTGTCTGTTCTTGAGATGAAAAGCACATGTCTGTGTTTTAGATGGGTTAGGGATCAGCTGGTTTTCCCTGTAATGGGCAGTGAGAGCACCTAGAGCTTCGGAGAGCTTCTGTTCAACCATCTCAAAGCTCTCTGCTTGAGCAGTGATGGCACGATCATCAGCATAGATGAAACTCTCTGTCCCTTCTGGCAGTCATTTGTGTAGATGTTGAACATGGATGGAGCAAGCACGCTCCCCTGAGGCAGGCCGTTCTTCTGTTTCCGCCATCTGCTTCTCTTGCCTGGAACTCAACAAAAAAGCTCCTGTTTTGTAGCAGGTTTCCTATGAGGCGGGTGAGGTGGTCGTCCTTTGTGATACTACACATTTTTCTCAGGAGGAGGCGGTGGTTCACAGTATCATAAGCTGCGGACAGGTCTATGAAGACAACTCCTGTGATCTGCTGCCTTTCAAAGCCATCTTCTATGTGCCGAGTCAGGTTCAGCGCATAGTTTTTTGTGGTAAATTTAGGTAAATTTATATTCGGGTCGCCTTGTACTTGAGTATATACGGTATGTTTATTTAAGCAGCAGAATGTATCATAGTTGTGTAGCTTATAAATTGCTGGAAAAAAACCTCAATAGTTATGGTGTGAATCTTGTATGTAGCATTACAGTAGCTTCATTTGATATGTGTATTCATTCTTACTTTTTTTTAGACCATTAATTTGCACACGTTGGCTTTTGTTCTAGTTCCTGAAGCAAATGTATGTCCTGGTGCTGGGCCTGGACGTCCTGGGAAACCCCTTTGGCTTGATCCGAGGCCTCTCCGAGGGAGTGGAAGCCTTCTTCTATGAGCCTTTCCAGGTAGGAAGTGCCACCGGTTATGTGGTTGAATCAAATGGATGTTTTAGTTAGCGATGTCTTTGTTGGGGCATGTAAAAATCATTTGGAGAGTATGTTAACTGAAAAATACAAAGCATGAAACTGATTGGGGTATGCCAAAGAGCCTAGCTGAGCCTGGGACTTTTGGCAACAGTTACATATTATTATTATTATTATTATTATTATTATTATTATTATTATTATTATTAACTTTATTTGTACCCCGCTAGCATCTCCCAAAGGACTCGATGCGACTTACAATGGCTAAGGCCTCAAAACACAACATAACAATACAACACCTAAAGCAAATTAAAAACAGTTAAAGCAATATTATACAACAAGCAATAAACAATACAACAAGACACTACAAAACTGGGCCGGGCCAGAGTAATGGGTACAGGGTTAAAAGTGCTGATGTGACAGATGATATGTAAGGATTGTAGGGCAAGTGCAGTGTGCGGTGTGCGGCAATCTCAATTCTAGTAAAGTGCTTCTGGGACTTGTTGTTGGATATTCCTATTCTGGGAAGGCACATCGGAAGAGCCAGGTCTTCAAGTTCTTTCTAAAGACTGTCAATGTAGGGGCCTGTCTAAGATCTTTAGGGAGGGTGTTCCAGAGTCAGGGGGCCACCACAGAAAAGGCCCTGTCTCACGTCCCCACCAAACGCGCCTGTGACGCAGGTGGAATCATGAGCAGGGCCTCTCCGGATGATCGAAGTGAGCGTGTGGGTTCATAGACGGAGATGCGGTCACGCAGGTAGGATGGTCCCAAACCGTTTAGGGCTTTGTAGGTAAGCACCTGCACCTTAAATTGGGCTCGGAAAATAAACGGCAGCCAGTGGAGCTCCTTGAACAGGACGGTTGACCTCTCTCTGTAAGGAGCGCCAGTTAACATCCTGGCTGCTGATCATTGGACCAGTTGGTACTTCCGAGCCGTTTTTAAGGGCAGCCACACGTAGAGTGCATTACAGTAGTCCAATCTAGAGGTGACCAAGGCATGGACCACCCTGGCCAGATCCGCCTTCGCGAGGTACGGTCGCAGTTGGCGAACGAGTCTCAGTTGTGCAAAAGCCCTCCCAGACACCGCCGACGCCTGAGCCTCAAGTGTAAGTGATGAATCCAGGAAGACTCCCAAACTGCGGACCTGTGGCTTCGGGGGGAGTGTAACCCCGTCCAACACAGGTTGCCACCCTATACCCCGGTCAGGTTTACAATCGACCAGGAGGACCTCTGTCTTGTCGGGATTGATCTTCAGCTTGTTCTTCCTCATCCAGACAGCCACAGCGGCCAGGCACTCATCCAGCACTTGAGAGGCCTCCTTGGAATTGGGTGGAAAAGAGTAGTAGAGTTGTGTGTCATCTGCGTAGAGATGGCACCCAACTCCAAAACTCCGGATGACCTCTCCCAGCGGTTTCATGTAGATGTTAAAAAGCATGGGAGACAGAATGGAGCCTTGTGGGACCCCACAGGTCAAAGGCCAGGGGTCCGAGCAGGCGTCTCCCAGCTTCACCAACTGGGATCGACCCTCCAGGAAGGACCGGAGCAATGACAGAACCGTGCCCCTGAGACCCATCCCAGAGAGATGACCCAGAAGGATACCATGAGTGATGGTATCGAAAGCCGCTGAGATGTCCAAGAGAACCAACAGAGTCACACTCCCCCTGTCCAGCTCTCTACGGACTTTGATTTTGATCCTGATTTTTGGAGACCTTGTCTTGCTGCCATGGACTCTTGTTTAACCAATGCTTAAGGACTATGCTTTATGTTATTTGCCTCTGGTGTGGAAATTCACCCGTTGTTGCATGAGGAATGGCAGAGTGGGCCCAGTGTGTCATGTCTAGTGCCCATGTTTACATTCTAAACCAAGTCTCTTCTGCCCCAGGGAGCTGTTCAAGGCCCCGAAGAGTTTGCTGAAGGTTTTGTAATCGGTGTAAGGAGTCTGTTGGGACACACCGTTGGTACGTTGAAAGTGGGAGGCCTTGTTGGGAGGCCTTACTGAGATCTCTCTCTCCATGAGGCACAAGCCACCTTCTGTTTGCTCGATTCGTTGGGCCTCACGCCCTCTCCTCTTCCCCTCTTTTGCCAGGTGGGGCGGCCGGCGTGGTCTCCCGCATCACCGGCTCTGTCGGGAAGGGCTTGGCGGCCATCACGATGGACAAGGAGTACCAGCAGAAGAGAAGGGAGGAGATGGGCCGCCAGCCCAAAGACTTCGGGGACAGCCTGGCTAAAGGAGGGAAAGGCCTGCTGCGGGTATGACACTTACTGTATTCCTAGGGTGTCCTTTCTGATTCTAAACAAGGGAATAACATAGCTAAGGAATACAAAAAAATTCACCTTGATTGATTAATTGCAATGTATTCCTGTTGATCACGAAGCGTGTTAACTGACAGGTGAACTGACTTTCATCCCATAATAGTCGCATTCCTAATTTTTGGGTGACGAGACTGGTATTTTTGTTTACCTCACATAAGAGTCGCAGAGCTGTTTGGGCCAAACTTTGCTCATACCTGTACTAACAGTAGCACATCATATGCTCATGATAGATCTCGAATAATTGCAATATATTTATATGGATCACGGAGAACATTAACTGACAGGTGAACTTCATTTCATCACATAATAGTCGCATTCCTAATTTTTGGGTGACAAGACTGGTATTTTTGTTTTTCTTGCATAAGAGTTGCAGAGCTGTTTGGGCCAAACTTTGCTCATACCTCTACTAACAGTAGCACATCATATGCTCATGATAGATCTCATATAATTGCAATGTATTTCTATGGATCGCGAAGCACATTAACTGACAGGTGAACTGCATTTCATCGCATAATAGTCACACCCCCAATGTTTGGGTGACAAGTCTGGTATTTTTTTGTTCCTCACATAAGAGTTGCAGAGCTGTTTGGGCCAAACTTTGCTCATACCTGTACTAACAGTAGCACATCATATGCTCATGATAGATCTTGAATAATTGCAATATATTTATATGGATCACGGAGCACATTAACTGACAGGTGAACTTCATTTCATCACATAATAGTCACACTCTGAATTTTTGGGTGACAAGACTTGTATTTTTGTTCCTCGCATAAGAGTTGCAGAGCTGTTTGGGCCGAACTTTACCCATAACTGTACTAACAGTAACACATGATATGCTCATGATAGATTTGGATTAATTGCAATGTATTCCTATTGATCACAAAGCATGTTAACTGACAGGTGAACTGGTATTTTTGTGTTCCTTGCATAAGGCTCATACCTGCACTAACAGTAGCACATCATATGCTCATGACAGATCTCAAATAATTACAATGTATTTCTATGAATCACGAAGCACATTAACTGACAGGTGAACTGTATTTCATCGCATAATAGTCGCATTCCTAATTTTTGGGTGACAAGACTGGTAATTTTGTGTTCCTCACATAAGAGTCGCAGAGCTGTTTGGGCCAAACTTTGCAGTCCTTTAAAAAAGCTACATTTATATTTGTTAGCTTGTTGGATGGGGCCGAGTCTGTGAACTAACCCTGAGCACATTATTTTGAGGCCCCAAATAAGATCGCAAATGAAACAAATACAAACTTTCCCACTTCTAATGTGCTGTTCTGTATCTGTGGTTTTCCTTAAGGGGGTTGTCGGCGGAGTGACGGGAATAATCACGAAGCCCGTTGAAGGTAAGCAACCATTAAATACAATAATAAAAATAATAGAAAAATAATAGCAATGATCTATTGCTGCTGGTGATTAACCAGCTGTGCTAAAGCCCGACCTTGATGTACAGGCCGTTCCCGAGTTACAATCATCTAACTTACAGATGACTCTTAGTTAAATACGGGGCTGAGACAACAGGAAGTGATAGAAACCTACTAATAGGAAGGGAAATTAACTCCTGAAAGAGTTATTCTCAGTGGGAAAAGGGGTCTCCAGTGAAGCTTTATCTCCAATCCTTGTTTCAACATCAAGCTATATTTTCCAAAATGTATTACAGGGGCAGAAAGGGGCTCAGACAGCAAAACAAACACCACTGTTGTTAATCCTTCCTTATGCGATCCAATGGGATTTTGGCCTGCATCAAGAGGAGCCTAGTGTCCAGATCTAGGGAAGTCCTGCTCCCCATGTTCTATTCCGCTTTGGTTAGACCACACCTGGAATATTGTGTCCAATTCTGGGCACCACAATTGAAGAGAGATATTGACAAGCTGGAATGTGTCCAGAGGAAGAGGGTGACTAAAATGATCAAGGGTCTGGAGAACAAGCCCTATGAGGAGCGGCTTAAGGAGCTGGGCATGTTTAGCCTGAAGAAGAGAAGGCTGAGAGGAGATATGATAGCCATGTATAAATATGTGAGAGGAAGCCACAGGGAGGAGGAGGGAGCAAGCTTCCTTTCTGCTTCCATGGAGACTAGGACGCAATGGAACAATGGCTTCAAACTACAAGAGAGGAGATTCCATCTGAACATGAGGAAGAACTTCCTGACTGTGAGAGCCGTTCAGCAGTGGAACTCTCTGCCCCGGAGTGTGGTGGAGGCTCCTTCTTTGGAAGCTTTTAAACAGAGGCTGGATGGCCATCTGTCAGGGGTGCTTTAAATGCAATATTCCTGCTTCTTGGCAGAATGGGGTTGGACTGGATGGAGGCCCAGGAGGTCTCTCCCAACTCTTTGATTCTATGATCTATGAAAGTATAAAAATATAAAACCTAGACTAAACCATATAATCAAACAACCTGGTAAATAAAACCACAAGATGATAACATCTGTATAAAAATATAAAATTCGCACATAAAAATGTGTGTCAAGACCCAGAAGCCTTAAAGGAGCCCAACACACAATGTAGAGTTCAAACACAGTTTTATTAGTCACAAAATAGTCTTTGAAGCACTTACTTCAGTGCTAAATGTGCAAAGGAAGAGTTGATATCAAAAGCAAAGTGAAAAAAGCAACTGAAATATAACCTGGATTATTCTGGCTTATAATCCGGTTTAACTAAAGTATTCAGCAATCCGCTTTAAACTCACACAGTTCACAGAAGATACAAAAGCAAACTAGAAGCAGGCAAAAACACAGTTCCCAAAACAGTCCGAAGTTGTAGCACGATATAAACAGGTAAACAAAGTCCAGGAAGCAAAAAAGCGCGTTGTCCCAAAGCGGTCTGGAGTCAAGCCATAGAGTAGAAGTTGTAGTGTGCAGAGTCACAAGAAGTAAGCACAGGAAGCACAGGAACACAGGAATCTGTAGTCCAAGGACCCAAGCTCAAGAATTGGCAGCAACAAAGATTCACACCCCAAAAGAGACACTTTGCCTTCTGCAAAGAGTCATGCAAACAGTACTCACTTTTATCCTAAAGTTCCTCATCAGAGGATGAGGAGCTCCCCACCCTTTCATCCCTGCAGCTGAACCCGAGCGCCCATCCCTCCACCTCTGCCAGCATCTGTCAAAACTTACATCTTGCCAAGTGCTCCCCGGTTGCCATTCCTCTGTAAACCCCTCAAAATCATCGCTGGAGGTGGGTTGGTTACAGATATCCCTAATCTCCTGTACATGGGTCCAATCAATCCCATCCTCTCCCCCCATGTCACTCCCAGACCCATCACTCCTTTCAAAGCCCATGAAATCTTTGTCCTCTGTAGGGGCGGTAAGTATATCACGGATACGCTTCCTTTGTTCTTCCTCATCAGACTCTGAGTCGCGAGTAACCCGCTTGACTCCCCTGCATTCCTCCCTATAGCAAAATTAAAAGGATGTCTGAGGCAGGGTGGACAAACAATCCCACCGCTGCCACCAATATAACGGAATTAAAAGAATATCTGAGGCAGGGTGGACAAACAATCACACCGCTGCCACCAATATAACGGAATTAAAAGAATATCTGAGGCAGGGTGGACAAACAATCACACCGCTGCCACCAATATAACGGAATTAAAAGAATATCTGAGGCAGGGTGGACAAACAATCACACCGCTGCCACCAATATAACGGAATTAAAAGAATATCTGAGGCAGGGTGGACAAACAATCCCACCGCTGCCACCAATATAACGGAATTAAAAGAATATCTGAGGCAGGGTGGACAAACAATCCCACCGCTGCCACCAATATAATAAAATTAAGGCTGACCCTATGTTAGATATGTCAGTGACCGAATGTTCTTGGTAGTATTAGCCGCCACCACCTCAGAATTACTGGCCTGAGGAACCAAAGGGTGTGAATGTGTTTTAGGTAAGGGGTGTTTGAGCTCTTGATTCTTCTATGGCTTCCTCCCAGGCTGACTGGACTATAAAATGCTTTGACAAAGTGAGTTCTGAGGAAAAGGATAGATTGAGGCATACACCAGTTAAAAGTTAACTAGAAAGAGTTTATTGAACTTTATATTAACAACAACTCATAGAAATGAGTGGTACAGAAGCGTGATTCAGTTGCAGAAACTTGGTTACTTAAACAAACAGTTCCCCTGACAGAAAAGCTTTTAACAACTGTGAGACTCCTTAACCATACTGTTCTATCTTTAGACACAGTATCACTGGAGAACAGATCCCTATCTGTCTCCACCACAGGGTAGTAAGCTCTGGAGACAAATCTTTCTTTTACTGGCTCTCAACACACAGTAAAATACTAGCCTATTGTCTCAGCCTATTTCCCTAAACTTAAGGCTCACTAAAAGCTCTTCCCTTTCTGTCAGATTCCTGCTGTAACTTCCTATCTTAAAATCACAACCTTCTCTGTCTCAAGTCAAGACCCTTCTCTCCCTGTCAAAATCTGGCAGCTTATTTTCCCTCTCTAAATCGACTCCTCCCCCAATTGCTATACCCAATCAGGAGTCAGCTTGACTCCTCCTCCTGTCCTGCCTGCCAGCCAAGATGACAGCCACTGTCATGTAGGCTTCGGCCTAGTCGACTGAAAGGTAGATTTCATGACACTCCCCATCCCCCATCTCACAATCGGAGAAACCTTCAAAGTAGGCTTGGGTAACAACGGAAAAATTTGGTTCTAAACTCGTTTCGTTTTTAGGGGGCCCTTGCGTTTCGTTTTTTTAAAGAATTCCGAAATTTTCCTTTAAAAAAGTTCGAAATATACGAAATTTCGTAAAATTACAAATCGATTCGTTAATGGCGGACGCGATTGCGCAATATGCTAAAAAACCCTCCAAATGGGACGGGGGAACTTCTGAAGCTTCCCTCTCCCTCTGTGGTTGACTGTTGGTGTGATAAAACAAACAACAACTATAAAACTTGCACCAGACATACGGAAATAATTACGAAACAATTTTGAACCAATTACGAAACAATACGAAATAAATTGGAAAAATTATTTCGATTTTTAATTACTCCTCACAGTAGTCCTGCATGGCTCAATATTGGATCGTAAGCTAATTTAAATACGAATTAATAACGAATTACGAAATTAACGAACAAAACCGCCCAAGCCTACTTCAAAGATTTCAGAATCGCTCAGGGCCATGATTATTTCCCTAATCCACTTTCGCTGCTGTTCCTCTTCCAACACCTGCGCAGCCCGCTTCTCCCTCCTACCAGTAGCAACACCGTTAGCATCACGCTGAACTACAACAATGTGGCTCTCCCATGAATTAATATAATCATACTTACATATAAATTCCACCTAAGAACAAACCTAAGAACAAACCTTGCCTGTATCGAATCGAAGGTGCCCTTGAAGGTGGGTTTCATGCCTGACTCGTTTATTGTAGAGAGGTGATGAGATGTTTTGTGTGTCTTTTCTTCCGGAAGGTGCCAAGAAGGAAGGGGCGACCGGCTTCTTCACAGGCATCGGCAAGGGACTTGTCGGGGTTGTGGCCCGTCCCGTGGGGGGTATCGTGGACATGGCCAGCAGCACCTTCCAAGGCATCCAGCGGTAAGGCCAAGAGAGTGAGAGCTTTGGCCGTATGCTTTGTATTCTATCTATCTACCTATCTATTAGGCTTGGGTGATCCAAAAAAAAAAAAAGGTTCAAAACTTGTTTCGGATGGCGATTCGATTTTGAAATTATTTCCGAAATTTTCTTGAAAAAAAGATCGGAAATATCAGGAAATACGAAACGCTTCGTTTGCTTCGTTAATGGAAGGTGCTCCTCCCTCCCTCCAGAACCATTAAAATCTCACAGACTCTTCCCTGTTTCTCCCACTAGAGAAATCAGTCCTTTCTGTAACTCTAACGGTCACAGACTAGTTCCCTGAATCTTTCCTTGCGGTGAGCTGTGATGCAGAGGGACGAGGTGGGCATGGCTAAGCACAGCTCTCCTTGGAAGTCGCTGGGGGCGTGGCCTTCAGGAAGAGCTGTGCTTAGCCATGCCCACCTCGTCCCTCTGCATGACAGCTAGCCAGGGAAGGGAAGCTGCGAGATTTTAAAGCTAACACTTTTAAAATCTCACAGCTTCCCTTCCCTGGTGTGAAGGAGCGTAAAATTACTGCCACCAAATTTGTGAGGAAAGCCGGGCAATGATCAATATCAGCTTAGGAGCTGGTTTATAAAGGGACTATTATTTACAGAAGTATTTATTTATTTGATAGCAAAGCTGATATTTAATGTCCCTGATTTGGTCTTACTTCTTATGTAGAGCTGTTTGACTTAGGAGAAACTGTATCAGGCAAGGCTTGAGGAAAACAGTAACAAATTTATTTAACAGGAGTATAACAGATTCAATTGTTACTTCATTAGAGGCACAAACTTAGTTAGTTACATTGATAAGGTTTCCTGAATAACTTTAGGTACTAAACAGACTTCAAAAGGTTTCTTTGAGTAGATATATCTATCTTCAACAAGTGTTCTTTTACTACGAATAAGCCACGTGACTTATCTAACTATATTGGCTCACAGCCAAACCCTGATTCTTAATATTAAAGAATCAGTCTTCCCTATAGTTCTCTAATTATAGGATTCCTGCTGCTTTTCCACACACCACAGGATCAACTACCTCTCCTGTAACTCTTTGGTTACAGACTAGTTCCCTGAATCTCCCACCAGAGATTTCAGTCTTCTCGGTAACTCTAACAGTCACAGACTCTTCCCTGTTTCTCCCACTAGAGAAATCAGTCCTTTCTGTAACTCTAACGGTCACAGACTAGTTCCCTGAATCTCCCATCAGAGATTTCAGTGTTCTCTGTAACTCTAACGGTCACAGACTGCCTATTTCAAACAGATGTGCAGTTAGGTGACAGTTGGCTCCACCCCCGTTGCTATGACAACTCAGCTCAAGCCAAACCAGCCACCATCTCTAACAAAATATAATCCTATATACTTACCATTTATTAACTACTGTTTAAACAACACATAACCATACGAATAAAATTACACATCGTCACACCTGGCAAGCTGTGATGCAGAGGGACGAGGTGGGCATAGCTAAGCACAGCTCTCCTTGGAGGTCGCTGATGGCGTGGCCTTCAGGAAGAGCTGTGCTTAGCCACGCCCTCCTCGTCCCTTTGTAATCCATCGCCGTTCGCCACCACCCAGGTAAGGGTTAGGGTTAAAATCTCACAGTTTCCCTTCCTTGGGTGGCAACGAACGGCGATGGATTGCAGAGGGACAAGGCGAGCGTGGATAAGAACAGCTCTTCCTGAAGGCCACGCCACCAGCGTGGGCTTCAGGTAGAGCTGTTCTTAGCCACGCCCACCTCGTCCCTCTTTGCATCGCCGGGCGTGCAAAGCCACATCCGAAAATAATTCCGAACAATGGGGAAGTTGTTTCAGTTCGGAATTGCTCCTCCCGCTATTCCTGTGTGGCTCAACATTGGATCAAAAGGTAATTTAATCCGAATTAATTACGATTTTAGAAACTAACGAACTTACCCAAGCCTACTATCTATCTATCTATCTATCTATCTATCTATCTATCCCAGCGCTTTTCACCTTCCTAATGCCGTGACCCCTTAACACAGTTCCTCATGTTGTGGTGACCCCTAACCATAACATTATTTTTGTTACTACTTGTTGGGGTTCAGCCTGCGTGTGAACCTGAACCTGATTCTCTGATTGCTGAACCTGAACCTGATTCTCTGATTGTATTTCCTGATGCTACTGAAAATGTATTTCTCCCTGATGGTAATGAAAATGATTCTGAGGTCAGTGGCTTGGAAAGTGAAACTACACATTCTGATGAGAATGTTGCAGAGCCAAGCGGTGATAGCTCTCCAGAGGAGCTAACACCTGGCTTCCTTAATGAGGATAGAAAAGGACAGATTTGGAAAAACAGGAGTGAATCGCAGAGTCTGCGAAGGTCAAGCAGATTAAGGGAAAAGGAAACACAGGCTTCAAAGCCTGGAGGCGTGTCACGAAACAGTTTCTTCAGTTTTAAGTGCCTCTCGCCGGGTTGTCTCGTTAGATCAGGCATCGTTTAGACTGAGGCATTACCTTGGCAGATTTCCCTGTTTCCCGTGGCCTACATCCCAAGAGGCTTCTAGTGCTCCAAGTACGGTTAGTGAATTGCTAACAGGTTCCAGGTTTTTACAGTGTTGCTTTTGGAATTTTGACCTAATTCATGGATATTCCTGACTGCTGAGTTTTACTATGGCTTTTTGACTTTGCATTTTCCTCTATTTTGTAACCATTTTTCATCAATAAAAAGGGATTGTTTTTTTCCACAGTCAAGTGTGGTGGATTGTTATCTTATGGTCTCGTTTCCTGCTCTGGGTTGCAACACTACTTCACAACTGCAATTTTGCTACTGTTATGAACTGTCATGTAAATATCTGATATGCAGGATGTATTTTCATTCACTGGCACATTTGGCACTGGCTGTTAGGAATTGTGGGAGTTGAAGTCCAAACCACTGGAAAGAGGGCCTGTTCTGTATCATTTGCATTCTCTCAGTGATGAAAACACCACGAAAATAGACCCTCTCTCTTCTTGGGATGTTTTCCGCAGGGTGGCCGAGTCGACAGAGGAAGTGTCCAAGCTGCGGCCGCCGCGCTTGATTTGCGAAGACGGCATCATCCGGCCGTACGACAGGGCCGAAGCCGAGGGATACGACTTATTTGAGGTAGGAGCAGCTTTAGAAAACAAACAACAAACGCGTTTCGAGTGTTTATATGTTTTGTAAGAGATGTTGACTACGTTCCGAACGGGATTTTGCGCCATGCGAGACTTATGGCTATAAGATGTGTTCCTGCCCTTCCAATAGTGTTGCTGAGAAAGAACCCTAAATCCCAGTTAATCTGAAATTGAGGTGCAAGGTTTCAGCCCCCTTCCCATAAGCATCACTGTTTGTGTTTGGATTGTGATTGTGTAAACTCAGCCCATTTACATGAACAAACCTAATATTAGTTCTTCATCGTGGTCTCTGTGAATCGTACATTATATATGCAGTGGTTGATTGGTTGTGTTATTGCTTCATTTTTGTTTATTTGTTATAATTTTAATTTTGTTATATTTGCGAATTTTCTTTTGGCATCTTGGGGGTGGCTTGTTTATTTCTCTTCGTTAGTGTATTCTGACATTGAAGGTTTGCCATTTTGTGTTGGAAACAACCCTGAACCCCTTTGGGGAGATAGGGCTATATATTATTATTATTATTATTATTATTATTATTATTGTTTGAAACACAACAAGATGAGTCCGCAGCAGACACTCTGTATAGCGTAGTGTATAGTGTAGATGCACTAGTGTATAGTGTAAAGTATAGTGTAACTACACAAGTGTATAGCATGTATAGTGTAGATGCATTAATATATAGTGTAAGGTATAGTGTAGATAGATACACTAGTGTATAGTGTAGTGTATAGTGTAGATGCACTGGTGCCTTGTGTAGTGTATAGTGTAGATACACTAGTGCATAATGTAGTGTATAGTGTAGATAGTGTATAGCATAGTGTATAGTCTAGATACACTAGTGTATTGTGTAGTGAATAGTGTAGATACACTAGTGCATAATGTAGTGTATAGTGTAGATACATTAGTCTATAGCGTAGTCTATAGTCTAGATACACTAGTGTATAGTGTAAATTCACTAGTGTATTGTGTAGTGTATAGTGTAGATACACTAGTGCATAATGTAGTGTATAGTGTAGATGCATTAGTATATAGTGTAGTGTATAGTGTAGATAGATGCACAAGTGTATACTGTAGTGTATAGTGTAGATGCACTAGTGTATAGTATAATATATAGTGTAGATACAATAGTCTATAGTGTAGTGTATAGTGTAGATAGATGCACTAGTGTATAGTGTAGTGTATAGTGTAGATGCACTAGTGTATAGTGTAATGTATAGTGTAGATACATTAGTCTATAGTGTAGTGTATAGTCTAGATACACTAGTGTATAGCATAGTGTATAGTGTAGATGCACTGGTGTATTGTGTAGTGTATAGTGTAGATAACACTAGTGCATAATGTAGTGTATAGTGTAGATAGTATATAGCATAGTGTATAGTGTAAATTCACTAGTGTATTGTGTAGTGTATAGTGTAGATACATTAGTCTATAGCAGGGGTCCTCAAACTAAGGCCCAGGGGCCGGATACGGCCCTCCAAGGTCATTTACCCGGCCCTCGCTCAGGTCTGAAATGACTTGAAAGCACACAACAACAACAATGCTATCTCATCAGCCAAAAGCAGGCCCACACTTCCCATTGAAATACTAATAATGTATATTTGTTAAAATTGTTCTTCATTTTAATTATTGTATTGTTTTAAATTGGGTTTTTTTTGCACTACAAATAAGATATGTGCAGTGTGCATAGGAATTCATTCATTTTTTTTCAAACTATAATCCAGTTTGAGGGACTGTGACCTGGCCCTCTGTTTAAAAAGTTTGAGGACCCCTGGTCTATAGTGTAGTGTATAGTGTAGATAGATGCACTAGTGTATAGTGCAGTGTATAGTGTAGATGCACTAGTGTATAGTGTAATGTATAGTGTAGATACATTAGCCTATAGTGTAGTGTATAGTGTAGATACACTAGTGTATAGCATAGTGTATAGTGTAGATGCACTGGTGTCTTGTGTAGTGTATAGTGTAGATACACTAGTGCATAATGTAGTGTATAGTGTAGATAGTGTATAGCATAGTGTATAGTCTAGATACACTAGTGTATTGTGTAGTGAATAGTGTAGATACACTAGTGCATAATGTAGTGTATAGTGTAGATACATTAGTCTATAGTGTAGTGTATAGTCTAGATACACTAGTGTATAGTGTAAATTCACTAGTGTATTGTGTAGTGTATAGTGTAGATACACTAGTGCATAATGTAGTGTATAGTGTAGATGCATTAGTATATAGTGTAGTGTATAGTGTAGATAGATGCACAAGTGTATACCGTAGTGTATAGTGTAGATGCACTAGTGTATAGTATAATATATAGTGTAGATACAATAGTCTATAGTGTAGTGTATAGTGTAGATAGATGCACTAGTGTATAGTGTAGTGTATAGTGTAGATGCACTAGTGTATAGTGTAATGTATAGTGTAGATACATTAGTCTATAGTGTAGTGTATAGTGTAGATAGATACACTAGTGTATAGTGCAGTGTATAGTGTAGATACACTAGTGCATAATGTAGTGTATAGTGTAGATACATTAGTCTATAGTGTAGTGTATAGTGTAGATAGATGCACTAGTGTATAGTGTAGTGTATAGTGTAGATACACTAGTGCATAATGTAGTGTATAGTGTAGATACATTAGTCTATAGTGTAGTGTATAGTGTAGATAGATACACTAGTGTATAGTGCAGTGTATAGTGTAGTGTATAGTGTATATACACTAGTGCATAATGTAGTGTATAGTGTAGATACATTAGTCTATAGTGTAGTGTATAGTGTAGATAGATGCAGTAGTGTATAGTGTAGTGTATAGTGTAGATACACTAGTGCATAATGTAGTGTATAGTGTAGATACATTAGTCTATAGTGTAGTGTATAGTGTAGATAGATACACTAGTGTATAGTGCAGTGTATAGTGTAGATACACTAGTGCATAATGTAGTGTATAGTGTAGATACATTAGTCTATAGCGTAGTCTATAGTCTAGATACACTAGTGTATAGTGTAAATTCACTAGTGTAGTAGATACATTAGTCTATAATGTAGTGTATAGTGTAGATAGATACACGAGTGTATAGTGCAGTGTATAGTGTAGATGCACTAGTGCATAGTGCAGTGTACAGTGTAGATGCACTAGTGTATAGTGTCGTATGCCTCAATTAATGTAATTTTATTGGTACCTATTTTTATTTTGAAATTGACCCGTAGCTGAATGCATTTCCCACCCTTGGCTTAGACTCGAGTCAGTACGTTTTTCCAATTTTTTGTGGTAAAATTAGGTGCCTCGGCTTATATTCGGGTCGGCTTATACTCGAATATATCCGGTAATTGTTCTACTCCAGAAACTTCATTTTTGTGGCACAAACAATGTCGAATTGGTTGAGACTCAATGAGATATTCATTGCAAAACGAGAGCAAAATGTCCTATTGCAGGATGTCCCTCCTTTTGGAATTTTAATACACTTTTCCGATGTTTTCACGACGGAACCAATTAGGAAATGGTATTGATTATCCAGGAACAAAAACCGTGTTACCTAGTGTTATTGGAGCATTGTCAATTGAGCTGTTCAGAAATGCTTTTGCAGTTAGAACGCAAAACTCGAATGATTTCCCGTGTCCTTTGCTTTCCTGTCTGTCTCCTTCCTGTTACTTATAATACACTTCCTGCTTCTAATGCGCTTCTTTCTTTCTTTCTTCCTTTCTTCCTCTCTCCCTTCATGCAAACGCAGCAGCAGCTGGACTAACGGAGCCTACTGTTTCTACCCTTTCCTTCTGATTGCTTTTCCTCATCTTTGTCTGCCTTTGGTTTGCCTTAACATTAGAGATTCCAACGGGATCCACTGCATTCGGCCTTTTCTCGTGGAACCACTAGGTGTCACTGTTGCTCAAGGTTTCTATTGAGCGTAGAAATAATTTCCAATTTCCGATTTCCGAAGTCAGCAGCACAGTCGGAATATCGGAAACAGAGAAGTGGGGAAAGTGTATTTTTTTTCTTTATGTGCCAATTCTTTTGAATATATACAACTATGTTATGCTGCTTTTTTTCCTCATAGAGGGAATATATAGATATATATATATACACACACACACACTAGCTGTACCCACCACGCGTTGCTGTGGCCAATCTTCCCTCCCTCTTTTTCTCCTTCTTTCGTTCCCTTTTTCCTTCCTTTTTCTTCTTTCCTTCTCTCCTTCCTTCTCTACCTCTTTCTTTCCTTCCTTCGCTCTTTGTTTCCATCCTTCCTCCTCTCTTTTTCTTTCTTCTCCCTCTTTCTTCCTTCTTTTCCTTCCTTCTCTATCTTTCTTACTTAATTAAATGTTTACATACTTAAATTATATTCCTTTCTAACCTTTTCTTTCCTTCCCTTTTTTCTTCCCCTTCCTTTTCTCTCCTTTCCTTCACTACCTCTTTCTTTCCTTCTCTCTTTTTTCCATCCTTCCTTCTGTCTTTCCTTCTTTCTTCTCTCTTTCCTTCTCCTTCTTTCCTTTCTTCCTCTACCTCTTTCCTTCCTCCTCCTTTGCTTCCATCCTTCTTTCCTTCTTTCCTCCCTCCCTCTTTCTCTCCTTCCTTCTTTCTTCCATCCTTCCTTCTCTCTTCCTCCTCCCTCTTTCTCTCCTCTTTCCCTCCTTCCTTCTCTACCTCTTTCCTTCCTTCCTTCGCTTTGTTTCCATCCTTCCTTCTCTCTTTCCTTCTTTTCTTCCCTCCCTCTTTCTCTCCTTCTTTCCCTCCTTCCTTCTCTACCTCTTTCCTTCCTTCCTTCGCTTTGTTTCCATCCTTCCTTCTCTCTTTCCTTCTTTTCTTCCCTCCCTCTCTCCTTTCCCTCCTTCCTTCTCTACCTCTTTCCTTCCTTCCTTCGCTTTGTTTCCATCCTTCCTTCTCTCTTTCCTTCTTTCCTTCCCTCCCTCTTTCTATCCTTCTTTCCCTCCTTCCTTCTCTACCTCTTTCCTTCCTTCCTTCCTTCCTTCCTTCCTTTGCTTTGTTTCCATCCTTCCTTCTC